TCACAACAAACTTTCCGGTTTCACTATTGATATAAATTGTTTTGTATTTTTTTGTCAAAATCATATTGGTTATAAAATATAGAGCTTTAACTTTAAGAATTAACATGCATGTGTATAAACTGCGCCTGCATTTTTCTTGGAGTGGATGTTATTGTGTGCTTTCATGATGAGGGTCGATACTGATCAACAAATCAATTCAGAGTGAGAAACAGCTTACAGTTTATAAAAGATAACATCCAAAGTGTCCCTTTAGAATACTTAAACCTCACAGATGAAATGTTGAGTGCTGTGGGGTCAGTGTGCTGCAGCTGAACCTGCAAAAAAGAGGATCACGTTTCATTTTTTTAAACAAACACAGTCTAGCTTGGAGGCATTTTGTAAAAAAGTGCTGCTCACAAATACAATATTTGGTGAATGCGTCTTTGCTATAGTCTACACTGTGATCCACATGGTGAAAAACATATCTTACCTTATACACCAACACGCCTTTTCATTTCTGCTGGCTAGTTCATCTTTGACTTCATTTCTTGGAGTATACAACCGAGCCGAGGAGCTTCCACTCCCCCTGTGCTCGTCGGGTAATCTCTGGCCGACTGCGTATGAGTCAGAGAGAGATTGTGTGTGTTTTTGTCGTTCCCCGTGGAGGTAAGAAGCAGGTAGCCTGAAGGTTGAAATATTGATGGATGATGATAAATTCATGTGGCTGGTGAAAGACTGAAGCAGGCCTAAACAGACGCTGGGTTTTTTCAATCATAGTTTTAAGATTCTTGTTTTCCAGGTTCAAAAAATTGGAATTGTCCTGCAGAGGAGCGAGGGATTTCAGCTTGTATTCGTCTCAGTGACGTTTCAGAATGCTGTGTGGTTATCCTTCAAATCGTTAAGAGCTTACGGAAGGCGTGCTGATAAGAAGTGGCAAATTACACAGTCTTAGTTTTGCTGGAATTGAGCCCTGTGGTTGCCTCGATGAATATGTGGTCGCGTTGCTGTTGAAAACCCAGCTCTGTTCCCAGTAATTTATTCATAACTCTAAGGTTTTTGCTGTATTTATCATCCATTTTTCATTAGCAAAGAGCAAATCACCAACAGCAAGTTGTTTATTCAATCATTAATAGTGCACGGCATTACACTAGTCTATTTAAGACATAGTCTCATCAGTTTGCTTGCATAGTTTTACCTCACTTTGTTTGATGCAGCAGTGATTATTTCACCCTGTCCAAACCAGTTGTCTAAATAATATCATCAGGTGCTCAGTAGTGGTCAGACTTATTATGCTTTTCTTGTATATTGACCCTGAGGTACAGGTTAGGATGCCAATGGCTCCCACAGGGATGAAAGGCCTTTTCCTTTTTTTCTTTCTAGCAGAACGTTCCGCCTCAGACAGCTGGCTTACATTGCTGCAAGTTTGTGTGTGTGTGTTTAACATTATTGCCAATAATAACCATAATGACAAAGCATCACAGAATTTAAAACTGCGGCGCCGGTTCTGATATATCATGCATATTTTGGGGCAGTGGATTAATATCACATTCAACATTATTCAAATTCTCTCATGGTTAATTCTACTCCGGGGAATTAAAGACAGATGAAATACGAATGCCTTGCCCAGTTCTAAAACCTAACAGGAATGTTAAGTTTTAAACCTGTAATATACTCCGACTATTAAGTTAGACGCTCTCGATAGTTGTAATTCATGCACTTTCTCTTGTCTTTCACACATGCTGCCCATTACAATCACTCAATGCTGTGAAGTTGGTTGGATGAACTCTGCAGGCCGGTATTGAAAAGGGTTGTCGGGCAGCAAATGTGTTTAATTTGCTTTCCTTTGGCCCTGTGGTTCATTTTGCCAAGCCAAGTCCTCTCATTTAGGGGATTATGTTCCAAAGGCTTCTGGGGTGTAGGTGGAGGTCAGAGAGGATGAAAGACAGATGAATGGAGAAAGTGATGGAAAGAGTTTTCACTGCGGGCTTTAGGTTGTAGCAAGAGAGACATGGCGGCAGATGAAGGGGGTAACGTATGAAGTGGCGTGGGGGGAGGGGACGCCAAGACAGAGGCCGACGAGGGAAGCTGCTTGTCTGCGGGAAGATCTGAAGGTCGGGGGTGTACTTGTGTGTGTGGGGGGTGGTGAGCGTGGAGGAGGTGTGCCTAGCAGAACCGAGTAACCCTGACGGCGGGGGGATTGCGGGGGGGTGGGGGCTCCCAGCTTTTCTACGGGTATCGACAGATCCGGTGCCACTTCTGCTTCACTGGCCTGATCTGCCCCACTTCCAAACACACAGTGCACCTCTCAGCGGGTTAAAGGAGCCCTTCCTCTCTAGCTGCACTTGCACGTATGAGTTGATGAACTTTGAGATGGGCCGAGTACGCTCAGTGAATCAGATAGTTTAGACCTCGGGGCTGAATTAGTGCTTCACAAAAGGGGCCATTCTCCATGAAGCACAAAACTCCCTTTGGGGCTCTGTAAAGACCCCCGCATAGTCAAGGACGCGTCCCTCTTTTTTTATTGGACCAACATTATTCGTTTGATTTTGCCAACCATAGGCGACGCCGAGAGATAAGGGACAAAGGAAGTGTTTTCAAACATTTACAAGACTGTAAAAGTTGAAGAAAATATTAGAATCTGCAGAGCAACACACAGAAGACTTCTCTCCTGGTCAATAAGAGACAGCAAAGAATTTTTTGAACATGTATTTAAAAAAAAGGAAGAGGATAAAACATTAACACCCTCCAAACATACAGCAAACTCTCAGTGGGCATTTAATTAAGTATTTAATGTGGGAAATGGTATAATCAATAAGCATAATGCTCTATTTAGTAAAAGTCTCTGTCACAGTGTTTATCATACAAAGCAGAAATAGAGGATTCTAACCAAAACAAGAACAATTCAATCCCAATAAAACAGACAAGGCATCAATCAAAACAACCCACGTATCCTAACAAAGAGGAAGTTGTGAGAAAATGTTGGAAGAGTGCGTGAAACGTAAGAGGTACGAGCAGAATTGTGGGACTTCGGTGGGGTTCAGTGGAGAAGAGGGGCACACTTGAGTTCTCTGAATACCTCCCTTATGTCAGGAATGAGGATATTCTCACTCTTTGAGGAGGGGGCCTGATGGATGTACTGCCAATTTAAAGCTCCCACATATCCATTATTTATAAGGATCAAAGCATTATTAATCAAGAATTACAAGTGGAAAGACCTCACTAGTGAGAAATATGTTTTTTAAGCAGCTGTTACGGGCTCAAACCGCTCGGAAAGAGTACGGCCAGTAGCCGGAGTGGAGTTACATCCTCAAGGACCCATTCACTCCTTAATTCACCTCCAACAACTGCTCCGCTTGGCTTCAGTTATGTGCTGACTGTTTCACATGATCCTTGGAATAATTAACTCTGCCAATCCCACGTTTTAAAGAAAAAGGACCTGTCTGTTTCAGCCACTAATCCGGCCTGTTTGGGAAGCAGAGGCTGTGCGGTGACACTTGTTCCTCCACTCCCCGGAACCTCACATTAGCATAACGGTGAGGCCCGTCCACTCACTGCAGGATTAGTTCAGCTCTCCTCCCACTGTCTGATGGCTCTTTATCCAGACGGATACAGCCGGATAGAGGTCCTAACCACGCCATTGACGGCGAAGGTCATTATCATTCACCACCAGAAGGAATCGGCTTACCGAGAGAGAGTGAGGGTGATGGAAAATAGAAAAGACAGGGAACTCCCCTTCAGTCCATGATGGAGTGGCCAATAAATGCCCAATTAATCTGCCTTAATCTGACTCGATTCTTAATCTGTTTTGCTAATGTTTTTTGGAAACTGTGATTATTTTAAATGTGGATATTTCTGTTGTTCACACACATGCTTTACCCTCCTAATGTTTCAGTAAAGAGATGCATTGTGGCAGTATTAATAGAAATTTGGGAATTATGTAAAAGGATGGGGATGACGTTCTTTGCTCCGTTATACACAACAGACTTTTTGACTTGAAACATTAAGTTAAGGTTGAAAGTTACTTAATTCAATCAAAACTTTTTTGTATGCCAATGAAATTGACTTAAATGGTGTCATCACCAGAGACATTGTCCACATATACCACGAGATATTATACTGTACAGTAAAGGCAACGTCCCCACGTACCCATCAGACTCAATAGATGATGTTTTAGATTGTATAGAGACATTTCATTATTTACATTAATTAGCGTGGCGTTGTTGCAGCCTCTTTCCCACTGTCTGTCTTATTTAACCGACCGATATGACGGATATCATGTGTCATTTGAATCACGGATATTCATTATTTTTACAGTACCTGACTGTTCCAATTCCAACACATTGAATAAATAAGTGTAATACATTTGAACACAAATTAAGACATGAATTAAGTTAAATGTATTTCCTGATAAAGTTAGTCTTCTGAGATATACATGATTATGAATTAATGAAGAAAATAAGAGATAAAGTATCAGTGTGATAAAGAAACAACACTGGGGATTCAGCAACAGTTAATCCTGCATACCTTCATTATGTGGAAAAGCTGCAGATAATAAAAATGAGGGCTAAAGACATTTTGGACACAGATAATGATGAATGTGGTTAAGAACATAATGGATTCATTTAGAACAGATTCAGTCCACGTGGGGACCATGACTCATGTGCTTCCCCTGTGTGTGTCCCGGCTTTGTTAATTGTTGGTGAAAGTTGGAAAATAGCGTCTGTTCATACTGAGAACGAAATCCAAAAATCGTTTCTTTACATCCTCAGAACGTTCTTCTCTCTAACCTCCTGATATGGCCGCACGGTGCCTCATTACGTTTGCTTTCCCTTTTTCTTTTTTTTTCCCCTCATGTTTTTCTCACCCTCACTCCCACCTACACTGCACTTTCTTCTTTTCTCTCTCCCTCTCTCTCCCTCCCTCTCCCTCCCTCTCTCTCTATGACTATGCTGTCTGCCTCAGCTGTTGGCAGTTGCACTGAGTGCCTTGTGCTGTGGGGACAGGGCCGTCCAGAGAAGGGCTGAGTAGAGAGAGGGAGGGAGGGAGAGAGAGAGAGGGAGGCAGGAGACAAAATCAGTGTGAACGGGGGAGAAAGAGAGTGAGCGCAGATTGTCTTTACAAAGCAAACTGGATTAACAGCTGAAACAGACTGGACCTGTTTCTTTTTTTTTTTTGTTCTGTTGCAAAAGGTAGAGACTCTATAACAACGTTGATGGCTGTTTTAAAAAAACAAGCTGCATGCTCGTTCGGTGCCAGGTCATAAAATGATGGCATAATTACCCAATTCCGCTCGCTCTTCCTTGCATTTAGTGGGGTGAAGATCTCCTCTTCGTGCTCGGTTTGGTTCAGTTCACCTCGGACCTTCTGATGTCGGAGGTGACATTGAGGCGTAACCACAGATTCTCCTCCGCAGGTTCTGTCTCCACTGGAGTTGGACTCTAACTTTGGGGTTTCGACCACGGGAACAGGAGAGGGGTTTCTGATTTTGGAGAGGGACGGGTTCTACTGAGAACCAGTCTGGACCGACCCGCCAGCACTTATTCCTAATCTGTGGACATCAGATCTGAGATCTGCGCGCACTGGAGGTGTGTATCGAAAGGACTTGTTTGCCCCAGGACCATGGACTCCCTCTTGGGCAGCATTCTGCTGCTGTGTGGGTCGATTCTGCTCAGGACAGAGGGCATCAGAGCTCAACAGACCAAAAACAACGTCCCTCGGCTAAAACTGGCTTATAAAGGTGAGATACTCTCCTTTGTATTCCGTCTAAAATTTCAGTTTATAAGATTTGTTATGAATTAATGTCCGTGTCCTATTGATTTAAAAAAGAAAAAATGTGTGATGTGATTTAAATTGCATGTGTGGTGCCAATGAAGTGACTAGAAAAGCTCATGGAAGTTATCCTGAGACACAAAGACACTTTCTGTCTATTTATCTGTAAAGACTACCAGCAAAGCAAACTGGGATGAAAAAAGTGGAGCATTCTGGTTTATCAGATGTATGCTTCTTGTGCCATGGATTAATGCTGAACTGTTTATTTAGTTAAGTTTTAATTCAGGTAGTATTAAACAGGACATCTGTTTTATATGGTGCTGGATCACATTCCCATTTAATTGTGTTTATTTATTTATACTAGTATTAATGATCTATTCATTTTTTTTTGCCAAAACAAAAAATAAACTGAAATATATTTGGCAACCTCTTGTGAGTGTAGTAAAAATAATTAAGGTCCAAACAGCTGGGAATATTAAATAGGTATTAATGGAAATAGTATACTACATGGACCACATGGTGGTATTTAGGAAACGATAGGATTTGTCAGATATATCTTAAATTACATTTATCCTCAAATTAAAATTACATATTTTCTCAGTAATTTATTCATAACTTTCACTTTCACGTCACTCTGCTCCTGTTTTTATCAAATATCTGTTATCAGTCTTGCAATACAAAGCGGTGCTCGACCTGGACTCCCTGGCATCCGAGCATCACGTATCCCTCTCTCCCTTTTCTTTTACTGGATGTCAGTTTTCCGCTTCTTTCTTTTCCTGCATGGTAATTACACTCAGGATGAATGGTGTACGTCTGTTTCAGCAGATGGCTTTCCCAAAGAGAAATGTATCTCGCTCAGCACCGGGAGATCCATAATTACGCACACGAGCATGCGCACACACACACACACACACACACACACACACACACACACACACACACACACACACACACACGTGCACAGCCATCTGTACTTAGCTAATGATACCTATGAGCAAATCAGTCATTTAAAACAACACGCTGTCACTTTGGCGAAGCACGCCCGTGCAGTGATGTGTCTATTAGAAGTTAGGCCTTCAGGTAGCAGCCTGGCCAGCTTAGTTATTTCCATATTCATTATTTCTTTACACCTCATTCGTATTTTGTCTGGAGGGCAAAATATTTGGCACCTTATCTTGCTGTGGAGTTCCGTCCAAAGGATAGCGAGCAGGTATAAGCGACATGCCCGGAACGCGTTTTAAACATTATTCAGATAACACTGTAGAATTTATCAGACATTTTCCATAGCAGGTCCTATTAGGCAAGTGGCGTGGGATCATTGCAGTATGAATCATTCATACCGTGGTATACATTATGTATTACCCCTGTGACAGGTGAAGCAGACTCAGATTTACTCATGGAGGTGAGGGAATCAGATGATCCACGGTGGTGAATTACAGAGCAGTACCTGCTTAGACAGCCTGAGAAGTTGTTCTGTCCTGAGCCGGGAACATCTGATCAATGACACATGGGACTCCGAGGTGAAGGAACTCTGACCCCTACAGGTCACTTGGAATACTGGGAAAAGAACTGTGTGTGTGTGTGTGTGTGTGTGTGTGTGTGTGTGTGTGTGTGTGTGTGTGTGTGTGTGTGTGTCCAAATGAATGCATGTGGGGTCAGGCTTTCAAATCTACTGATGATTTAACAGGAAACTGCCCGTCTGGAAGGTGTGAAGCAAGGCAGCAGCCTACTCGCCAACAGTGAAGACACTCTGAAGCATACATACCAACGTCAGCCATCACAAACACACACACACACACACACACACACATTTGCTTCTTGCTGAGCCACAGGGAATTGCAACAGATCTTAGAAAGTGAGGGTTGAAGGGCAGAAGGCCGTTGGGGTCGGGGGAAAGATCACAGTGGTTCCCCATTGCTACCTAAACAGAGCTGAGGTCCAACTGTATCAACAGCTTAGGGACGTGCTGATGATGATGATGAGATAGTGGGAGGCTTTGGATTTCTACAAAGCGCACCAGCAACCATCATCCAGTCATTTCACGTAGATCCTTTGTCATGAAATGGATTCACAAATGGATCCTCGAGGAGTAAACAGAGATCCAGGGCTTTGCGAGTTTATTGGGCAACAAGGAGTAGAAGTAGTTGTTGTCCAGGGAAGGGAAGAGGGGGTACTTCAGTTTTATGAGATGCAAGTGTGTGTACTGCCAAAAGCACTCCTTCTCCTTCACTTCGACCTGTCCACCCCTTTCCTGATCAGAGCCAAGTGTTTGCACACACACACACACACACACACACACACACACTCGCACACACACAAACAGGCAAACCCCTTTACAAACATCCAAAAAATGAATACTCTTGATTACCAAGTAGGAAAAGAGCCAAGACAATGATGACTATAGCAAATACCTCCTTCTTTCACTACACAATTCCTCATTGTAGTAGTCATTCAACTGTTTTTGTTTTTGTGTTATTCTGGTTTTCATTGTGTTGCAAATGGACTTTTAATCAGAGAAGAGAGTAGTGTCTTAAGCCCTTTAATCCATAAACACGTCAAGAATCTTTGCGGTGGAGTTGGGTTTCTCGGGTGTGTTCAGTACAAACTCTGAATGGCCCGTGAAGGGATTCTCTACACTTTGCGTTGGATGTTTGGGGACTTTCTCGGGCTCTGAATACTTTTTTCCCCTCCAACTCTGAACTGGATTCAGTAGGCAGTGTTTAGTTTTTCTTTAACTTGTTTCTCCGGGCTGCTGTTCCAGCTGCAACGTAATATGCGCCTGCTTTCATAGTGTTCGAGGCTATTGTCTGACAAACAGGAGTAGTGTGTTGTGGATCGCTTTATTCAATATCCCAATATAAATAATACAACTTTACAATAGCATTGTCAAATTACAACATGGCAAATGTACAAAAAAGAGCATTTAAAGTGATTAAAGTGAAATGAAGGTGAACTTGTTGCCATTGTGATCTCACAAGACAGAAATGTGGTTAGCAAAATCTAACTAGTTTTGACCACAAATAGCCTAGAATTACACATAATGACTACATGTATACATCTGTACATCTATACAGGCAATATTGATATAATGCCGAGCCATAGATGAATAGAAGGAGCTGCTGTAGCTCAGAAGTCAGCGTGACTTGATTTAATAACATTTATATTATATAACTTATGGTTCGATCACTTTCTCCTATCATCTGCACGGCGTAGATTCATTGAGCAGAGTAACTGAGCCAAAAGTTGATCCTAAAATAATTCACAGCAGCACACTGCTCCCTGGGGTTTAGACTGGAGTAGATGTAGAGGTTAGATTTCATCAATGTATTTTATGATTTACGATTCTAATAAAGTTCATCTTAGATACAGTATGTAACCCAAAATGTTGAATGCGAAACATCTTCCAAATCACTCACCATAAACCCCAAACCAGACAAGTGTGCCGAGCGCAAAAGGTTTAAAGGGTGTTTGTAGGCCTTTCTGACGCTGAACAAATGAGGTGATTACTGATGGAGCTCAGTGGCGTTTCCCCCGGAGCGTGGATGAATCAGTGACTGGATACACTTTAAGTGACACAGTGATACGTTATGTTTTGTCGGTGTGCAGTCACACACTCGGCAATATGGAGTCGGTGAGACAGCTGCACCGGGGCCAAATGTCAGTGGTCCCATACACAGTGCGGCCACACGTGGGTAATTGTTCAAATGTGTTTCTGCTTTTTCCAAGGAAGCACTTAGATAACACTCCACGTGCCCTCCAGTTGACGCAGAGAAAGGGAGAGAAAGATGGAGGGAATGTAGGGTAAAAGAGTTTATTTTTATCGGTCTCACATGGGACTGTTGATTCTTTGCGTCCATCCCATCTGCCCCCCTTATTCCTCTCACTTTCCCTTTTGTAGCTCCCTATTCCTCTCTCCCTGTCCCAACTGAAAAATTTGGAGTAACTGAATATAGTAGAGGCGAAAGAGAAGGGGGGGTTGGTGAAATGTTTTTTTTAGAAAACAAATTGAGTGAGGGACAGAACGCAAACGAGAAAAGGAAGGGACCAAACCAGAGGATCTTTACAGCTCGAGCTTAACAGTTACGGGCTAAAAGAGACAATTCGTAAAACATGACAGGGCAGCAGCTGACACCTGTTACAGGTCACACGTTTGCGTATCCACCTGCTTTTCGTGTCTCTGTCGCTCTGGCCGTCTGTTTTTTATCTCTTTAAAGCCAATCACATTGTTTCTGGCACAACATTAGAAACAAATTATTGTAAAATTGAAAAACTGTGAGTTCAAGGGAGTTTAGATGTTGCAGCAAAACGTTTCCAAGTCGAAGGATACGTGGGAAAAAAAGGAATGCTGCATTATCCATGCACATGTTGTCAACCCATTGTATGTTTAACCGGAGGGCAAACAAGTTCAAACATGCGTAGGCCACTGCCCCAGGCGTGTCTTGGAAACATCCTGTTTCTTTCCAATAACACACATCAGAGCATGCTCCATAAACACATAGATTCACACACAATACCCATCCAGTATCTGTCTCTGGATGAATAGCTTTTAATAACTTAGCAGTAGTCTCTGTTGAATGGTCTGTTGCCATGGACACTACTCCCATGGACACTTTTCACAAACCAGAAGAGTGTGTGTGTGTGTGTGTGTGTGTGTGTGTGTCTGTGGTGTGTGGATGTGGTGATGCCACATCCACCGTGCCTCCATTCTCTCATACAGGGATGTGGTTTTTAGGAGAAGTGATCACGTCTGTGCAGTTTCCCTACGGCTCCTTGACACCTTGTCGTTTATATAACAAGCCTATCATTGCATGGGGAATCACTTATTTCCTCGAGATAAGAAAATTACACAGCATTGGCATTTTTATGTGTGTTTGTGTGTACAATTACCCTGTGGGATCAGATCAGATTCCAAATTGGATGTGACCAAGTAGGAATTTGCTACAATGTACAAAACCATACGTTTCCTTCTGGTTCTATGGAGCACGAGTAAAACTACTACCCACAAACGCGACAATGTTGTAGGTGAAAGAGGGTCAGAGGAAGCAGCAAGTGTTTCTGTCCTGTCAGTGATTGATCACCAAGGTCACTACGCGGGCAAACATTTAGGACAACACTTTCACTGCAACGTTTTATGAGATTTTTTCTTCTTTCTTTCCATTTTTAAACTATGCTATGTTATGTGGAATCCATATATACTTGTGTAAGTATATTCATCGACTAGATATGTTCTTTATGACTTGTAAAGATGTTCCCTACTTTTTATTTTGTTTCCTACAGCTCTGTGTCCTGAATTTTTACAAATTTTCTTTTTCAAATCCATTTTTTTTTACTCCATTTATGTCATCGCACTTTTTATTTTACATATCCTCTTAACAATAATTGTGACCATCATACTGGCATCATCAATAGTAACACTGAAAATGCTACTCTACAAAGTTCATTCATTCAAAACAACTACTACAACTAAAGATTTTCAGCAATAATAATAATATTTATTGTATTATAATTCCTATTTATTCATATTAAAATAAGTATTGCTATAAAACAAAAATGTGTACTCCATTCATTGTTGCAGGGTAAATAATGAACAGATAATGGAAGGAAGTCACCCTCTTTCTTGTCTTCTTTAGATGCTACAACTTATATAACTCTTTTCATTGTACATGCATATGAAATTCTCGGATGCTCCTTCTCTTCTCACTCTCTCGGGTTCTGACACACATCAGAAAAGGGACATTCTCCGTGGTAAAACATTCATGAATGTATTTGCTATTTACTCCCGAGGAAGAGCGCGAGAGAGAGAGAGAAAGAGGATTGTCCTGCGCTCCATAACTCTCCGCTCGTTTGTGTGTGCGGTCAATGGGAAGGCGTCATAGTGTGAGAGTGTATTTGTGTGTTTGCATGAATACACGCATTACACAAGTAAATATACACACATTACACAAAAGGTGTTTTAATGCCCAAGTCACAGTGCCACATTTAAAGGTCGTTCCGGTTATAAGATTTGTCGTGACAAGTTCGGCTTTCTTCCATGAGAGCGAATGTTCCATCGTTGCCAGACCTGGCAGACCGCTGCATTACGCTGCAAACCGTGAGCTGCAGCCCATGGTAACATGTCCGGAGAGCTCATGTGGTTTAGTGTAACCCTGCAGTTTGGACTATGACACTTTAGCAGATTTATATCACATCATATGTTCCTCCCAGTTTTCCACTAACAAATTCTGCTTGGCCGTTGTGGTGAAGGTTACTTTCCCATGCAGACGGTTTGATAATTGGCTACGAGAGCTGGCATTACCTTCCCTGTCCAGTTCGGCTTGCCAGTATTTATCACTATCTGTCAGTCGGCTTGTTGGGCCAAGCTTTACAGTTTATATCCCCACTATGATTTATAAAGGAATGGAAGCTACAAAAAAACAAAAGCTTTGGGGGGAGATTTTCATGACATAAAGACATTCACTATTTAAAGTAATGGCCAAAACAACCTAATGTAACATGTATTTTGTGCATGTGGAACATTACAACAGACAAGGCAGACTAGGGAATGAAGAGGTGAACCTCTGGTTACAGAAATGTAGTGTGGTTGGAAATGTTAAAAGCTTTCTAAAACCCAGGCCGTGTCTTTCAGACACCAGTGGAATTCTTTAGTATTGACCTGGTGTTTTTTTCTTCTTCTTTTATGGTACCCACAGTTACATTTTTCTTTCAATGTTACTATCATATTATGCTGAACATCACTTTTCCTTCCACTTTTCTCTGCAGACATGCTGGAGTCAAACAACCTGGTAACGTTTGAAGGCCTTGCCAACAGCTCAGCTTACCACACCTTCCTGTTGGACGAGGAGAAAGGACGACTCGTTGTGGGAGCCAAGGACCACATCTTCTCCTTTAACCTCCTCAACATCAGCAGAGACTTCGCGCAGGTACAACCGTTGTTCGATTGTCTGTCTGGCCGTTTATCCCAATTAATAATTTATCGCGACATTAAGTTTGTATTCATTTCCGACCGACTTAATATCTTCCTTCAGCGTACATCTGCATCCAGAGTGCCAGTCAAGGGCTCAGGTATCCTGGGACCTTCTTTTCTGTTTTTAAAGAAAAGAGCCTCATGCATATTTCAGAGCAGGGCTGTCGCACACGATCACACGCTGCGTCAGGCATGTTAGCTGCTCTCTGCATACCCGGATTAATAATGGAGTAAACTGAAACAAAGTGGATAACAAATCACATTGTGACCCGCATGTGCGCACACAGACAGTATCTGCATAGGCTCACTTTGTTAAAACCATTCGAGGTAGGGGGCGATTCTTTTGCTAACATGCACAGTGGCCGTGTTTGTGTTGCAGGTCCCTTGGCTGGCTTCCTCCACCAAAAGAGATGAATGCAAGTGGGCAGGAAAAGATCTCTCGGTAAGAGCTAAAACCATCCATCTCGCAAGTTGGTCGCAGCATTTTGCCCCTCCATTTCCCACCGCCGCTGAAGAATGGCAACTCTGCATGTCCGGGCATGAAGCTCACTTGAAGTTGTGCTTAGACGACATTTCATCTGTGCTCCACATGTATGACATTTTAATCTACAACAATCTGTGATGTTTCATTATCTTTCAGCTTGTTTATTCTACTGTGGTGACATATTCAATCTGTCTGCCAAGATCACCATCGGTCTGTTTACAATCCCCGTGACTGAGACCACCGTTCTCCCTTAGTGACAATCCTCCATTTCAATCAGGAGAGACTCAATTGGAAGGAAGCATTCATTTATTAAACATTTGAGTGGTACAACGTCTTGGTAGCTCGGACCCCATCCTGCCGTAGGGATGTTGAGGTCGGATGAGGCATATTTCTCTCTGGAGTAAAGACTATGGTGGTGGCGGTTGTGGTAAAACTCTGTGTAAACACACGGGGAGGTTGTCTCTGCTACCTTCAACTTGTGTTATGAATTTCTATTTCAAAATAAAGCCTAAGGCAATATGCTGGAATCTGAAATCATGTCAATGCTGTTTGTGCCTAAGTTTGCTTCATGGACATTGGCCAACCTCTCCTCTTTGTGTTTTTTCTGTAAACATTGTGGCGTGGATGAATAAGGTGCCTTGAGGGGTGGTCTTTCTGTTATGGAGTCGAAGGGAAGTAAGAACTAAAGGGAGCTGGAGGAAGATGGAGAGTGAGTCTGCTGAGTACTGCAACCACTTCAGGAGATAAAGCTGAGAGGACAGAAAGAGATTGATGGGTGTCAAAGGTGTGACTCACAATAGAAAAAAATAAAGCTGCTATTGCGTAAATGCCAAATAATACAAATCCATTTTCCTACAAAAATAAACGAATATTCTCCACAGTTTCAGGTCTTGTGCTTGGATAAAGAAATCTAAAATGATACCTAATATTTATATTTAATTTCAAAGAGATCATACAGAAACTGCAGTAGCATGTTTATTGCTTGGAACAATGATGCCCATTACTGAGATGAACCCACGCATGCAGGCATTTCAATGCAGGCAAAGACAGCTGCTTAGATGACAACAAAAGTTTATGCAAACAGGGGCTGCTATGTGCCGATGACCGGAAGCCAGATGAACTTAGTCGTGCAAAATTTGTGTCACTATTGTGTTTTTCTTTCTTATAGAATATGAGATTACACATTCAGTTTTATTTTAGGTCAGGTCTGCTCAGGCAACGTGCTGCCAGAGCACAAGGAAATATGCCATATGCTAACGTAGCAAAGCATCCAACAAATACAGATGCTTGTTGTGATAACTATGCCTATATTCCTATAATAATCATGATGCAACGAGCTAAATACAATGCAGGATCAAAACCCCCACGTACGTATTCTGCACTGACAGAATGACAGTAAGCCAGCGTTGGCCTGCACTGCAGTGATTGGTAAACTGATTTTCTGTGTTTTCTTTCATTTTTAGCAACTCTCAGCATAGTTTGTAACAGCCAGTGTCCAGAGAATTACTGTAGATTACTGTAGAGGGCTTTGCTCTCCGTTATCATTGGAGTTTTTTCTATTGTTTATTCTATTGCATTGAATTTTGATCTTTAATCTGATCTCCGAGTAAGATCTGCTCATTTATCTCTTCATTTCACACCTTTCTTCATGACCCAAACGTCAGTTGCTATCACAACTAGCTTTTGGTTGACCGTGACACCAAAGTCTGTAACAAGTTTTGTTCCTAAAGTCTATTACCCATCCAGCTTAATCTGTTCCTTGTTTTTCAGAGGGAGTGCTCAAATTTCATTAAAGTCTTGCAGCCGTTCAACCAGACCCACCTCTATGTGTGCGGGACAGGAGCCTTCCACCCTGTCTGCTCCTACCTGGAGGTTGGCAAGAAACCAGAGGTACACACACACACACACACACACACACACACACACACACACACATTTCTTTAGAAATGTGGTTTAACACCACAATGACCGTAAGCATTAGTATATGAAAGCTATGCCAAGTAGCATGTCAAAGTAAAGTTTGAGTATTTCAAGTTGTGAAATACTATGTGTCGTCAGGCACGATGCGTTCCTGATAATCCTGATCATTTGCTTCCCCTCTAAAAGTGGTATATCAAGGTCAAATTAAACACCAAACTGTATGTACTTTGGAGTCACGTTTCTGTGACTCACTATGAAACATTGTTTGATGATGTTGGATTCTGTGATTATTTCTGTTGTTACAATGCCATACTATAAAATACCATAACGTTCTCCAAACCGACACCTGTAACTGCTTCTAGAGAGAATTCCAGTCACACTGAACTCTTTTTTTCTCAATGTAATTTGCCTCCTTAACTCGTGAATATAATGTTGTGACGTGTATTTGTCAGTGTAGTGGAACTGATGTGACTTTCTGTCTCTCCTGGTCCAGGACAGTGTGTTCAAACTGGAGCCTCTTGTAGAGAATGGTCGAGGAAAGAGTCCTTATGATCCCAAGTTACTGACTGCCTCCATGCTGATTGGTGAGTTTACGACTGGATTCACTGCGCTGTTCCTTCCGTGTGTTTGTTCAAGGTCTTATAAAACAGGAGAGTCCTGAAAACACCCTCTGCCTCGCTCTTTCATTTCAGAAGATTTAGAAGGTTTAAAGTCAATGTAAATAACAGAACAGGGCATCCCTGTCATTCATTACCAGTTCATCAGCTCTGTGGTTTGTTTTTACGCACTGGGAACCCCTCATTGGCAGGACTGCAAACTCTATTTCAATCTGAATATACCTCATTTAAGTGCAGGGCGTGCATGGCAAATTAGGCTTTATTTAGCGTTTTCTTTGTACTTAATCCACATTCTTTCCAAATAAAGCAGAATAACGTGAGCATGTCTTTCCTCTTTAACCCCAATTATTCCCAGTCACATTGTGTTATATCGCACCGTTTAACCTAGCAGATGGCCATTTTCCAGCCCGTCACCTTCCATCTCCTCTTCCCTTTCTCTCTCCCATCTCATCACTATTAGTATGTACACCCCCTGTCTTGCACCTCCGTCCCGTCCCTCCTTATGTGTCTCTCCATCCGCTCAACCTTCCCCTCACAGCCACCCTACTGTGATGATGTCAATTTCACACTCCTGATGTTCATCACATCCTCCACAGTCTGTGTTTTCTCAGGATTTGACGTGTGTCTGTCCCGCTAAGCACCTCAAATAATTCTTCAGACTTTCACACCTGGATCACTGGGTAGAAATAACCTAAAGCCATTTTCTTATTCTTTGGTATTGAACTCTTTACTCTTACTTTCAGATGGAGAACTGTATGCTGGGACATCAGCTGACTTCATGGGGCGGGATTTTGCAATATTTCGCACTCTCGGAAAGCACCACCCGATCAGGACGGAGCAACACGACTCCCGATGGCTAAACGGTGAGAAAGAAGAGAAAAATCACAGGTTTAAAGTCGCTTCAAATATGCAATACTTTTTAGTACCTTGATTTAATTAATCTGGTCAAATTTAGTATCCTAAAAATTGCAAATGAATTGCACATGATGCACCGGTTTAAAGTTATTGTTGTTGTACAACAAAACTTTGTTTGGTAGCCCTGTCTAGGTCAACAATGTACGATGTACAAGATACAACAAACAATGTACAAGATGCTAACATTATTTATTTATTTTATAATATTGACAGGGTTATTTATTACAGGTTTTAATATTTTCATTTTATTGGGCTGACACACAGCGGTTTTAGTGACTCTTTAGGATCCTGTTTTTTTCTGCACGGCTCAAACTATTGCAGGCTGTGTTTTAAGGAGGACGAAGCACAAGAAGCACATTACTTCTCTCTCTGGCTGCAGGTGGAGTTCAATATAAAACCTTTTTTATTACCTGACATGCTCCAAACTCTCAAGCCCTGCCCAATCATTTGCCTTCCCTCATTGCTCTTTTATCATTGCTCACTAAATAGATACTTTCCTTGATTTTTGTTGCAGATCCCAGGTTTGTGGGCGTGCATCTAATTCCAGAGAGCGACAACCCAGAAGATGACAAAATCTACTTGCTCTTTAAGGAGAACGCTATAGACGGAGAGCACGCTGGGAAGGCCACACACGCCCGCATCGGACAGCTCTGCAAAGTATGAATGAACACAGTAACACGCAGAGAAATGGCCCTTCAAGCACGCACTTACACTTAGCTGCTGTATCTGGAAAAACACTTGACGGGTGGCTTTCATCTGGGTGGGTTTCTGGGACTGTTATCTGTGATTATTTTTAACCTGGAGAAGAGTGGGGCTTTTGTTGTGTGTGTGTTACAATCAGCCCCCCCCCAAGACAGAAACCTGAGAGAAATGTTAAATGTCACCAGAACCTGAGAGGCAAAGATGCTGTCAATGGCGGCACTGTTATCCAAATGCCAGGCGTTTGGCACTGATGGGTCTGCTACACCCTCCAGCTCCAGGGAATGGTTATGTAAAAATCACCAGCCTTTTATTAGCTTTCGCGTTCCAAATCGTACTCGTACTAATTACGCAGGAATCCACCAGGCTGACTGCAGATCAGCGAGTAATGTCCAGCCTCAACCATCTATTTAGCTGCATACTGTGCCTCTGTCATAATCTCTGATTACCCAGTATCTCGGGAATGTGCTGTGCTCGACGAAAGACAAGCCATCTATTTTGCAAGATGTGGTATTAATTATTGCCAATGCATGTTTGGACACATTCTTATTTCAGGAATCAAAACCAACTGGGATAGGACTTTATGAGCCAGCATTCTTTGCCTCTGTGTTTGTGTGCAATGCTGTCGAAAACAATCATACAGTGAGGCGCACAGACCCCTCGTTAGGGTTTGTGCTGGAACTTAAATACTCTAGAGAAGTTCTAAAATTGAAATATTTATGGGTTGATTGACCGGCCTCCAAAATAATTAAGTTAAAGCACTTTCTACTCTGAAAAGGCTTTTCTATCGATACTCCGTCTTGTTCTGAGCAAGTGAGACCCTGGTTACTCTCTGCTGCAGCTTTGTGAGGAGAATGACGTTTACCACACTCCTGATCTTACAGTCTTACATGTGTATTACAACTTCAACTACACTTTCTTGTGTTATACCACATCCAATTTGAGTATATATATGTATATATATATATATACATATATATATATATATATATATATATATGCATCAAAGACTTTCAGCTGGATATATATATATATATAATTATTAGTTTATGTTTGAAAATACTATGATATGCACTATACAAGGGAAAGAAATGTACTAAATAAAACAAGGATTTCTCAATTTTCTCAATATTTATGAGAGCTCTGAATAATCTAATTTCCCCACTGAGCTTGTTGATCTGATCTTGCCAACAGAATGACCTGGGAGGTCACAGGAGTCTTGTAAATAAGTGGACCACCTTTTTGAAGGCGCGACTTATTTGCTCCGTGCCTGGCAGCAATGGAATAGACACGCACTTTGATGAACTCCGTGAGTGATTGCTCCCGTACCGTAAAACGTGTTTCATAAATGATTTTGTTGGTGGTGAATGAGTCTGCTATATCAAATCTGTCCTTTCTGTTGCTCACAGAGGATGTTTTCCTCATGAGCACAAAGGATCCTAAGAGCCCGATCATCTATGCGGTATTCACCACTTCCAGGTACCGTCCCCAACAGGGAAACAATTTTTGCTGTAATTGTGTTTTCAACAAGAACCCGACCGTTCCTCTACCGTTCTTTCTGCCCCATCAGCAACATCTTCAAAGGCTCGGCTGTGTGCATGTACAGCATGGCGGACATCAGGAGAGTGTTCCTGGGTCCTTACGCTCATAGAGATGGACCCAACTATCAGTGGGTGCCTTTCCAGGGACGCGTTCCCTACCCACGGCCTGGCACAGTGAGTGTTTACCGGGGAGTCGTTGCCTTATGAACTGGGCTAACACTTACACCTTCTTCTTTTTTTTCTCAACAGTGCCCAAGCAAGACGTTTGGAGGGTTCGATACAACCAAGGACCTGCCCGATGACGTTGTAACCTTCGCTAGAAGCCACCCTGCCATGTTCAACCCTGTGTATCCCATTAACAATCGGCCAATCATAGTCAAAACAGATGTGGACTACCAGTTCACCCAGATAGTGGTGGACAAAGTGGAAGCAGAAGATGGGCAGTACGATGTCATGTTCATCGGCACAGGTATACATTCATGTACATTAGAGTAACTATTGTTTTATACAAGCACACATATTGTTGCAGTTTATTCTTTATTGTAATACATTGCATGGTTTGTGCTTCCTTGTTTGTGTTAGACATGGGGACGATACTGAAAGTAGTATGCATCCCCAGAGGCTCCTGGCATGACCTGGAGGAAGTCCTATTGGAAGAAATGACCGTCTTCAGAGTACGTTTCTTTCTTGTTGGCTAATGAATGACTGTTGAACCAGCAGGTGCCGTCTAATCCGTCGACTTCATTGTCATTTTCTGGTTATTGCAGGAGCCAACAGCCATTACAGCGATGGTACTTTCAACAAAACAGGTATTACGTGGTCGTTCTTATTGCCTGTAAAATGACTCTCGAAGCATTGTGTGGACAAGAGGGGATTGTGAGCTCATTTCAAGATTGCTGTAAATAATAGCAACTCAATACATTAGCTGGAAAAGATAAGTCTCCTGCACTGCATAGGGAAGAAACACATGGAGATCAGATACATAATGGAAAGGTGGTTTGTTGTGACAACCCATGTCTCATAGGCAGTTAGAGCTTTCTTCACAGGTGACACCTTGCTGCTGGCCTGAAACAGTGAACAAAGACATCCTTGTTCCCTTCAAGATGAAACACTTATCTGACAATAATTCAGCTTTTTGGCAGAAGTCTCGTCGAGACATTTCCCCAACTTGTATTTTCACGTCGCAAACAGACAAGCTGAGCCAAACATAGACGTATTACTCATTGAGACGTAACACCTCTTTGAAGCTCCTCTGGTGTAAATTTGGTGAATTTAAGTTCTCTCTTTTACCCCTCGCAGCAACAACTGTATCTGGGCTCGGAAATCGGTGTGTCCCAGATGCCTTTGCATCGGTGTGAGGTTTACGGGAAGGCCTGTGCCGAGTGTTGCCTGGCGAGGGACCCTTACTGTGCATGGGATGGCACCGAGTGCTCCAGATACTTTCCCATGGCTAAAAGGTATTGAATGCGTACCTCCACGTTTGTATCATGTCGCCACCCTGTCGTCGTGTATTACAAGCTGTCTGACACCTCGTACACACCCACGAATCAGACCTGCAAAACATTGCCACAAACCCATTATGACTTCCAAACAACAATTTTACGTAATCATTAGGTATCTGGCAAAGTATTAACACTGAATTTAATGAATAGTTTGGATAAATCACTAATTCTTAAACTGAACCTCTCAAAGTAGCACAGCTAGGACGGAATATACAAATGAAAAGAACAACATTTGTGTTTTCCACACGGTTACCGCGCCCTGTTTCAGATAGATAAACATGCAAAATGTGCAACACATGTTTGAGTCACGCTGGTCTAAGAACTACTTTTGTTTATCATATTGACTAAATTTAAAAGAGGTAATACCAGATTATGAGGAAGGCTTCCCACATAGCGATTGAGGACACAGAGCGGAGCGAGGGCACAGCAACAGTGCCGGCTTTGTGTATTTTCCCAAACCCCCTTAAGGTAGAGGGTCGTGTTTCTAGCAGGGAGTCAGAAACATGACCTGCCTCATGTGTTTACCGTACACGAGACCCAATGTCAGCCATGTCTGGAGGCCTTCTGGGTGAACCAGGGCTGAGGTCGACGGTGGAGGTTCGGTGGTAGTGTGGTTGTAGCAGGGAACTGACCTGCATGTCTTCATGTATGTGTGTGCTTGTGCTCTGTGTGCAGCCTCCCACGCACAGCTCCATAGGGCTTATTGATCTGAAGGCTAGCTGCACAGCGTCCCGTTCTTGCTGCTAGTTGGACTCCTGACTCGAACATTTAAGCATAAGACAGACAGCGCAAACTCTCATCTCAAATTACCAACAACTACCGACGTCGTTTGTTTCAGCGTGTCCGTGGTTTTATTATGCTTAGGTTTATGTTTCACGCTTTACTTGAAACGCTTTTGTATCTGCAACTCAGACGAATGACAGGCTGAAATGATTGAGTACTTTGAATTCCTACACACCCTCTTATTAAAAGCTTGTCTACAACGCTATTGGCTGCCGGCTGTTTATTTATTAGTATTTTAGTACTTTTGGTGCCCATCCAAACCCACACCTGCACAAAAACTCTCTCACACACACACAAACAAGGGAGCCGGTGTGCCTACTGACTCATGGAGGTTTTGTTCTTTCTGCAGGCGGACAAGGAGGCAAGATATCAGGAATGGAGACCCGCTCACACAATGCTCAGATCTGCAACACCATGGTACTTAATCGAAAAGAAAATGTATTTAACAAATAATTCTTTAATCAATACAATAGGCAATATCTTTGTAACAAAGGTTTTGCTCTTTTTTTCTAAATCACATGCTTAGCTTTTGTTTAATGTATTTTATTTAACAGAAAAGTATAAAGTTCTGTCCTTTTCTCATTTGATCAAACCGGTAGAAAGTTGCCCAGTTGAGAGTGTGCGTTTTCTGTTTGTCTGGTGGTGTGAAGACTTCATTTGGTCCATGTGTAGCTTCTAATTAACATGCCTCCCCCGTGTCGGCGAGGCCTCCGCTCTCCTGCCCTCTAAGTGGTCTTAGTCCAAAAGCGGGACACTTTTTGGTGTCTAATACACTGTGATTATAGAATTCTTTCATTTTACTGGAAGGAACAGAAGGAAAACAAATGTTATCAAACACTGAGGCTTTGAGGAGGAGTGATGCAGACACACAAAAAGAGTGTTTACCGGTTGCTGCCTACTCGGTAAGCAGCAAAGCTGCTAAAGTAAAGATTGAAGGAACATTTTTTTTGAGTGAATGAGAAACAGATTACAATTGATAATCTGGTCTTGGATCATAACCTTCAGCCATTATACCAACTGCTAATGTCACATACTTCAGCGCAGGGACCTTGGTGACTAACATCCTGTGGTTTCCATCCAGATGAACTAAGTGGACAGACGACTCTCCTGGATAAGACAGTGTATGGTGTGGAGAACAGCAGCACCTTCCTTGAGTGCAGTCCCAAGTCTCAGAGAGCCCTGACGTATTGGCAGTACCAGCCCTCCACTGATGACCGCAAACAAGAGGTGCACACAGCTAATGTCTAAATATACTCCAATACATTGATACACGATGGATGGGGCTTTATAATGAACATCATTTTAGATATTTCTATCAAATTTCATTAATATTTCATTTTATTTCATTTTGTGTAATCAAAACAGTTTTAGTGACTTGAAATTGTTTATCCTCTTAACTAATCTGTACCTCTCTGTGGCTGCAAATCCATTATTCTGTAGATCAAATCAGAAGGACGTTTCATCCACACAGACCAGGGCCTGCTGATCCGCACACTCATCAAGAAGGATTCCGGGATCTACCTGTGCCAGGCGGTGGAGCACGGCTTCATGCAGACGCTTCTCAAGGTCACTCTGGAGGTCATTGACACCGAGCGCCTGGAGGATCTGCTGCACCGGGATGAGGCTGCCGCAGCAATAGTTCCCGCCCAGGATCTCTCCCCACCTCAAGAAACCCCAAACCAAAAGCTTTGGTACAGAGACTTCCTCTCTTTAGTCAATCACCCAACTCTGAACAGCGTGGACGAGTTCTGCGAGCAGGTATGGAAAAGGGAGAGAAAGCACAGGAGGCAGAAAGCTCACCTGGTGCATCAAGTCCAAATACACCAACAGCAGCAGCAGCAGCAGCCGAAGGCTGTGAACCCTCGCGCCCACACGCACGCTCAGGGGCTCGTGGCCAAATGGAAACACCTGCAGGAGAGGCAGAAGGGACGCAACCGCAGGACCCATGAACTGGAGAGGGTCCCCCGCAGTGTCTGACCCGCAACTCTTGACTCACTCGAACCACAACCTTTTTTTCTCTAACCCCGATTACACTATCCGCCTGTTTTACTTCATGCTGAGATACTGACATCTTCAAACACAGAATGGATAGAAGGTGAATTGGTAAATGGTGATAATGATCCCGATCAGCCGTCTGGGTGTCTGCGTCCAGCCGCATTTACCTGCGGGACTGTGCAGAGGTCTGTACACAAGACGGGACGTCGTATCACGCCAGAGTATTCAAGCACATCATCTCCAGCTGGCCTCCGTGGCCCGAACACTGAAGAAGAAAAAAATACAAAACAGTGTGAAGCAGCAAAAGGACGGGATACTCGTACCGCCGAACAGACATGAATAATTCCACACTGTCAAATATCAATGGCATTGTTTCCTGGCATGCTAGTTAGGTGTCTATCAGTGTCACTAAGTACCTAAAACTACCTGATCATGATATGACATGATTGGGTGTGATTGCATAAGCAAATAGTCTCGAGGGTAAATGGAAAGCAGTGGAATTGGAAGCACAAAATGGAGCGGAGCTCATGGAAAGCACAACTTTGGAATGTTTGGTTACTTTTGGTGGTATAGAGACTGTTAAATGCGTGAACACAAGAAAGGAAAACGCCCAAGCACTGCAAGCGCTTCGGTCACCAATTGACAACAAATACAACTATGTAGCAAAGAAGTGTAAATAATGTATTTTGCGGCGTCTCATCCGACTAAAGGGAATGGCTTTCTTGTTGTTTCATGTTGTCTCACCAGATACACATTTATTTAAGAAAACGTCTGTAAACAGAGAGATTTTGTACTTGTCGTGTGTCTGCGCCCTTGATAAGCTTCTAAAACAAAGTCAGGTTTTATTATTTTGCATTATATCAGTGCATGGAATGAGTTATTTCATGTTCATTTCATTTGTATACACTTGGTTTCCGCTATATATGTATTTATTGATATACAGTTATGTACATTGTGAGAATATTTTCTTGATGCGCACGCTTCTTTTTGTCCAAGGTATGATAAATCTGATCTACAGGACCAATCTCTTAAAAATATCTGTATCATCAAAAATACTGACTGAAAGATATGTAAACCTATTCGTCAACATTACACGCATATCAATGCAAACACAAGCTCAGCACAACCCAGCATCCTTATTTGTCTTCCACATGTTTTGCCTCATAATCACAGTCTCCTCACAGGCATCGTAGGTGAAACAACTTCATTTCACTGCATGTTCCATAAAAACTATTTTTTTCTGATTTTAACAATTCCTCATTAGACAAAGCACACACAAAAACACAAATATGTAATGTAGCTGTGAAGAGTATGTAAATAAAATACTATAGTGTGTGTTTGACACTGTGTACTAGTGCATGAATACAATTGTAGTGTTCCTATTTTGCTTTAGCAATGATATTCTAGTCTGGTGCTGTCACTGTTATTCTGTTTTTGCCTACTCAGTACACAATATTAAGTATTTCAAAGATGTACATATTATTTCTGTTAGGACTCTTAACTGTACGACTGATCATTCCTGAGGTAGGCGTTCATAAAAAAAATATAATGTCAGATGAGCATTAAAACATATCAGTATATCAGATGACCACGTGCAGTCGGGGTCTGCAAACTACGTCTGCAGCCGTGTGCGAGAGAGCGAGTTTAGGCCAACGAGACAAGTTCAAAGCCAGAGTTGTGGTACTTTCAGTAGGGCTGTGCATACGATAAGCTCGTCATTGTGAAGAGAAGACGTAGGGTGTGTCACTGCATCGGTCCTGGACACGCAGTGGAAGTGAGGGAATGAAGTGCTGCTGCTCCTGCTGCTTTTTGGCGAGACGACGATGATGGTTGTGATGTACTTTACTTATCTAATAAATGTCTCTTCATGAAGTGTCGGTTTTATTAAATCTATTTTTATTGTGATCTCACCTGCTTCTGTCAATGTATGTGGCTAGTGAAAATAGTTTCTTGTGGCGTAGATGATCCGATTAGATTTTAGATATGCTGCGTTGGAGAGAGATGGAGAAAAAATAAACTGTTGTACTACTGCCCTCTGGTGGCTCTGATAGAAATGCACACGTATATACTATTACATGTATAGCCATAGATACTGATACACACAGTATATTTAACCCACATGGGAAAAATAATGTCTGTATAGCATACATGAGGCGGCAGGTAAAAATATGCCATTCCTGGTGCAGAAGTTCAAAACACAACTGTTTTTGTCACAATAGAGCTTCTGTTTGCAGATCGGGCCACCTTTGATCCAAGGTCACAGGTCAGCGAGCGTATGTCTCACCTGGGATTTGACCTTGACCCGTCAAGTAAATTAAATTGCTGCCGTGGGTGCTCGTGAGCTTCACTCTTAACCTCCTCAGTCACTTCAAAGGAACATTAGAAAGGATCGTGATGATAAAGAACACACAAACATTGTTTTATTATTCTTGACGGTGATCTTGATGATCTGTAATCGGATTGCTTTGATGTGACCAGGTCACGCTACTCAATGCTACACTATAATAACTGCAGAAATATTGGAACATCCGATTTACACTTTGTCAAGTATGACCATTTGATTATGCCGTCCTCTAAGAAAAGTAGGGCTCGTCAGAGCTCCTCCCCATCTGCATCTTCACGCAAAGGTCTTCATCATAGCATCTCTCTACGTAGCATAGAGCATGACTGCCCTCCAGTGGCTGAAGGGACATCTTTTCATACCGTTCAACTCCTCCAGCCTCCGCTCTGCCGCATGGAAAACAGCAGTTGTGACTTTGACTGCAGGCAAAGGCCGTGGGTGAGTGAGAGGGACCGCCCAGACACTCACACAAAGGACCACTACACTGGAGGGAAAAACTGACACGTGAGTGAGTGCAAGAGCACAGGGATTAGAGGTTAATAATCCTGCTTTCTTATTGCACTGAAACTATTCCAGTACCGCCGGGGTTTGTTTGTTTGTGGAGATTAAACTGAAGCTGATTTTGCTGATTTAGCTGATTCTCTTTAGGTTAAACTTCAAACAATCATCCCAAAAGGGAATTTAATTAAATATTAATTTAATAAATTACATTGTGTATCACACACACCTAATACACAACACGCAATTTCAAAATACCTCAAATATGGTACACTCAATAGGTATGTGTGACTCAATGGAGTGTGATTACTCACCTTCTCTGTTTCATCAAGTGAAACTCACCTTGCCCCAGCATGGAATCCACAAAATAAAGGTGTGGATTAGGACTCATCTGGCATGCAGCTGAGTGAATAAATGAGATCACATGTTTGCACACACAGTGCGTTAGACACTCATCATGTATTTTACTGCCTGTTTGGGGAAGAGGCTTGGGAAATGTGAAATGGGTGCACAGGGTCATTTGTTTTGCTCTAGTGACAATATACCGGGTTGATGCTCCACTAGGCCCAGTAGGCTTCTGCTGGAGACGTGTACACACATGCGCATATCACCAGTACGTTCCAGCTGGTCTGTTCTGAGGCACCCACCAAGAGACACAGCCCACTGGTTTATCTGAAAGATTGATGGGAAAATTCCAAAAGCAGAAACAAATTTAACAGCAAGTTTCAGCATGTAAAACCACGTATTTGTTTATGTTTGGATCATAATGTAAACCACTGAAATGGATGCTCACAATATTTGAGATATTTCCCTAAAAAGGAGGACACGCCACTCGACTGCGAGCGGTGGGGAGAGCCTGATTCTCCCCGAGGGCCCCTGGGGAGCCAAACACTACCCGCTCAGAGAAAACATGCCTGATATTTACTCAACTAAAAAATGACCCTAGACAACATCCAGCCCATTAGCCAGGCAAGAAATAACACTCAGATGTCACCGCGCTGTTCTGCCAGCTAATAGCGGAGCACTGCAAGGTATATCACGTTCACCGTACCGTCCCAGTGAGGTAATGATCTATTCATCCCCTCCAGATGTCACTCATCAAAGGCTTGTCGATTTCTGGCAGTGTCCCTGTCCGCGTCACCGAGTCAATACCCTCGGTGGAAGTTTCTGCGAGTGTGATTGAGTGCAGGGGTCAGAAGTTATTTTCTGGAAAACTTAATTCCGCAGGTTGGAGGTGGGGGATTTTAGGAGATCGTCGAAAAAGGGAAAAACTCTTTGAAGTGTGGTCAGGGTTCTAAGTCTGTGTGAGCTGCTTCCCATCAGACTCGTCTGGCGTGTTAATGTTCTGTTTGCATGCAGGGGCACATCTCTAGCCTGGGGTAAAACAGAGGACAGAGTAATTTAACTGTGGCAGCTTGGCAGCAGCGGCGGCGGTGTCGGTGGTGCCGGTGTGCAGGACCTTGGCTTTCTCTCTGCTATGAGTGACAGCGTGGCACAGAAAGTTTACACTGGACGTATGAGAAGACCTTTAACTCTGTCCCTTTTAGTGGAAAAGACCTGCAATAATGTTTTTCTTTATATGACTGTATAGGAGTCGACTTACTCTTTTGGATCAAATGTTTATAATGGACTTAAGCACATTTATTTTACACTGCAAGCTAATATATCAAAACACAGAAACCATTTTTGAGAACGCAAAATGGAAAATGTATAAATAGAACAACCTGCCTCTTAAACCTCCACACGTTGTAAAGGCAATTTAAAAGTTCACAAGAATTTTTATATCATTACATTTTTTTTGTTTTTATCCGAAGCTGAAGAGACTTGAGGCAGTTTTGTGACATCTGACAGATTAAGTAAACAAAAGTGTCATTCTTCCCTCACCTTTACTAGCTCGCCCTTGAAAAATAGAGCACACCCATAAACACACAATTACGTTGGATTAAACTTCACCATAATGGGCCCATCACCCAGAGTCTGTTTGTAGGAGCCCGGAGATGTTTATCCAGTGATAATGATGTACAGGTCCAGTAAATCAGTTCATGTGGCCGGTACTGTGTAATGTAGTTGTCCAGACAGTCCAAGATTAGCATCAGCAAGAATGTGAACCTGGGAGAAGGTTTGTGTTTATCTACCACCTCAGATGGAGCGAGGACAGTGTGGCTATGATTTTTAATTGAGGAAAATGTGTTCAAAATTCACAGTCTCGAATTCTTTTCGGTCCACCATTATTTTTTTTGTGAAATTAAATCAAATATCTGATCAATATCCAAGATCCAAAAGCGCAGGCGGGAATATCGTAAAAGAAAAGCTCGAGAGATTCGCAAAGCAGCTGCTGAGTGTGAATGAGGCCTAAGGCCCGACCTTGGCTGACCCCGTTATGGGTCAAATATCTGTGCATCAAAGAGCACAGGTCAATTCATCCAAATTTGTCCAGGCAGTGTGCTGCGTGTTGAACTGTTGCATGGCCCCTCCATTCCACGAGGCTAATCTGTGACTGATAGGGGTCTGCTCGAACACGGTTTGGCTGGAGCTCCTGGAACACATCACCCAGCGGAGGGATTAGTTATGTGTCACTGTGGCTCAGCCCCGCGTTAAGGATATTAGCGAGATTAAGAGTCACTGATTCTCCTTCTAAAAAGAGGCAAAGCCGGAAAAAAAAGGTATTAACATAAAAAATGTTAACATAGCCACAAGTGAAGACTTTCCCTTGATAAACAAAAATTCAAAACAAAGAATATCCAAGACTTTGCAAGAATATTGAAGTACAAACAAATGAATCTCCATCTCCATCCCTGCTCCCTCCCACGTGTAGCCCCTTGCTCAATGTTGAAATGTGTTGATGAATGAAAGACATGGAGCTTAAACACTCACCACCCAAATTCATCTTTGTCATTATAGATTAGCCACTGCAGCGATGTACTGAAGAGGGAACAGCTCCGTGTCGTTTCATGTAAAACACTGTTATCCCCTCTCAGTCCAGCTGGGATTAAAACCCGCTGCAGAAAGACACCTCTGACATCCAACATTCACAACTCATGCGAAAATGTTGTATCCCAAAACAGGGCAAGAAAAGAGACACAGAGTACGTTAATCCCAGTGGGAAATCATGTTGTAACAGAAGCAAAGTCCTGTCAATCATAAATCAATGCTTAAGGCACAAAGTAAAAAATGAAAAATACATGCCATGACGCCATTTGAGACGTACTGTAGATAAAATACAGATGCCGAGAAGTTTTCAAAAAGATTACAAGGCTTAGAAACCGTGCTCTTCACAGCTGTTGGTATGTGAAGATCATTTTGCAACAAAACTGGTGTTTAGCTTGAACTTTAGATGCAGGTGTTTTCTTACCTAACCTTTTCATGTGGGGAACAAATGAAAACAGCACATCTGTTTCGCACTGTTGCCACATTACAATTAGTGGTCAATGAAAGAAACTCTCTCAGCCGCAACACGTGATTTCTCACAGGTCACGTTTGCTGTCGATGCGGATGCACTCAAAGGGTTCAAAATGTATGTGACCGAAAACAAGTGTGTTTTGTTCCGGGAAAAGAGTTGATTTAATGACATTTCAAGGCTGTTTACCACAGGTTCTTCTCACACAGTCAATACGGATCTTGTTTTCATGGAATTCTTACTCCGTCAAAAGTGTGCAGTATGTTTGTGTGTCACGCTCAGACAGATCGGACACCAGCCTTGCAGGCGTTGCTCTGATCGGGGGCCGCACTCGCTTCTGTGTGACACTGTGACTTAATGAGGTGTATTGTATTTTTAAGAATGAATTGCCGTGAATGTTTTAGTTGGAATGAGGCAGAAGGATTAATATAACTTTAAGCGTAAGTAATTTAAATGCTTTCTAGAGTCAGAGAAAACGTTTGATTTGACACTCACCTTGTTCATACAGTAATGAAGAAGCTACTGCCCCGCAGTCATTTAATCTTACTGTAAATAGGATGAATACAACCAAACCACAGCGATCCCTTTCAAGATCATAGGATAATCAGTGATCTTTGAAGGTGGATTTCGTTTCATTTGGTTAGACTAGATGTTTCCACCTGGTAACAGTCTTTGTGCTAAGCTTAGAGAGCCATCTCCTGTTGTTACAGACATGACACTGCTAGAAAACAGTTCTCCAAATATCAACCTACTCCTTCAAGGTAAATTGTATTTGACCCTGCTGGAGAAAAATGCAAAGGCTCAGGTTTTAATACCGCCTTCAACATTCTTGTGTTTATGTGTGTGCATATGCATCAGCTGGCTTGTGTTTCTCTGGAAAATGTCTCGTTGGGGTGTCAACAGTTGGTAAAGGTCATACATCAGAGTTAGGGAGACTTGTAAACTACGTGACGTGTGCAGATGGATAAAGAGGAGATTTTGACCAAGGTCACTGATTGCGATAAAGCGGGTTAACAGGTCAACTGATAGTTCTGCTGAAACCAACAGTACATCTGCAACAAGCATGAGCCCTGATAGCCTCCACCCAATCCCCATCTCCCCACTCACATTCTTACTCATGCTTGTCAAACACATGCTGCATGCAATTGTGTGAGCAGCGGGAGCAAAACAGACAGACACCATCATTTACAAAGAGAGATATACCAGCAATGAGATAAGTATGAGTTGCACTCGTAATTCGCGGATGACTTTTTTGAAGCATTTGGCCTCAATAAAGGTAATTTGTTTTTCAGTTTGTCTCCGTCTACATCAAACAGCAGATTGTTTTTTTTAATTGTTGACTAATCAATTAATTCATTGAGGCTTTTGAGGAACTTTTGCTGCCTCAGAGCAAACTATCAGAAAATGGAGGCAGGGTGGAAATTCCACAATATTTCTCCCTGTTGCAGCAAAGCATGGCTGTCCCGGCCTGGAGCAGGAGGGGGGCACTCTGATTCTATTAGTGGGACCATTCATCTTTCATAAACACGGAGGGGTAAGCGTTAACATACGAACGTCGTCTCCCACACAAAGATGGACGAGGCAGGAATTTACACCCTGGTTACAGTGAGCAAAGTTGTCCAGCCAGTTTGCACTTCGTACGAGCAAGCCAAAAGTCTAAAGGTTCTATGAATTGAAGCAGTGTACAGAGCAGCGCGGTATTTTCCCCGCATTGAGTCCATTTTTTTTTTCCACACTTGGAAATCCTTGTCTTTTTTTTAGCTTTTGTCCTGAATGAACTTTGTCTCACATTTCTGTGTGGGGATTCCCTTAAAAACCAGTGACAGAAAAAACATCCATAAGTACATGGTGAAGGCGGATGTTTAGTCTATCCTTTTCAGTCATTATTATTATTGTTATATCAATCTTTATTTTGTCTGCTAACAGTGACATACAGACAGAGCTAGATGACAACAAAAAGCATTCACAGCCTGTTTTTTCAGTTGTAAACGTTTCTATATAAATACACTCATGACGCTCTGCCGAGCCTGAGGGATAAGCATACTTTGGGGATTAACAGCTACTTTCACATCTCTGTTAACGTTTTTGTCCTCATGCGCAAAAAAAACCCCATAACTAAAATGTACCTGTAGGCACATAAACACATGCACACAGTATACATGCGTTTGCAAAGACACAGCAACACCTGAGTAAACACCTGCGGATTATGTGACGGTTACCATGATGATGGATGAGAATACACATGAGGGCAGATGGTCACTTCCACTTATCACCCCAGAAGAATAACCCATTCCTCATCTTCACCATCTGTGACGGCAGAGCACTGGCCCGGCCTGTATTTCCCATTACTAACCGTACAACTACTACACGAGCTGAACCACAGGAAGCCAAAATCCAGGCATTTGAGCTTGAAAGATAGGTGTTTTTTGGCATTACAATTACCACAGAAGAATTTGTATTTCCTGTGCTTTGTTTGCATCAACACTCATGCAAAACACACGCCTACTCAGTGGAATGGTTTCTTTATAAACCAGTGCTAAAATTTGTATTCCATATGGGTAAATGTGTGCGCGGTGGTTTCCTACGATAATGTTCACACTCAACACACCTGGCTTCTTAGTCAGAGTAGGTCAACACTTCTTCTCACCTTCCCCTCACGCCTGAATGTTTATTTGTGGCTTAAAGACACTCCCTCTGGCTGCGCGGTATCATACACAATGCAACACGCATGAGTGACGATAACACCTGTGTGTCACTCACGTTATATTGTGTGATGGCTGATGTATAGCGGGGAATTAAGGACTTTACCTGCCGTCAAACTCTGACCGATGTCTCTGAATTCAGTGAGTGCCGTAGGGAGAACCTTCACCGGCCATGTGATAGCCACCTGTGTAAACGGTTGAAGTGCCTAGTAGCTCTGAAACACTGGATCCTCAGAGTATCCTGCTTCTGTTGCCACGGGAGACCGGGGAGCTGACCTCTCTTTAGCTGAGCCCAGCAGGCAGCCATTGGTTGACATACTCTAACATACACTCAGTTTCATGCATAAATGCATGTACACATACTTACCTACTTAAATTTATCTTGCCTTTATTATCTTAATATCTCTTTTTTTCCTCACTTTCTTGCACTGTACCGCTGCAGTTCAGTGGAAGTAACTATTAGACACTCAAACAGTGTCCATGCTTGAGGGTTTGGTAGGTGCGCTGCTGGGGATCCAAACAGGAGGTGAGAGAGACTTCTGGTGAACACGTTTGTATATTGACACAGTACGAACATGAATGAAAATGTTTTTTTTGTGTTCAGAGGGCATGCAAGGAAACGCCACCAGACGTTTGGACATGACCTGTCCAAACAAACGCCAGACATAAGCACTCAATCACACGCAACCTTAGCCTCCTAAAACAGCAGCTTACATGAAGGTGACTTAAGGTAATGTGACAGGCTGCTGCTCCGGGTTTTGTGAAATCAGCCATTTTTGAAATTTGACGTATTCATAGAATTTAGACAGAAAATATCTGCGGTGCATGTTGAATAAATATTCAATCTATTGTTGGAATCCCAGGGAAACACGTAGAGGAGGACAGCATTTGAATGGAGGTGGACAGAAAGTGGGTGTATAGCAGCCGTGTAGGAGGTCTGCATGTCTCAGAATCATACTAATGGAAACATCAAGGGCGGAGAGTACAACACAAATCAAGAAAGAGGGGAGGGAAACAGGTGAGGGATTGAGCTGTTGTTCTCGTTGCTGCTGTTTCTGGTCCCAAGTAGATTTGTGACGGATTACTGCCATTAGAAGGAGAGACCTATCCAGTCACCGTGGGCAAATGTGAGTAAGTGGAAACTGCACTCACTGGCCTACGTGCATTAGCCTCCTTAAACGGCTATCCGTCTGAAGAAGTGGCTTAAGAGATCAGAAAATGAATTCACCGGGATGAACAACTGAAATATGCTGGTGGTGTCAGCTCGGCGGCAAACGGGCGGTGAACAGTTGTCCCACCGTCGGCGATCTACAGTTGCACCACGGAATGGAATACCAGAGATAGTGTATGTTACATGACGACCGCAGACACAAAGTCCTTCTGTTGTTCCGGGAGGGAACAGGTGTAATGTGGGAGTTGGAGTCATTAGATCTCTGGGAGGGGCCGGGGGGGCAGGGTAGGGGGGCGGGGGCGTACAGCTGCTAAAGGCTATAGGAATCATTTCCAGTTTTGCATGGGTCGAGTTTTGTAGGCTTGCCATTTGTTGATGGGCGAGCATTCACACTCATGTTCAAACTGTGAGTTCATCCCTTGTTTTCCGTTTACAGCCCCTCCCTCTCCCCCCTTCAGCTATTCGCACTATTCAGTTTTATTTCTGCTCTGAATAGATGTGGATCTCTATTATGAGCGAAGGTTTCGGGTGTGAAGAATTCTGATAAGATATTTATTTTCACATTTCACATCGCACAATGGACCATGAGCAGATGTTAACAACCCAGAGCCGTTATTTTCAGACATCCACGTTCGGGGTGAGCGTGACTTCGTGTTGATGTCACCGCACCGCCATTAGAAAGAGACACAGAGAAACAGATGTATTACAGGAGGTCTGGCGGGAGACAGAGAACACTCTCCTCCAGAAACTGGACGCCTGTGGGACTTCCCTGTGGGACGCGTGCACAATTCAATAACGATTCCAGTCACATCTTGTAGATGTTTTGCTTTCTTTCTTGAATATGTTTGGGTTCAGAAAGCTGTGGACCTTGAGACAAAACAAAAAACTACACAGACCAAACACAACATTAACATTAGACACAGTACTGACGATACCAGACTATGTCTTCCAAAAAACAAAAAAACAACTTTCCAACACATAAACAAATCGACGTAGGCGGTAGCTCATTTAGACAGAATACAGATGGACAGACAGAGCAGCCAGGCGTGGTATGACAGGGAGGGACAAAGTAATGACTAGTTTGCATAGAACTGAGGAATGGGTGAGGTGCAGATAAACAGAATGACATATTTTATGGGCGGGGCATGAAAGAAACGGTGTAGATAAAAAAAAAAGCCATGGTAACAGTGATAATGATTATCCACCTGGAAACAAACACACAAAGAAAGGTAATAATTGAAACAAGTGCCTGTTGAGAGGCTGAGGACCTTGGCTCGGGTCCATGTTAATGCAGCGGAGGTAGGAGCGAGATAAAAAAGGAAGGTGGAAGGAGGACGGTAAGGGGAGAGGAGAAGGAAGGGGTGGTCCGCGGAGTGACATGTGAGGCAGTGTTTCATAGGGGAGTGCAGAGTTGTTCTGAGCCTGCCGGGGAGACACTGCACATTTATTCCAGCTGCCTGGGAGGGAGGGAGGAAGGGAGGGAGGGAGCTCAAGAAAATACAGAGGAAGGAGCCGGCAATATAAAGACCTGCAAAGCTGACACTCAATGATTTTTTTTACTCAGAGACACCACAGTGAGGCAGGTGGCCTCGGCTCAGATCGGTAGCTGTGGCGTAGAAGCCATCCTAGCCGCACTCACTAAGGCTTGAGGTGAGGTTTGGATCCTCCCTGACCATCGGAGCGTGGGCAGAGTTAGAGGAGCTTCACTTTCTTGCCCGGTGCGGGGAGACCGACACACGCCAGGCACGAGGCTCCCCGCTCCTCCCCTCTCCCACTCTGCCTTTTCCTGGGCTTGCGTCCAGAGAATGACTGGCTCCAGAGGACCTAAGAAGAGGAACGCAGCCTGAGGATACAGTAAAGCAGCTCCAGCCCTGCCTGCCCGCTTGCCTGCTGGGAAACAAAACAAAACAAAAAGGTGCTTCCACAAGTCAACTCCAACAGCTTTCTTGGATTCATACGCTTGAATTATTATTTCATGCTTTTTCTGTCATCAGATCGGGAAGACAGGATTCGAGCCGGGCGTGGAGACGGACAAACAGACAGAAGGACTGACATATGGAAGAGAGCAGTGGGCACTGCGGCGTGAATGTAGCAACTGGACTTTTCTCCCTGGTTACTGAGACCAAACAATCCTGTCCGGCGAGGTGGTGGGTGGATGCAGCTTTCATCAGGCTGCTAAAGGGCAGAGCAGAGACTGAATAGAAGCTGCAGAGACATATGGTTGTTCCACATTGTAGGGATAGAGAGAAAATGGACAGTTACGTCCAAGTAGACTTTGGTTGGATCGCTATCTCTTATTAAACATTGTTTGCACAAACTTGCAGCAAAATTACTTTCTTTTTTTTTGTGGACTTTGCCGACCACATTGAGTCTACCTGCAGGATTTCTATGTGAATAATCGTGAGGAGAGTTTCTAAATGAAGATGGCTGAGTGCATTCGGACTGTGTACCTGACGCTGATGCTGCTGTATCTGGTTCTGCTCGGTACGGCTCACAGCACCTACCCGAGGATACGGCTCTCTCACAAAGGTAAGTAATACCCGGGGCAGGTTTATTTTAATACATTGCATGTTATGTTGCGCAATTTAAAACGCTCTGTGCCGTTGCTTCAATAGGAAGGCAAAATCAGCCTTTAGGTAATGCAGCATATGGTGCTGACCTCTCAGGAATAGTCAATACAGCCATAACCGAAACAATCATTCCCTGTCCGTGCCATCAGTGCAGCCTGAGAATAAGACTATGATAATGGAACAGAAAATGGACCTCTGCTATCAATGTATAACAGTATTTGTTATAACGGTCAAATTGATGTGATGAATGTAGGGGAAAAAAAGTGATAAGTCAATTCTCTTCAAGAATATTACGTAACATGCAACATACTACAAAAAAACACAGGAAAGGGTGCTCGTAAATAAGTGAGGTCAGAGAAGAGGCGTCCTCTGGGATAGTGCTAAAGAAGCCGCAGGTTATCATTAGCATGTGATGACACAGTCATTGTTTCAGCCTGATTCCTCGGCTATGTGGGCCGTGTGGTGGTCTCTCGTGACGTAGCGGTGGAGGGGTTTCTTTGGACATGGGAATGGAGGTGGCTGCGTGGAGTAGCTGATATGGACGTGCATGCAGCGCTATGGTGGTTTTATCTCTGTACATACAACTCTTTGGTAAACATTACCTCCTTCGCACAGTGTCTTTGATCTCTGCAGCAACAGAAGGTGATGATTCCACACAAGCAAAGTTAGTCATGGTTGAATATAGGTGTTGAATTTGGTAAACAACTCATCCCTAAATATGCTGCTGTAGGAGAGTTGACAAGTCTGTTACATTTGTGAGGTGGGCTTGTTGTGAATTACGATACGCATATCTACCACGATAAGTAAATAAATACACTAACGCGCTTTTCCAGTCAGACAGTGCGAAGTGGAAAAAAAGAGATTGTCTCTTTTGTCAGTGCTGCTGTGCTTGGTTATAAATACCATATGATTTGTGTTGACCAATTCCTTAACAACCTGAGTGGAGGACTGCTGAGCGAGGTGATTGACATCCAACCCCCCCCTCTACTCCCTACCTACTGATGGCCTACTACATGTTCTGGCTGGCATAGAGCACCATGGAAAGGCTGCAGTCGGGTCCTATTATTATGGAATGAGAAACATCTAAACCCTAATGTAGACCTCATGGGTTTTGTCAGTGATTTTTGCACACACACACACACACACATGCAAAAGCAGAATAGTGTGAATTCCTTTGACCTGGATGTACTTTAGGGAGATTGAGAGGCATGTGGTTTTAACTGTACACCCTTAGGTCTAAAAAATATGACCATGACATCTGGAATCAGGGTGGAAAAACTAGATTCTGCACTTTTACATCAAGATTGATACATCGTACAGAAATATTTTCACCAGCTTCCAGTCACATGGTAGCATAGAAAGTCAAAATCAAAACCCATCTCAATAATATAGCAGCTGAACTTTCCCTTATATTCTGGGAACAGATTCTTTTGAGCACATTATCATGTGATTCAAGTTCAACCGCACTATCATGGCTACCGATCTTCACATGCTTTGATGTTAAACACACCTCACAAATGGAGTGGAATGATTATTAGCTCTCTTTCATCTACTCCCCATATTCTTGTCTAGACTTCTAGAACAGTGGAGATTTTTCCATTTAAAGTTTTAGAATCTCAGACTCACAGCCGACTTAGAGGGAATTTAAATCAAATCGTTGACTGCACTGCTTTTGAAGCCCTAAACACAATCTAAATGCCTCAATTGCTTTGGGCCTATCAAACATCCTTAATCTGTATCCATTGGATTGCCCAACATGGAGATGTGCTCACTATAGCAGAAAAGAACATTTTATTTTGTTTTTAATTGTGTCTTTGGAGACGCATTTGGAGCTGCGTTGTCGTGTGGCCTGGGGAGTGAAATGAGTTCTTCTCTGAGCATGACCATCAGTTCAGCTGCTTACGAAGCTCTTACGCATCTAACCTGTTCCAGGGACTTATACGGCTGCAGGTGAGTAGCCAGGTTAGACTTATTTTGATCCCTCTAAAGGGCTGTCGTCATGCCCGCTTGGGCTCCAGAGGGTGCGATACAGCAGTTTTTGTAATAGTAACGACTTAATTATGATACTTTGAAAAAAGGCTGCAAGTCTGCACATTTTGATATATTTGCTTTGTTCATTTTGCATTTGTTCATTTCCAAATTAAATGTGAGCATGCATACTTTCAGCATGTCTGCCAATGATTTGTTTACTTAAAAGTCGTAATAACTTATTGCGGTAAAATCATTTTTCCTCAGCAGATCGGCAAAGGTTCATCTGGCAATGTCGAGCTGTTCTGACATCATAACATCATACTGTATATGTTAAATAAACACAAACGCTTAATCCTTATTGGAAATGTAAACAAAAGTTTGTTAAATCATCACAGCTGGATTTACTCATTCGTGCATGTGTATGCAGTCTTAATAAGCTGAAAGACTGAAAATAAAAGTAGGCATACTAAGTGGACATACATTGTTCTACAAACACTTATTTCCTAATAAGTTGTATTTCTCAACCTATTTATTTTCTTTAGCTTTCACAGTAAAATGATGAGATTTAAGCGAAAGGACCTGAGTGAGGTATGTGTATGTTTGAACACAGCGATTACTCAGGTAGCAATTACTGCACGTATGAAAACCCCCTCTGAGCTGTAATTTTAAGCCTTCTTCTCCAGACCAGAATCTCCCTCTCTGTATTTTACAACCTGGAAATGATGTGGCTGTAGGTGTCTTCTGAGGGCGAGATGGGGAATACCAGTATGGCCTCAAGTTGTGTCTGCCTGAAATGAAATGAATGGGAGGGGGAGTTTATACCTTTCTTATTTTTTACGTATAAATCTAATGTGCACTTTATAATTAACGTTTATCACATTGGATCTTGTCTGTCTGGCAGCAGTTTTAGAACTGACATAAAAAGAACCTGGAGAACTGAGGTTATAGCAATGATTAGATAAATCACACCTTTGTCGGTCAGCAAAGGAAAAGCAATATTTTTTCAACCCCCTTCCCTCCGCTTCACCCTCACCTGTCTCGCTTTTTCATTTTGGCTGAGTCCATCTCAGCGCCCTTTCTTCTCCCGTTGTGTTAAGTGTGTGTTCTCCAGTTCATTAATGAGATGTCCACAGGGGAAGGCATCTGGTGAAACGTTAATATCCTTTATGACCTTTTCCCTGTGAGAGGATCAGGGAGAGCAGATGAGTAGAGTCTGTGGCCTGGATAAAAAAAAAACATTTTTTGAGTCATTTGAGAGAGAATGTCGCAATATTATAAGAAAAGATGACGGATGACAACTGAGGTGAGCGCTCCGACACACGTAAATCCCGATACATTTGTCGGCTTGCAGGTAATAAATGTGGGAATAAATGTGAGAAATAATTACTAATACAGCAAGAAAATATATATTTGTAAATTTAAGTTTGACTTTCATGCATTTACACACAATATCAATAACAAATGTTTTGGGGCTCCAGAGTAGCATCTATAATTGAGAAAATGTAGTTCGGAGCTCACGTAGATTGAATGAATTTAACCAAGTGTAAGTCAAATACAGCAGACTTGCGACACAGTACGAGAGTACTGCATGGTTCAACTGAGAGGTATGTACCCGTCCAGGCCAATAACAACAGCTGTCAGTTGTAAATTTGTCCCTCTGATTTACAACATCAATCACAGTCACACTTATTCACTTATCCTGCTCTCTTTCTTTCTCTCCCTCCTCCCGCATGCACTCCATGTGGCTTTCATTTAGCACTGTGACATCATCCTTCCCCGCACACACTAGAGAATATGTACCGATAATGGCATACCCCCCCCCCACCCACCCCTCAGGACGGCTCCACAGTCTCAGTCCCCATCTGCAAAAGGAGAACAGACTCCATGCTTATTCTTGTCCCATTTAACTCCAGTCCGTTCCAATCATTGTGTTTGTTTATGTTCCTGCGCAACTCCCATTACTCGATACGTAAACCCACATAGGCTCGTTTCACTGGGAATATCAGACGGCCTGCCGCCAGTTTTATACCTGACGTGCCATGTGTCCGTAGGAGAAAATACCATTTGTGTTTTTAAGTTTCCAGATAAACATTTTATGTGATCGCCAGTGTGCATTTATCTTTGACTAAACACAGACATTAACCGCATCCTCTCGGTTATCTCTCCGCACTCAGGGAGCCCTTTTTTCCTGTGTATTCCACTTGAAGTGGGATCCCAGTGGAGCCACGCGTCTCCCTGGCTCAGGCTCAAAAAAGCTCTGCAAGAAGATGGAGTGAGAGAAAGGGGAACGGCGGATATCCCTTCTTCAGTTTAAGCAGCACACTCAAGTGTCTGCAGCAGATACATGTAATAATTCGTGGCATCTTTTACCAACTGAGAGAGCTTTAGCGTCTGTATGGGACACGCGGTGCTTTTCAACTACCTCCAACGTTCCTGTGCCCACACGTCTCGCTATCAGATGCTCAGCGCGACAGTAGTCGCATGAAGTGTCCAACAACAACAGGCTTTTCATCCATGACGGCTCGTTCAAGTTAATGTCGACCACAGTGTTTACTAGACACGTGTGTTTTCTACTGACTTCATATGAAAATTGGAAATTGAAGTTTAGAGTTGCAGACTACACATCTTAAATATAATATGTAGACAACCCTGCACAAAACATAAACTGAACCATCTTGCCGTATGTATGTGTCAATATACAGCAAATCAGCCGACAGTCGTGATTATTAACAAAGACAAGTAGAAAGTAGAAGGATAAAACATCCACGTCTATCTGAATAAATGATAGCAGATTGATCTTCACACAAACAAGGAGCTGAGACTGAGAGGTTTTTCTTACGCTTGTGGAAAAATATCATATACTTTCCTCAGTACAAGTTTAGCGTAGCACAAAGGGACTGTGAGGAGATGAGATCCGGTTTGAGGCTGTGTGTGTGTGTGTGTGTGTGTGTGTATGTGTGAGCAAGAGAGAGAAATATCTCCAAGTGTGTGTGTGTGTGGATTAGATAATTACAGGAAGCATGTCTGAGACCTGGCAGAACGCCGCTGCCACATCCCCTCAGTCTCTGCCACCTCACCACCCGAGATCCAACACCACTCAAACAAACAGTCGCTTGTCTCCAACGTAGAAATCTTAATGGCAACAAAAATATACACAGTCACGCACAGTCCTCTGTGGATACCTAATCCCTTGTTAAACAAACAAAACCTTCCACAGAATGCTTGCCCTTCAAATGAGTAAATGAAAACGGAAAATGGATTAAAAAAAGTCTTTCTTTCTTTCTTGGAGATCAAGTATCCCTAAAAAACATACAGATCCTGGGAAAGCAAATCATTCAATTGCCCCCTGCAGCTCCTGCATTTAAAGACATCTCAGCGGCGTGTGAGGTGGCCGTGAGGTTGTCACAGAGTTACACTTTACGTTGCGCCATTTTCTTTACTCCTCTCCTCATTCGAAGGGAGTTTTCTGAAGAGTAGTGCACAGATGGCCTGAAGTGTGTGCTCCCCCGAGTAGTGAATGCAGCTCAGGGTGTAGTGTTGTGAACAAAGCCCCAATGCCTGGCCGCTCTCCCGCCTCATTCTGCAATCAGCGTCACATATAAAAGGCACCTGTTTTTTGGGGGGGGCCCCTGTACACATGGTAGTGTTTTTGTGTGTTACACAAATCCCATCGTTGTCCTGCATACAAAGAGTGACTCTGGCCAGTAGTTCACCTGCGGCTGCTTTTCCCTTTTTTGATTTTGTTATTTTATTTTGTTCTTTTTTTTGTTGCCCCTTGTTGTGTTGTTTGATGTTTCACCGTTAAAACGTATTTGTTAGACTTCTTTTGGGAAGTAGATTTAAGTCTAATTTGCCCAATAAGCTCCCATTCCTGCCGTTACTATCAATTATTTAGATTTAGCCTTTGGTTTCACTCTGGCTTGCCTGCTCGTCTAAAGTTTCAAGGGTTGTGCTAACACACACCAGATTCCCATTTAGTCTTTTACAAGGGACACCCGGTCTGACCTGGTCATGTGTTAATGAAAGGCTTTTCAGGCCAACGTGCACCAGAGGAAGTGCACACCTCTGGGCCTCAGCACTTTTTTCTTTAAATCCTTCTCCCTCGCCCTCTTCAGAAGCTCACTAAGAGAGAGTAGTGAGGAACGGCCTGTCAGTTCCAATCAGGTGCAAAGTGGGTGTGTTGCATGTGTGCACGAAAGCTGTTCGCTTGGTCTGTAATTATGCTGATGAGTGATGTATTATTTTTTATGACATGTCTGTCACAGTCCACTGCTTCCTTTTTAAAGTAGGATCGCAAAACATCTAAAAGCGAGACCAACAGGGAGTCGAAGCCGATCTCAAACTAACGGCTGATTGAGAGACCGGATCCGTTTCCTGTCTGATAAAACTGCTTCCTCCTATGAAAAGAAGCCCATAAACCCTGCTTTGTACATCACATGTTCCCTCCCTTCAATCTTAACATCTTTCCCTGGACTCATATTCCACTTCTTCCATTTCTGTTTTTATCAAAACACACTGCTGCATGTGAGTGTGGCTCTGAGCGTCCAGTGCTCTTTTATGCCGCGCGCCCCTTACCTGAAGAAGACTCTTTGTAGATCAATGACCAAGCCGATGACTCGTAGAAGCGTATAGCAGATTTTAAGTAAGAGGAAGCAGAGATGCCAAATGAGAGGTGAGATAGAAAGATAACCCTGCTGCTGCCCTTTCGCCTTCATTTGGGAAAAGCTATGAATGAGAAACACATGTGCAATGTGCCCATGGCAATTGGGCCACTCGGGACTCAGACGCAGGTTATCGGAGCAGTTACAAAACCCCTTGAGGATTTGAGGAGGAGGGTTCGGTCAAATGTAATCTTCCTCCAGGTGAGAGTGAAATTAAATGAAAACTCCGTCGTTCTACCCAACTATGACGTTCTAATCGCAAAGCGCCCCGATCTCTTTCCACGTGCGCCCGTGTTACCTGCAGAACTCTGGCAGCTGAACAGGACCTGGGTGTTCCAGGGCCATGGGACGGCATCGCTTCAGCCCCAGACCATGCTGCTGGACGAAGGCCACGGGAGGCTTTATGTCGGGGCCAAGAATACTCTGTTCTCCCTTAGCCTGGACCGGGTCAACACACAACACAGAGAGGTGGGCCTGTTTTCATGCCTCGTTGCTTATGAGGAAGACAGACATGTTGTAACTCATACACCCATGGGCCAATAGGTTGGCTGAACTATTTGAGCATGTGTGTATTTTCCTAGGATGGTTATCAGTACAAAACTTTTGTTTAGAAATTCAAAACTGTTTTTGTTTTCCCACAGATCCAGTGGGCCAGTACAGAATCTCAGAATGAGGAATGTTTGATGAAGGGAAGGGAAAAGGTACGGGACACAATAGTATGGATGTGATTGATTTTCAAGGGAAAAGTATAAATGTTTCATTAACAATGTGCATTAACTTGGTGTGTGTGTTGATAAATCAATTTTGTAAATAGATACTCTGAATCAATGATCTACATATCTCGCTGTCCTTATTGAACTTTGTTCAACCTGGCGTATTGATTTTATCAATGTTATTGTAAAAAGGCCTGGAATCTTTCCAGTACACCCTCTTCTCTGATGGCCTCACCCGCATCTCACCCAACGACCCTCCTCCTCCCCCCCCCCCCACTGCTCCATCTCTGTCTTCCCCAACAGTCGGAGTGTGCTAACTACATCAAGGTCCTGCAACAGTACAACCAAACTCATTTGCTGGTCTGTGGAACAGGAGCCTTTAACCCCACCTGCGCCCTGGTCAGAATGGGACACACAGGGCAGGTGAGTCCTACGGGCAGAATTAGAGTTTGTTTCAACGACCACGTACTGTGAAAAGGTGACCAGCTCCTCGGTATTCTAATGGAAATGTTCCATATTTTATCCGGGGTCGTTCAATGATATATGTCAGCAGCTTATAGGGGGGGTTTAGGGTGCATGCTGGTAACCATGGAAATTTGCTTGCATCCATCGGTGCAAGCGCCTGTCTGTCGACAGTGTGACACGTACGGTTTCTCCTAGATTCAAGGTTCTCCTAGATTCTAGATTCTAGGTGTTTTTGGAGTTTCTTCCATGCATTCCAACAGTGGTGAGGTAGGTTGACCGGACTAGTTAAACTATCCAAACAGGTCCACTCATATCCTTCACTGAACTCATTGGAATGCTCATTGAGTGAAAAAAACTGGGTCTTTTCAGAGTACCTAATCTCTGTCCTCGGTTGCTTCACAAGAATGTTTCACTTGGTGTGTGGGATTACATTTACCCTTAAGCACGAGCAGAATAATATTTACATAACAATCAGCTGTAATGGAAAAATACTCAATTTACCAAGCAGACCAATGATTACATTATTGAAAAACATTTAGTTTTGTAATAATGTACCACTGGCCTCAAAATAAAAATAGAAATACAGCTCACATTCCAGAGTATTTAATGTAAGGTAATATTGTATCAGCCTGTTTTACCTATTTAACGCTTGGTTATATGTAACAATACAATGGATGAGTTCAGCCCAAAAACTGACTCCTGTTACAGTCATCTGCCGGTGAGCAGTCACAGCACATTTCAGGTTCAGGGGCTGCTCGTAAATCAACGCATGACATCCCCTCTGCTCTGCCAGTGACAGTCATGAACACTGCGGTGGCCCACAAGATATAAGCTTTGCTTCTGTCGGGAGTTCTCTTAGAGTGTGTATGAGTGTGTGTCTGCACGTGTGTTTCCTGTGGGGTCATAAGAGTACAATCGGTGAACTCAGCGTGTTAGTGTTACACATCCAGAGAGTAATTATTCACACTGTCATCCATCACTCCTTGTCTCATGTGTATATCTTCCTCTTTCCCATCCATCAATTTCTTAATCTCTGCTCTCCTTCCCCTACACCTCCCTTCTCCAGGGTTTGTCCGGATGTTGGTAAAGCTGCTGCTGCGTGCATGTTTATGTGTTAACGCGCGTTGTGTTCACATTCTCAGGACAGGACGTTTGCTCTTGAGGAAGACAGCATCATGAGCGGCAGAGGACGGTGTCCATATGACTACAACAGCCCTTCCACGTCTACGCTCTCCAGTAAGACACCCCTCCGTCTGTCGCTCATCCCCCCAGCACCCTCACTCCCGCAATGCTGCTCCCCGCCGAAGGGATGCGCTGGCTTTGTTGTCCCGACAAATCAACGCTGCCATCTTGTGGCCTTTCCTCGCAGTGAAAGTGGTTGCACATTTTAATCACAGCACGTTTTTGAACGCATTGTTGTGAATTGTGTGTCTGTACGTGTGCATACATTAGGAGGAGAGCTGTATATCGGCCTGTACACAGATTACTGGGAGAATGATGGAGCGTTTTGTCGACTGAACAACCAGACCTACACGCGCACTGAACGAGACGACAAGCAGCAACTTAATGGTTGGTATATTTTTCAGAAAAAAAACAGATATCCCTTTAAATAAGAGGGAGTGCAAAGATAACTGCTCATGTCAGGATTAGTTCTATTTGAAGATTACCGACAATCTGTTTCATTACACTTTCACATAATTAAACAACCACATTTCACTGTTTCTTAACTGGTACCGTTTATGAAATGAACAGATTACAAATTACAGGCATGCTGCCCGTCATATTTCATTACTCAAGCCTTTTTTGCCGTCTTCTGCCCGACAGAGCCTAAATTTGTGGGGTCTGCAGTTATTCCCGACAACGATGACAGAGACGATGATAAAGTGTACTTCTTCTTCACTGAGCGGGAGATGGATTCTGAGGGAGGGAACAAGGCGATGTTCACTCGTGTGGGCCGAGTCTGCGCGGTGAGAATGCAAATGCTCTAAAAAGATGCCTTGCCTTCATCCAGGGCCAAAGTACAGCAGCATTCACAGCCCGTATCTGCCTTCGTCTCTAAGAATGACCAAGGAGGACAGAGAATGCTGGTGAACAGATGGAGCTCCTTCCTGAAAACCCGTCTCATCTGCTCTGTGGCCGGACCGAATGGCATCGATACACACTTTGATGAACTCGGTGGGGCTACAAGGAAACTCTTTGCGTGCCATCTTATGTATCTGTTGTAAACAGGTTCATAATGATTGAGACTATTCCATGCATCTGCATGTACATCCCTAAATATGCAAATAGTCACTGTGTAATAGGGGATTTTCTTACATTGTGGTTCTGACCTGCAGTAGTACCAACCGATATTCAGTAGAATAGAACATTTCAACACTTGTGCCAGTAGCCAATGTGTGGTATGACTAAAGCCGAGTAAGCGCCTCTCTTTTATTACCTTCTGGCTGGATTCTTTTCACAGTGATATTTTTCAATAAAACACAGACAATCTTTGAAAACCCTTAAAGTAATCTCACTTCTAAAGATATTACCAAAATCCCCAAGGACTCGTCTATCCTCATGGATAAAAAAAACACATATCCCTCCGTCTGCAAGAGGATAGGAACAATTTAAAAGCACTTAAGACGCAGGGTCCCAGAAGACTGTCTGTACTTTCTCAGCCGAGTTTGAGGAGCTGTTGTCTAAAGGGCTCATAAAGAAAGTGCTAACATGTCAATGCTTAGCAGGTACTACGTTTACTTTGTCAACTATCTATTAAATGTAATAGATACCAACGACACCTAATATAAATGTTTTCTGTTTTTAGAGGATGTGTTTGTGCTTAACAACAAGGACGGGAAAAACCCTGAAATATTTGGCCTCTTTAGCACGACAAGGTGAGCGGATTGTGACTTCACTGTTTCATTGTACAGTCCCAAGGAAATCACTAACGGAGCCTTTCTTTGCAGTGCGGTGTTCCAAGGCTTTGCAGTATGTGTCTACCACATGGATGACATAAGGGCAGCCTTTAATGGTCCATTCGCCTACCGAGAGAAACCTGAGCATCACTGGACAGCTTATGAGGACAGAGTCCCCTACCCTCGACCTGGATCTGTGAGTCTTAACGTAAAATACAAGTTATGTTTGCAGCATGTGATTTTCTACTGATCCGAGTCCATGACGGAAATTATTTGTGAGGAAACAGTGTTGATGCGGGCAAACTGCTGAATGTCAGCACTAATTCAGCTTCCTCAGCAGGTCGTACAGGGAAATCCTCAGCCAGACGAAAGCAGTTTTTCCATGTTTTACACTGTATAACGGACCACCTGTCCCTGCCCCCCTCTGTTCCTGTCGCGCCTCTCTTTGACAGTGTGCCAGTAAAGTGAACGGAGGTGGCTTCTCAAGTTCCAAGGAGTTTCCCGATGAGGTTCTGCGGTTTGTGCGTTCCCACCCTGTGATGTATCGCCCTGTCTTTCCACACCGCGGGAGGCCTGTGCTGCTGCAGACAGAGACAGGCGGGAGAAAGCTGACCCAGATCGCCGTGGACAGAGTCCAAGCGCAGGACGGACAATATCATGTCCTCTACATCGGCACCGGTACACACACACACACACACAGTGAAGAATGCTGAATATATTGCAAAAATGAAATACAGAAGAAACACAAACTTTTGAATAAAAGTTGTTTCTTGTACTAATGCGGTTTGCACTGGTTGTGATTTTCTTTTTTTTCTTTTTTATTGCAACCCATTAGCACTTAGCTGTTGGAACAGTGTGACATTGTTTTCCTCTTTGTTAGACGACTCGGTGGTGTTAAAAGTAATCACCATCTACAACAAAGACACAGACACTATGGAGGAGGTGCTGCTGGAGGAGCTGCAAGTATTTAAGGTACTCATTGTTAGCTACACAACGTGAAACAAGAGTAGACACTGTAAGTCCATTCTGTATTGCAGCGCCCACAGACCGCAGTCCGCAATAACGGGTTATTTTGAAATCCTGATTTGCCTCTTTCCCATCATGTGAGGGGCGCAGTTGTGATTTAGCAGGCCTGCCCGTTAGAGATCTTCAGAACGATTTGAAGAAAAAGATCTGAGAACTTTATGTCGGCTCTCGTTATGATATTCTTGTAGCATATGATTGCCATTTATTTTTGATTAACGGTACGATGTGCCCTGTCTGCAGGTGCCAGCACCAATCAGAGAGATCATAATATCACCTAAACGGGTAAGAGGACCTTGTGAATGCATCTTCTGTTCACTCATGCTATTCTGCTTTTCAGCCACAAGATGTCGACATTTTCATTAACTTGTACTGCCATGATTGAGACGTTCTGTTGCTGTTGGATCATTATCACAGTTGAATGAGACAGAAAACATGAATATGGATTCCTGTTAAACTGTGTGCTGATATTAACGGTGCTCGTGCTGTTGGGCCCACAGCAGCGGCTGTATGTCGGGTCAGAAGCGGGTGTGGCCCAAGTCGCACTGCATCAGTGTGACCTCTATGGCTCAGAATGCGCCGATTGCTGTCTGGCCAGAGACCCTTACTGTGCCTGGGATGGTCTCACCTGCACCAGATACTACCCTGCTGGAATTTACACCAAAAGGTAACTGAAAACCCACTCTGAGACAGGACCATATGTATTTCTGAAGATATTTGTATTTGTGTGTGTGTATGTGCGTGTGTGTGTGACAGAGTGTGTGGGTGATACCAGCTGCTCACACCTTCCACAGTACTTCGGTTCCATCACAGTGTGTTGCAATGAATGTCGCAATGCTCTGAGGCTGGTCTGCCAAGTCACCATCACAGGCTGCGAGCAAAATGACAGCCAGTTGTTGTTTAACATCAATCAATGTACCCTTCATCACCGTCCCCCTTCATGCATTTTCTTTCTCCATCCCCATATTGGATATTTCTCTATTCTTTCACCCGTGTTCTTGTACATTACACATGTAATATGACTCCCTCTACTTCCCTCACATCATCTCAGCAGAAGATTCAGACGGCAGGACGTTCGCCATGGCAACGCTGTCCAGCTGTGCAATGGGCTGCAAATTGAGGGTTAGTGTATAAAATGGCTCTATGATGTGTGTGTGTGTGTGTGTACGTGCAGTTTAGTGTGCTTCTACTGAGGCAATAGATTGGAACAATTCCCTCCTTTTGTCATCTAATGAAAGGTCATCTAATCATGTCGTACCAATCTGTGCACGCGTGTGTGTGTGTGTGTGTGTGTGCGTGCAGATGAACAATGGCAGCGAGCCGAGGAGAGGCTGGTGTACGGTGTGGAGAGCAACAGCACTTTACTCGAGTGTGTCCCTCGATCACTTCAAGCCACGGTCCTCTGGTTCCTGCAAAAAGACGGAGAGAAACACGAGGTAAACTGGATGGACCTTTCTAAAGAACATCCAGATGTTAACACGTTTAACAATATATAACACTACAAACACCAATATGAAAAGTAAATACATTACACTAGATTTAAAAAAATCACCATAATACTGTTATTGTGTAACAAAAACAAATGTTCCTCCGACCCCCTTTCGCCCCGTCCTTCAACGCAAGTAGTTTTGGTTTGACCAAACTACTGCTGATGTTTTTTAAATAGCGAGGTTTGTAGACTAACTGGGACTTTCCTTATCCAGGTGGTGTTGTTAGGTATTTGTATTGATTTATCAAGTTACTAGATTCCAATTTTAATTTTTTTTTTTAAATGTAACATTAAATTTCAAGATGCAGTATAAATTAAGAGATTGAAACCTGGGATTGTGGCTCAACTCCTATAACGTATGGAAGTCACTGTGTTGAGTACACTTTTAAAGATCTCTATAATTCAGTTCTTCAGATCCTCAGGATTTTTAATCAAATCTTCTGCCAAAACAAGCAACAATTGACATGTCTGAACCGACTTGCATGAGCGGCACATCAATGGTTAGAATGCCTCTTCTTCCCTTTTTTCCTCCCTGCAGGTTCGAGGTGATGAGCGAGTTATCGTCACCTCCCACGGGCTGCTGTTTCTGCGAGTGAGAAGCTCCGACGCCGCCGTGTACGTTTGCCAGACCGTGGAGCACGGATACGTGCACACGTTGTTACGCGTCTCTCTGCGCGTACTCAGTGGCGAACGGGTGGAGTCAGCAATCCACCAAGCCGACGACGGGGAAGCGGCCAAATCTGCACTTCCGTGCCCCTCCTTCATGGGCCCCCCCCCAGATCCCAGCGTTAGCCCGAAGGCTCGAGGGCCGTCAGCGGTCTCGGGCCCCCACTCCAGGTTGTGGTACAAGGAGTTTCTCCAGCTCATCGGCTACGGGGATGCACAGAGGGTGGAGGAGTACTGTGAGAGAGTGTGGTGCTCTGATAAAAAACGCAAAAAGGGCAAACGGAAGTATTCTCCTCCGAGTGGCGAGAGGAGAGGGAAGGGCAGAGGAGAGGAGAATTCCCACCGAGCGCCGAGGCACACCGCGGACACCTGAGGAGGACAGAGCTCCACTAAACACGCACACACACATGCATGTGCACGAACACACTCGAGAGGTGGAACTCAATCTTTGGTTGCACCATATAAAGGCTTTTCACTTTGTTTTTAACCACGGTAGTAAGAGAATAACAGTAGTAGGTTGCTGTAGCGAGCTGTCTAGGGGTTCTAGGGATATTCATCATTGGTCTGACGTTGATGTTTCACTTATTTCAAAATGCAAGATTTTGCCTTTTTGTATAGATAAACTGATTATGTGGTTAAAACCCTGTGTAAATATGTCAGTGTCAGGGCAGTAGAGGACACACGAGGAGATGGAGGACAGACTGTCTCTGATCTGTAGAGAGATATATGAAGAGAATATAACGGTGGACCGATCCAGCCCAGCAGTCAATCCGAATGGACACAGACGTTACCACAGCAGACACGAGGCGTCATTCAATGGCTCACAACGATGAACTCTTACTGTATTATTATGAGAGAAAGCTCTGTTCATGCTAAAGGCCTACTATCGTTTTTTTTGTTGGTACTATGATAACTTATTTTCTCGGTTCATGCTTGGAGTTCCGTAGTTGTTTTTAGTTGTCACAAACTGGAAACTATATTGATGTTGTTTTTGTACAGTAAATAATGTCTTTAGGTTTATGATGATGAACCATACACTCAATGCTGCAATTCCACTATCACTGATAGTTGAGTCATGTTTTAGTAATAATAATGCCCTCCATGGAATCATTACTATTCAAGCACTCGTGAAAACTGTTTCAGTAGATGAAAAGTATTCCTATTAGAGAAGATTTTTGTAAGTGTCATTTACATCAACGGACCAACTCTACCAACAGTATTGTGCATTGTATATTGTAATCAACCAACATCCGAGGGGGGTCTTTGTGTGCAAATTTAGAAACTATAACTGTATTCATTCTTCTCTCTCTCTCTCTCTCTCTCTCTCTCTCCCTCTCTCTCCCTCTCTTTCTCTCTCTCTTTCTCCCTCTTCTTTGTTTGTCTGAAACAATGTTGCAAATGGATTCATAATTACTTATCATTCAGCCTCATGAATATTCAGTTAACTGAGATGACAGAAATATTAAATAACTGAATACAATCATGACAGTAAAATACAATGTAGTGTTTTGGGATCACTTTTTACCTGGTTTTATTCCCTGTTTTCATAATGGGGTAAACATATTTAATAGAGCCATTCATCATTCTCCTTAAATATTCTTTATCTCAGAGCCTTGTCTTAGATTGAACATGTTTTATCTGCTATACCTGTTTTAATTACCTGCCATTAAAAAAATGGAACATCCTATCCAAGTGTCACTTCAGTCGCTTAGCCATCAATAATGTCATAGTGTACTCGGTCCACATTCACACACACACACACACACACAAGTTGGGGAGAGAGCAGAGAGCAGCAATCACCTTAAAACATACATTTTCATAATTATGTAAAGCTATATTTTTGTTCAATAGAGGAAGTGTTAAGTACTACATAGGTCTCTCTGTTTTTACTCATAGAGAGATTATATATAGATTATTATATATAATCTCTCTATGAGGAAACAGAGAGACCTATGTACCTATGAGGCCTATGAGAGACCTATGAGAGAGATTATATATATATATATATATATATATATATATATATATATATATATATATATATATATATATTATATATGCTGGGGAAACACAAATTCCAAACAACCAGCAAGGATTCGTTATGATTTTGCTTGTATCCTGGTGCACCGTGCTCATTCAAATTCTGTCTGGGTCTACCTGAGTCAGTGGGTAGCTGAAGGCATTTGAGAATGGGATTAATGCTGCTGATTTATTACACATGGCTACCATAGCAACAGGCTCTGAACTGGTACAGCTCTCCCCCTCTCTCTCTGTCAGGTTTCAGCTGTTGCTCTGGTCCCTGGCCTCGTCTAGCCCCTGGATCACACTAGTGACTAGTCTAATCGATGAGACGGGTCCAGATGCAAAAACCGTGATGAACCTTGAGCTGCTCTACATCTATCTGTCACTGTGTGAAAATGACAGTGTTTTTTCTTTTTTGCCCTGTTGGCACCTCACGTGTTTTCTCTTGTAGCTCTGGATGTCCCCATGCGGTGCTGTTTCCATCAAGCCAATGCACCAGAATACTTTATTACAAATGAAAATGTCACAGAGGGAATGAAGAAGGAACAAATGAACACTGGAGGACAAACAGTAAACACACCTCTCCTCTACAACCAGTAACACTCCTCAGTATGTACATTACAGTATATTGTATGTCTATGTGCACATATTTTTGTGAAAACTGAATTTACATACAAGCCTTGATGGGTATGTTTGTATAAATGAAGAAATAACCAGAAAGATATCCCTTACTCTCCTTGTAAGCAATCCACCATGGCAAAATGCCTTTATGTTTATGCATTTTGCTTCTGTATCACTTAATACACTACAATAATGAATAAACTACCAATTCAATTTGATAAACATTCATTTTTGCAAATAAAAATAATGAAAATGTTCCTATTCTGGATTTTCCTAATCAGTTATCTTACTCGAAGTTCTTAACAGGTGTGAAAATTGAAAGTCAGGCATCCAGTGATCCGATAAGCTACAGCAGCTTGGATGACATGTCAGGTCAGGACAAAAGAGAATCCGGTTTTAAATAAGGTATATTCTTCTTACCTAGAGATATGATTTCAAACGCACACAAAAAATACCAAATTACAAAGGGATTCTGAAATAACACAGACATGAGCACACTGTGGACACAAAGCGGCGTGTCAACATGTACTCTGTGTTGTCTTGCTGACACAGCTGTATGTAAGCTACAGAATCGGTCCCTCGGCTGTGAGAAGCTCTAAAAAACAACCAGCAATGGGAGAGGTCGGACTGACCGATTGCGATTTTGTGTCTAGAAATATTCCTGTGTCCATTTTCTTTTTTCCTCCCACATGTGGTTTCCAAAACCAGATGCAACATACGGCCGAACAACAATTCTCTCCATCCATTCAACATTACTCAATAGGCCGTATAAAAGATGCCTACCACCCACAACACTCTGTTTCTCCCAGCTCACAAATCTCATGGAGGACAGCCGAGTGGGAACGAGAGACGCGAGACATAGATCATCTGGCCTTTTTTCACTGCTGGCATTCAAGGGAAGCCGAAACTGCAGAGTGAGTCAGTGAGAGCGTAGAGCGAGCGAAGCGGTGAAAGTAAAAAGCAGAGGAAGACGTGGTTGGATGTGAGTCCCTGTGAGTCCCTGTGCTCTCCTGGGACCAACGCTTCTTTGAATTATAGTGCAGCCGGATTTGGTACCTGATGGAAGATGTATAGATAGGTAGAAATGAGGTAACGCTGTCAGGCATGACTAAGAAAATGACTACCATTGATGAAGAATTAATGAATGAGTTTTCCTTTTTTGAAATGCCCGTCCAGCAAACGTTGGACTGGTGCTGTGCATATGTAAAACTCTACGTCCTCTTTGGCCCCTTGTTTTTGTGTCTGCGTGCATTAAAGAACATTATGTTCAGTGGAGGTGATCCTCTGGCCGTGGATTTTGTGAATGACATGTTTGTGACGCATGTGCTGTGTCATTAATCTGGGTGTAATCACTACATCTGTAGCCCCTGTGGGGGTTGCTCTCGCCTCTAATCCACCTCTTTATCCCGGCATCTTTCTCATTACATCACTCTGACCTCTGCAGCGCCAACAGCTGGTCAAGGCTGTTAAACAACAAACAGTACTTGCAGTCAATCAACACACACCATGTTGGCTCTACATAATTTATGAAGTCTAGCATTGTACTCCAAATGCTATTGCGCAATAAAACACTGGATAATGGGGTTTCACTTAAAGATCACTTACAAAGAATATGAAACATGAAATGGAACAGCTTGAAGCACTTCACTCAGGCATGTAGTGTAATAACAGGAATTGCTCTATATCCATAGTCATAAAAAATGTATAGATCCAACATGTTATCCTGAAAAGGTTTTATAAAAACATCATAGTAGATAAATAAGAATTGCATAAAATGAGCATTTATATAATATGCTTTAATGTCTGAATCATTCATTAGAATGACAAACAAGTCATAAATAAATAATCGAAGATTACCAAACAATAACTAATATTTTTACAAAGATGAAAGGTATGGTTTTCTCCAACTGCGGAGAGGAGATAACGCTGCATGAAAAGTGAGATTTTCGTCCCCGTAAGGGGACGAAGAAAACAACGCTCAAGGCGACATTTTGACTGAATCAGCAGCCTGCTGACTCAAAACTGCAGTAAGAGACACTGCTTTGGGCTGCAAGTTGCCAACAGTCTTTACTACAACAGAAAAAAGCATGGATTTATTTGAGTGATCTAATTAAAAGTATTAAGCAGATTTTTTCCCCTTTGTGACATTTTAAGAAACAGTATTTAAGGACTTACATTTGTAAATTATTCAATTTGGCTGGTCTCAAATGTAAGACACCACTGAAACTAATGCACCAGCTTTATTTGCCCTCCACCACCTAATTCCTACTAGACAGACCCATTACTGTACAAAATAAAACAAGGATTTTGTAATCAGGCCTCATCAATGCATTGGAAGACTTCATCAAGTGTCCACATTTGCATATCACATCCTTGCAAACGAGTATTTGCATTATTATATGTGTGCAATGAAGATTTGCTCCAATACATTTCTGACGCCGTCCATCAACCAATCCTGTTACGTTTAAGGCACCGCTGCTGATGGCATTTAATGATTACATGAAACAAGTCATCCATGAAATGAATTCCCCAAATAGGAATATTATGACCGCGGTTCTATGCGCTGTATCTTTATGTGTGGCCCTTTTGCAGAATGGATTTTGTGAGGAGGTCTGTTTTACCACATCGGAAGCGAATTATGATTAACAGCTCCTCAGTGATAACAGTTTACAGTATCCTTAAATTATCTTAGACATTAAATAACAGTTCACATTTGAGTCATATTGGATTTTAAGTCACATTCATTTTTTGTTCTATTTTCAAAGATACTATCATTTATAAATGCATTAGATGGAGGTGGATCTTGTCACAGGGCTGATTACAAAACTGTAAATAAATAAGACACCCTGCAGTGTAAATGGAGACAGTGACGTTTATCCTTTCTCTTCTTTAGCCTGGTCTTTCAATCAAACTATTCATATGTCAATCTTGGCTTTATTTGTTTATTAACATTGCCACCACTTTGATAGACAAACCAGATTTGCACAAGGGGGGGGGGGGGCATTATACAAACAGCCTTAATATTCTCTGAGTTTCCCTCTGAGTGGGAATGAACGCTCACGATCTAGCAAACCAACCAGCTCGCATTCAGGTGGGAGTTTCCCTCCATCCATGTGTAGCTGTATGGACGTTAGACCTGAAGCGGAGCTGCATGAAATGAAAGAATATCCTCATCCTTGTCTGTTCAAGCATTTTATCAGCCGCATTACAGCAGCAAGCAGCTGGGAGCCTGTAGCTGCTCGTGAATATTTGATGGGAGAATGGATCGTCTCCCCGGCCAGGTCGAGTACAGCGTGCAGACTCAATCGCACACACACACACACACACACACACAAGGTGGTACAGTTTCTCTGCCGTTCCACAGACTAATGCCAAGAAGGTACCAATGAAGATGGTATTAGAGTTCACTACTGCTGATGAAAAGAGCACCAGAAAGTGAAACCTTTTCTCCATGATCTCCATTTCTGAAATCCTGGGGAGAGACACTCAAGCACACACAAGGGAAACTCCTCTTTGTCAAAGGAATAGAGGGAGTTAAAGTCTAGGATGCCTAGAAATAGAGTGATGTATTGATACAACTGTCCATTCATTCATATTCAGCTGTGCCACTGTTTACACTGTTTGAGGATCATTTTTGAGTATTTATAACAAGTCGTTTTAAGGTTTGATGGTGTTGTTGAAGAGAGTGGCACGTATCTGACCACAGTGTCAAAAAAGGCGCTAGGTGTAAACCTTTGCTTACAGTTTATTGAAAGGATGCTATTAGTATGTGTGTTTGTCACAGTGAAAGCCACTTATCACCTAATTCATTTGTTAAAAAACTGTACTGAAATACTAATGCAAATTTAAACATTTGAGCCCTCCTGTAAACCTTAAAAAACAATTTATACTGTAGTTTGGTGTGATTATAGTTGCCCTTGTATAGTAGAAATTAATACATCAAGCAAGATATGTCTGATGCAAAAAAAGGTCTAATTCCAGGTCTTTGCCGGTTCCGTTAATGGCATAAATAAGTTTCTGTAACTCTGATACATCCTCCTTCCTTTTCCATTAATCTCAACTCCACTTCAGCCCTCACACCTGCCAATGATTTTTTTCCTCCTTATCTTTATGGTATTTATCCTATTGGTGTTCTTACTGCCATTAACAAATGCATTATTTTCTACTCACTCTTCTCTCGTCTATTTATCATTTCCTCCTGCTCTTCTGCCCTTTGCCAGTCTGACTGATCATCAGAGATAAACTGCTCACTGATCTGCAGGATTTGGGGGCGTGGACTCTGTAATCCATACAATTCTCCCATGATATAGTACCCGAGGGAGGGGCTGGAGGGAAAGTGAGATAAGAGCAGCGTAAATGGCAACGAGGGTGTACTGATTCCTTGTGGACACTGTCCCTTTAACAGTATTTTTAGTACGTCAGATGACAATGGTCACTGGTGGGGTAAAAAAGACAGGGAGGCTTTGGGGACTTATGCTGTGTCCTGGTGTGATGTGGAGCGAGGAAGAGAGAAGGCAACGTACAAACCGAGCTCCCTTGTGACACACAACGCACTAAAGTAAAGGCTTGGTGATTCAATCAAGTTATCAGTCAGTCAGTTACGTTGTTGGTACATTTATTATAAAGTATGTGACATTTTGTTTAATAAGTCTATAAAAAAAGTCTATAAAAAGTTTTGAGTCAACTAATTTCATATTAACTGTGTGAACCAGTGTTATTATTATTTTAATTTGTTTTAATACACCTAGACTTAAATGTCAATCAACATGTGAACTGTAATTGCACTTATTGTTTTGGGACATTCCAGCGGTCTTTTGGTTCCTTTTGGTAGACATTAGTGTAATGAGTGAATATTTTTCCTTTCCTCTGCGCAGATATGTAAATTTAATGATACTGGCAGTGCGTGTGATCAGGTTACTGTGTATAGATTACATGGTGACCCTGCCGATACACCTCCATGCAGGCTGCTGCTCCACACAGCTCGGGCTCCACTGCAGAGATAACCATGCCGGGGAAAAACTGCTTTCCTTTCCTCAAGGGTCAACGCCAGAGGTTTGTCTCTTTTTGAAAACTAGTTCCTTAAACAAACTACTTTGCCATTTGTTTGGGACTGTTGAGTTGTTGTTGTTGTTGTTATCGTTGTTGCTGAAGTTGCAGTATCATCCATCAGCCATCCAACGGCTGAGGGAGTTAGAAACTGCTCGCCAGCATTACGCTCCAGTGTGTGTGCTTAATTAAAATGAGAGAGCGAGATAAGCGCTGCCTCTGAGCTCTGTTTGTTTCAGTGTGTACGTGCATGAGGAAAAAGACAGAGATGAAGATGGCTATGCGGGGGCTGGGAAACGGGCTTGATCGTGCACAGAAGAATACAAATGCTGTCTAATTGCGGCGTCTTCCTATTGGTGCACGGCTGAGTGGGCAGAGAGACAACACTGCTGAGAGGAGAACCCCAGAGGCACCTGCAGTCCGATGGGACGTGCCCTCACGTCTGCATTTATGTGTTGGAAAATGGGATGGAGGAATAAATCAATTTTCAGATTGCATTATAGAGTGTTTTTTTCCCTTGGCAGCAAACTGGCCTGATGGTTATTTACGTTTGGCTTTTTGGAAGCAGGTCCAGGATTCAAAAGACTTGCAGGTCTAAAAATTTGCGGGACTTTGTGCAGTAAAACCGGGGTAATGATTCTTCAAAAAAATGTAAACTGTAAGCAGAGACGATCTTAGACAAGCGTCAGGGCCTGCTGTTACACTTACGCTGTTCAATCATACCAAATACAAGCCTTCCTTATCCAGATGTAGAAGCAAGTGAATGTTATACCGTAACTAAATTACTACAAGCTTCTGGTAATTAAAGATAGGCTTTGTATCTTCATCAGGGCTATTCAATCACACCACAGAGAAGGAAGCAGAGTGACTGATCATAATCATCCCTTGAAAAACCTACTAAATTTAGTGTTTTCTTTTATTATATTAGAAAGTCTTTGGGTGAAGATTTTATTTCGGGCCCCCGTGTGAATTTACTCACATGTGGTAAAGCCAGACAAAAGAAACCCTCGGGTGAAAGCCGTTTTAATATTTATATTGTTCCAATGAGCACTTTGAATTATTTTCAGTCCTCCATACACGTTCACTGCCTTCATGCATGCAATTCATTTTTGGAGTTATCTCTACAAGTGACACAGTACGTGATGCTTCAGTTGTGTGAGCGCAGGATTTCAGTCTAGTCTGGCGTTATGAGAGGCTGCGTGGGAGAAAGTGGATAGCGACGCTGGAGATTTCAGTTATGGCATTTTTACTGACAAGCGGGGAGAGCTCAAAAGAAAAGAACATGATGGTGCCGCATCCGGTGATTGCCTGCTGTCCTACAGTGTTACATAATATTGTTAACAGACTGACACAACTCACTTGTGGAAGCTTCTATCCTCCTCCACAGCTACGTTCTGTTTGTCAATCAAAAACATTATTATTATTACAGTATAATAACATCAGAAATCTTCATGATAAATTTATATTGTTAAACAGCGGTTTGTACACTGGGCTTGTTTCTTGAACAGCAGTTAAATCTCCCACCAATTAATTGGTCTATGGTAAGGACATGAGGCCTAATTTAAATATTTTGTATCGTTAGGATCATCATTCATTTTGTCTACCAAAAACATTTCAATACCTTGTTACGAGGATGAGGGAGACATGAGTATAGTCTGAGATTACTGAAAGCATTTCCGGACCATGTAAAAAAAAACGAGAGAATATTTCCCCAGATGGAGAGGACTGTTCCCACTGTATGTGTGTGTGTGTGTGTGTGCGTGTGCGTGTGTGTGTGCGTGTGTGTGCGCCTGCAATGGAGCCAAATCTGGCGCTTACGAAATAGATACCATAGCAAGTCCGCCTCTCACACATCACACGTGACGTAACTCTCCCACACGCCCACACACACCACTTGCTCTTCATCCCTCCCACCCGTTTCTCTCTCACGCTTACCACACATACTGAATAGGAATTCATCTACTGTGTGTGTAGTGTAAATGTGTAAATGTGCATGTGACTATGGGCCGATGGAGAAAGGGGGATCCGTTCAGAAATTCCCCCCAAAAATTCCATAATTCCATAATTGAGAATATGAATAGTTTTCCTTTTTTTTTTACAGATTTAAATGGTTACATGATCGTGGGATCTTACTTCAAGACTCAGTCCAGTGTCAAATATAAGTCTCTACGTGTTTATTTATCTGTTCTGGAGCCGGGAGGTGAAAATAAGGGAGCCAGCAAGTTGTTCTTATCACTTTGATAGTGGCACACGATAAGATTGCCAAGATTGTCTCTTCACATAGCATCGACTCGGTAGAAAAAAACTCTTGTGGGAGAAATGCCAGAGTAAGAAGACAAGGTGAGAAGAGACAGGTTGTCCAGACTGAACTGGAATCTTTGTGGATTGTGTCCAGCATATCGTGGATGCAAGTGGATGGAGAAATTAGTAGAGCTGAAACCGGCAAAGTCAAGGAAATTCGAACAGGAAATTTTCTGCAAATTGTGTTCTACTGACTCCGGAGGGGACAAATAAATCGCACCTGTCCCCTTTAATTTCAGATTTCCGTGCGTGATATATATTGTGATCACCTGTCAGATACGGCGCCTGCGCAGTGGAGCAGGAGGCGGAGTGTGGATGCTGGTCGCTCTCTGTCTCGCTGCCCGGTGCCCTCCATCCCGCGGCGAGCGCACACACACACACACACACAGAGCGAGAGAGACAGACACGGACAGGGGGAGATCCGAGGAGCGATGGGCGAGGATAGGGGAACAGCCCATATGCTGTTGATGAAGGTACAACTCCCCTGCGCTTTTCACTGGAAACACCGCGCCGCGCGTTTTGACATTGTGGCCGCGACGGGGTGAAGGATGCTCGGCTGCATGATGGGAGGGGATGAGTAGCGGGGGGGGGGGGATCAAATGGTACTTCGTGACATGCCACCGATGACATATGGCTTCCGCTGTGTTTCCTCGCTTCGTGTTCAGGAATGTAGGGATATTTAGACTTGGTCCGATATCGGGACACGCACGCGCTCAAGGGCACACAAGTAGGTGATAACGTGTTGTGGGTTTTTTTGTGAGGGGGGTTGATTTATCTTGTATCTCCACCCTATGCGGACTAACGTGTCATCGGGTATTAGAAGGTTTCGGGCTTAATGCACGTTTCCGTTTGATCCACTACGGTAAAACACTGTAAATCCATCGGATCCACTTCACCGCCTCCGGGTTCACCATCGCCAGCAGCACTGCGCACACGCGTTTATCCCCGCTGCTTCATATCCCCAAAAATCATAATAAATCACAGACACCCCGCAATTTGCCCTCATTGTTGCTTTTGTAACATCAGTATTGGCTTATTTAATGTCTCCCCCCCCGCCCCCCTACCCGGATGTGCCTGCAGTTTCTCCAGAGAGAGCGCTAGATTTCCTGTTTTCTCGTCTCGCTGCCGTACAACACGTCCCGCTTGATATTTGTCATCAGCACCAACGCTTGGTGCTATTTGGGCGATGGGTGACATCACAGGACACTGTTAGCAGCCAGAGACCAATCATTTGACGATATTTGAGGTTGGAAGGAAAAACAATGTAACCCGAGAATTCACCTTGTGTTGTCATTCCAGTTGTGTTTGTATAGTGCGTCCATCTGGAGAGCTTCATCACTCTCCTGGGTTACACAATGACCAGTATTGCAATGTTTGCTGAATGGGATCTCTGAGCTTTGTCCATAGAAATGATGATCGCATTCACCTAAATGGAATGTGTTTTGAAGTATGCTGTTTAAAGATGCAGATTAAGCTGTGTTAGCCGACATGATAATATGGATGTGGAGTTGTTATCTATCATAATTATGTCTTAACACAGATAAACAGCATCGACAACTCACCTCAGACAGTAAATCAGTTGATTGGTAATATTACGTTTCCTCTGCATCCGCTATACTTTCCACTCGTTTTTTATTTTGTTTAACAGACAATTGTATTGTCTCAAACAGCGTGGTTTACAGTTCCTCCTGCTCTCCTTCATCACACCTCCCTCTCGTCTTGTTCCCTGTCGTCTCACACTTCCTCTCTGTCTGTTTCTCTTGCATTTAGGAAGTCTGATGTAGACGCTGAGCCAGAGGAGAGCCCAGGGAGCAGCAGCAGCAGCAGCAGCAGTGGGGCTGTAGATGCCCTCTCCACAGCTCCGTCACCAGCCCCCCCTCAGGCCTCCCAGGGACTGGCAGGAGAGAGAGGAGTCAGCTCCTGCTCTGACTCCGACAGCCCTGTAGATTCCAGTTCCTGTGAGGAGGAGGAGGAAGACCCAACTATGTTCTCCTCCAAATTCCTTAGTGGGGCCAACCCACTCAATGCTGTGTCCTCTGCTGTGAATAAGTTTGGTTTATTTGGAGATGATGGGGATAAGAATAAGAAAGCACCTTCACAGCAGGGGGCTAAGCCTGGACAGCAGCCCGGAGCAGGGCCAAGCCTAGGCCCTCAACAGCAGCAGGGAATACAAAAACCAGGCCCTACGGAAAAGGGACAGCCACTCCCTAAAGAAGGGTCCCCTCAGCTACATGGGAATGGAAAGGCTGAACCTCCAATCAAGCCTGGTGGGCAACACGTCGCTCCAAAGGCAGGAACACAGCCTGAAGGTCCGCTGAAAGGAGAGCCTCAACAAAGTCAAACTAAGGGCCCACCACAGCAAGGTTCGCCTAAACCTGGAGCTCAACAACAGATTGGGAGGAGTGGCGCTCAATCAGGTTCTCCAAAAGCACCACAAAAGGTTCCACCTGAGGCTGAGATGCAACAACCGGGGCCTGCTAAGACTGGGATGCAACAACCGGGGCCTGCTAAGACTGGGATGCAACAACCGGGGCCTGCTAAGACTGGGATGCAACAACCGGGGCCTGCTAAGACTGGGATGCAACAACCGGGGCCTGCTAAGACTGGGATGCAACAACCGGGGCCTACTAAGACTGGGGTGCAACAACAGGGGTCTGCTAAGACTGGAGTGCAACAGCAGGGGTCACCCACAATTGGACAACAAAGCTTTAGGGATACACCCCAACAGCAGTCCTCAAAACGGCCTGAGTCACAAAAACAAGACCCAAGGGGACCCACTGCACCTGGCATGGACAGAGCAGGATCTTCAGCACCAGGACCAACCAAAGCTGGATCTCAGTCAAGAGCAGTAGTTAAGTCCCTTTGCCCAGTGTGTAAAACAACAGAACTCAATGTACACAGCAAGGACTTGCCTAACCATAAAACCTGTTCACACTGTAAAACTGAAGTGTGCAACCTGTGTGGCTTCAGCCCTCCAGACTCTGATGTAAGTAAAGACTTAAATATTTGCTTATCATTATGAAGTGCTTTTTTCAAACTAAATTTTATGCCTTTACAATGTATATTAAAGTAACTTGTGCTATCAATATGGTTCACTTTGAAGGCAAATTATAATTGTGCTATTCACTGCATGTTAGTACAGTGCTAATTGTTGAAAGTGTGTTTGAATGAATTTCAAAATACTGATTTATATGCATTAATGTCATAATTGTCGTTTTTGTTAACAGGGACGTGAGTGGCTTTGTCTTCCCTGCCAGATACAGAGAGCTCAGGGGGGTTCTGAACAACAGGGACCCTCCACGAAGAAGCTCACACCTAACAAAGTCCCTTCTGCTCAAAACCAGACACCATCTCCTGCTGCACCCGTCAAAAAAGAGATGTTAGCACCCGGTTCACCCAAGAAAATGCAGTCTACATTGGCAAACGTTCCAGCCAAGGCTGACGCTAGTAGAGGTCATGAGAGTCAAAAACAGGCCAGCCCAGCTTCTGTTCATAAAAAGACACCTGAGACCGAGCATACATCAGGATCTCACATACCGGATAAGACTAGTCAAAGTGGACGCAAGCAAAGCTGTAGCCAACAAGAGTCAGGAGGATTATTTGGCCTGGGTGGTGTTAAAACTGAAGCTGCAAAGCCTGATGAGTCAGTAACTGGAAAGATGTTTGGTTTTGGTTCATCTATTTTCAGTTCTGCATCTACACTGATAGCTTCAGCTGTTCAGGATGAGCCTAAATCAACACCGCCTGTTTCTCCAAAAATACAGTCTGCAAAAGACAACAAACCAGCTACTGTACAAAAGTCAGCAAAAGAGGCACCACAGCAGGCAACGGCTAATCCAGCAAGACAGATAAAAGGAGACAAAGCTGCATTCCAGAGTCCGAAGGCAGAAGCAGCCGCCCACAGCTCTCCTAAAGAAGGTCCATCCACTTGTCCCCTCTGTAAGATGGTGCTAAATATGGGCTCGAAGGATCCGCCCAACTACAACACCTGCACAGAATGCAAAAGCACTGTCTGCAACCAATGTGGATTCAACCCGATGCCAAATGTCAAGGAGGTAGGACACATGCAATGTTAATTAACAGCTGAATTAATGAATGATTGAAGAGGGCGAGGAAGGAAAGTTCTCAAAAAAAGAATAATTCTTACACAAATCATCATTGTTTCCTGTTGTTGAGTTCTATTTTACTGGTCAGTGTGGTTGCTTAAGACATTTTAATTACATTATTTGGAATATTACACACAAACATACATACATGAATAGCATGGCGATAATATTCCTTCGGATTCAGAATATGACATTTTTAAGATACCTGTTTTTCCCCTTAAAAAACGTACGTATACGGGTGGTATCTGTCTTTTTTTTTCTGGTCAACGTCAAATCCACAGATGAAAGTTACAAAGCCGTGGAGGCATTTTAATTCAGTATTCTCAGTGCCTCTGGTCTCGAAACAGCAAGACGGCTATGTGTCAAACGGTAGGCCACACAGGGCAGACAAGGAATAGACACACACACACACACAAATGCAACTTCACACACCTCGAGGTTCAGTTAGACTTAACACTTTTTGAAGTGAAAAAATAATGTTACAGATAACAGTTTTACTAAATTGTCACATATATCATTTTAAAATAATTGATTCAAGGTTTTTTGAAACCAGTTTATCAAACCATTAATCTCATTGGAATTGTCTTGCGCGGAATACCAGACACAAGGTAAATGGACATGACCTACTGATGCTTCAAGAACTTTTTACTTTTTAATTCAACCCATTTACTAAGCTACCTGGCCAAGGACTGTCCACGGCTACTTGATCTTATGATCCTCAAATATCAACTACTGCAGTAAATAATAGATTAGTATTAGTATTATAACTGTGTTACAGGGTTCTTTTTGTGTGTAAGAGCTCTGCCCTTAATAGAATCCTCAGCTCCTAGATTCTCCATATCCTTTTAGGTTTAAAATCTGCCCATGTATAATTTGTTTGTTTGTTGTGTGTTTTTAAGGAAAAAGAGTGGCTCTGTCTAAACTGCCAGGTGAAACGAGCTGCCAGCGGAATTGAACCTCAGAAAGACGCATCATTGGTCAATTCCTCATTTAAAAAAACTACTCAAGCACAGCCTGCACTACAAAAGACATCTGCACCGGGCTCTCCTCGGAGGGAAATATCTACACCTACTGCTCAATCAGTCAAGGCTGACACTGCGAAAGTACCAGACAGTTATAAACAGGCTTCCCAATCTCCCGGTCAGAAAACACCTCAGGAGAGCCGGATAACAGCTCCTCAGACACAACCAGACCAGACAGGCCAAACTTCACAGAAACAGAGGACTGTCACAGCAGTCACACAGCAAGAGTCGGGAACGTTTTTTGGCTTTGGTGGCCCTAAAACTCAGGTCGATGCTGCAAAGCCTGCCGTGACCGGAAAAATGTTTGGTTTTGGTTCCTCCATCTTCAGTTCCGCGTCTACTCTGATAACCTCAGCTGTTCAGGATGAGTCAAAAACTACACCACCACTTTCTCCAAAAATGAATGCTGCAAAGGACTCTAAATACCACACTGCCAAGGAGGGCAAACCAGAACAACCCCAGCAAGCCAAGCGTTCTCCATCAGTACAGCCAAAAGTGGACAAACTTCTATCAGAGCAGCCAAAGAAAGCATCGTCTTCCCCAGTTGATTCAAAGGCAGTCCAATCTACCTGTCCTCTATGTAAAGTCGGACTCAATGTGGGCTCTACAGATCCTCCCAACTACAACACCTGTACAGAGTGCAAAAGCATTTTCTGTAACCAATGTGGTTTTAATCCCATGACAAATGTTAAAGAGGTAAGATAAGAGCATTGCGGATTACAGAAAAGTGGTTGTGTTTATTTTTACTGTGATTTATATGTTGTAGTATGTAAAGTAGAAGTAAAATACTTTGAACTGTACAAAAAACAGATCTAAATTTCATTATTTGACATTTTTTCCAATTAGGCCAAGGAGTGGTTATGTCTCAACTGCCAGATGCAGAGAGCACTGGGAGCATCTCATCCTCCAGGAACTCCCATGATAAAGCGACTGGTCTCACCAAATAAACTCCCTGAACATCTCAATGCCACGAACAAAGACATTCAAACAGCTACAGAGTCAAAGAAGACCTCTGCACCAGGCTCCCCTCAGAGGAAACCACCACCAGCAGGGCCGCCAGCAAAGTCTGAAGTCATAAAGGGACCAGAAAGTCAGAAACAGGTCAGCCCAGCTGCTGGTCAGAGAATTCCAATGCAGGACCGTGCGACAGCTCCTCAGAAACCACAGGACCAGCCAAGTCAAACCGGACATAAACAGACTAACACTGCCTCAACTACACAGGAGGTATCCGAAGGGATCTTTGGATTTGGCGGTCAGAAACCTAAACCTGACAGCGCAAGGCCAGCGGAATCATTAGGTGGAAAGATGTTTGGCTTAGGTTCCTCCATCTTCAGTTCTGCCTCCACTTTGATAACCACAGCTGTGCAAGATGATTCCAAAACAACCCCACCAGTGTCAGCCAAGGTTCCTGATGCAAAGGCAACCAAACATCAGCTCGCTGAGAAACAAGAGGAAGGGAAACTAAAGCCCATGACTTCTCCATCTCCTCAAGCCAAAGTAGAAAAAGCTTCATCAAAGCCTACAAAGGATGCAGCTGTTTCCCCAGTTGTTCCCAAGACAGGCCAACCTACCTGTCCACTCTGTAAGGTTGAACTCAACTTTGGCTCCAAGGAACCTACCAACTACAACAAGTGCACTGAATGCAAGAAGAAAGTCTGTAACCAGTGCGGATTTAATCCGAGGCCAAATGAATCAGAGGTAATAGCAGAAAAAATTGAATATGAATATAGATTAAAACCAAAAATGATGGCTAGAAGTAACAAAATGGCTGCCCATAGTTGAACACCAGAATCTATAAAGAGCACATCTTGACATAGTAGAATGTTTGCATGCTGGTGTTAAAAATTATATTTTTATTCAAATTCTAATGTTGTATTTCTTTTTTTGGCAGATAAAAGAATGGTTATGCCTGAACTGTCAGATGCAGAGAGCTCTTAGCTCATCTGAACTCGCAGGTCCTCCTTTGAAACTTAACAATTCAGCTGACAAAATGTCTCCATCGACTATGCATCAGAAGATAACCGCTCCCACTCAAGTGGGACCTCCAAAGAAAGAGTTATCAAAATCTAATGCACCTTCAAAGATGGAGACTCCACTGGTTGATGTACTTCAAAAGAAGGGGAGTCTGACACCAGGTTCTCCTCAGAAGAAGCAGGCAACCAAGACTGCCGAACGACCAGAAAGAGAAACGCAGGCTAGCCCTGCTCCAGGCCGGAAAACTCCTATAGATATTGGGGGGGCACCAGAGCCTGAGGCCTCAAAACCCACAGAGTCAGTGAGTGGGAAGATGTTTGGATTTGGTTCTTCCATTTTCAGCTCAGCATCAACTTTGATTTCATCCACTGTTCTGGACGAATCACGTACGACACCGCCAAGCTCTCGTAAGATGTCTGCACCAGTCTCACCCAACAGGTCTGCTGCACCCAATGTTTCTCAAAAAACTACACAGCCAGTTTCCCCCAAAATGTCCCACGCAGGAGAGTCGGAAATACTAGAGAAGAAAACTCAACTACAGCCACCAAAGGCAGCATCAACCTCAAGAACGAATCTTAATGAAAGCCAGGCCACCTGTCCACTCTGTAAGGTTGAGATGAACATCAGCTCCAAGGACCTTCCAAACTACAACACCTGCACTGAGTGCAAGACCACTGTTTGTACCCAATGTGGATTCAACCCAATGCCCATAGGCAAGGTAAGAGAATAAACAATGCATTATTTCTTAAAAACATATAAAATAATCTGTGATGTGTTTTTGTATTTGCAATACTCAATTCCAAAGCAGCATATAACTGGTTTACTGTTTTTTCAGGCAAATGAGTGGCTATGTCTCAACTGTCAGATGAAAAGAGCAATTGGAGCTGAACCGCCAGGACCTCTCACTTTGAAGTCTCAGACATCTACTTCACCAGCTGCAGTCCAGTTGAATGATTCTCCCAAACCAACCACACCTCAAAAGAAGGAAAGTACAGGCCCTGCTGTACTGAAGGAGTCTTCAGAACCTGCCTCACCCCAGAGAAAACCGTCACCATCTGTGCAGTCAGAGAAACCTGAAGCTGCTTCTGTACCATTGAAACAGACCAGCCCGGCGCGGAATCACAAAACACCACAGGAAATACAGAAGGCCGTTCTGAAAAAGCCACCAGATCAGGCAAAGCCTGCAGAGTCATTAATAAATAGGCAGACTAAACTTCAGCAGAGTGATGCCTCAGCAGCGACACAGCAGCAAGCAGGAAGTTTCTTTGGTTTTGCTAGTGGGAAAACTCAACCCGAACCTGGCAAGCAGGCAGAGTCAGCAACTGGGAAAATGTTTGGCTTTGGCTCTTCAATCTTCAGCTCTGCATCTACATTGATGACCTCAGCTGTTACTACTCCTCCAGTGTCTCCCAAGATGTCTCCTGCTAAGGAGATCAGGTCCCACACTGCCTACAAGCCTGAGCAGCAGAATACAGCAGGGTCATCCGAGAAGACCAATACACCCCCAACAGGACAGGCCAAACTGAGCAAAGCCCCACCAGAGCCTCCAAAGGCCACAGTGGAGTCACAAGTAGCTGTCAAACCAGGCCAATCTACCTGTCCACTCTGTAAGGTGGATCTGAACGTACTTTCCAACGAATCACCCAACTACAATACCTGCACTGAATGCAAGAACCTTGTCTGTAACCAGTGTGGATTTAATCCTATGCCAAATGAAACAGCGGTAAGACGAAAGAAAATCAATATATGTATCATGCAATTGTACTGTTGAAAGACTTAAAATATTTGAAAACATCCCTTGCTCTATATATACTTCTTCTCAAATCATGCATGTCTTCGCTTAAAACTTCCATCTACTTTGTAACTAGATTTACAGGTGCTGAAATATTACATAACATAATTATACGCAGATTCATTTATAATTAATTCACCATTTTTCCATGGTTTTCTAGGTAAAGGAGTGGCTGTGTCTGACCTGCCAGATGCAGCGTGCTCTAGGCTCAACACAGCTCCAAGGAGTTACTTCTGCCAACACCCAGATACCTCCAAAACCCCAGAGGAGAGAATTCATCAGCCCGGCTGAACCTGAAAAGAACAAATCACCTCAGAGGACACTGTCTGTTGCAACACAGCCGTCTACAGTGGAAGCTGACCACAAGCCAGAAGGTCAGAAACAGCCAAGCCCAGTTCCTTCTCAGAAGATGCCACAGGAGCCTCAGAAAATATCAGGTTCTAATAAATCATCAGACCAGACAAGGAAAACCGAACGTGAGCAGAGTAACGCCACAGCAGCGTCACAGCAAGATACAAAAGGCTTCTTCGGTTTTGGTGGTGGAAAAACTCAACCTGCTGCAATGCCAACAGGGTCTGCAACTGGGAAAATGTTAGGCTTTGGTTCTTCCATTTTCAGTTCTGCATCCACTTTGATAACCTCTGCTGTTCAGGACCAGCCTAAGACCACTCCACCAGTTTCTCCCAAGATGTCCCCAGCAAAAGGGATTAAATCCCCTTATCTCCAGAGGAAAGAACAACAGACAAAGCTTGAACAATCCCCTCAGACCAAGACACCACCATCAACACAGACTAAAGTGGACAAAGCTTCATTCCAGCTTTCAAAGGATGGTGCAACCTCTAATGCCACTAACAAAACAAGCCATTCTACCTGTCCACTCTGTAAGCTTGAACTCAACATGGGGTCCAAGGATCCACCCAACTACAATACCTGCACTGAATGCAAGAATACTGTCTGTAACCAGTGTGGATTTAACCCCATGCCAAATGTTTCAGAAGTAAGTGAGATTTTCTTAAGATGTTTATATTACTCATATTTATTCTGTATTATATCTACATTTTACTTCAGTTTAATTTGTAATTCAAAATATACAAAGGCGCTCTAAAAACATCATATATGTGGTGTACCTAATATAGAATCTCGTTAATTGCGCTGTACTATGATGTTATTGTACAAATCATTTCATGCTTAAGATTCTCACTGAAAATAATGTGGTTCTCCCCATAGATGAAGAATTGGTTGTGTCTGACTTGTCAGATGCAAAGAGCTCTGCTGGCAGCTGAATCTGTAGAGCCTCCATTGATGAAACCTCAGGCATCACCAAACAAAGTGTCAACACCTCTTGCTGCCCAGAAAGAGATTTCAAAGGACCATCCAATAACAACTGAACTACAGAATAAAGAAGAAAATAAACCTTCAGTTCAAATGGATGTCACCAAAACACCAACCACTGCCGCGTTACCTGCTAAAGAGACCCCAGATACTGTTTCATCTCTCACAGAGAAAAAGACTACAGCACCTACCAAGGAGGTTCCAACCTCATTTGCACCCATCGAAGAGCCGACAGCTGTAGTATCAGACCTCAATAAATCATTGCCTGCTCAACTCCCTCCTCTAAACGCAGATACTGTAACTTGTTCCCCAAAGAAAAAGGATATCATTTCACAGAGTTCGCCCTCGCGTATCAAACTATCAGAGAAGAAAGCTGAAATAGTCCAGAAATCAGCTGATAAACCGGTCACATTCTCTGATGATGTACAGCCCCCAAAAGCCCCAAATGGAGAATCGACCCCTGTTGAAATGTCCTTTGCCAAATCTGCTCTGCCAGCAGCCCAGGCAACAAATCAAAAAACAGGTTTATTCAGCATTGGCGGCCCTCAATCACAGCATGCTGAATCAAAAACAACTGAAGCGATGACTGGAAAAATTATGGGATTTGGCTCATCTCTCTTCAGCTCAGCATCTACCTTGATAACATCTGCAAATAAGGAGGAGTCTCGCACAACACCACCAAGTTCCCGCAAAATGTCTGCCCCAGCTCAAGTCTCTGGCAAGATGGCAACATCACAGATTTCTCCAAAGTCTAGTTCCCCGGTTTCCCCGAGGATGACCTCAGAAAAAGAAGCCAAACTGCCCCCTGCTCAGAAACCACATCCGGATATCATATCAGACCAAAGTCAGGAGGCCAAGGTTCCCCTATCAATACAGTCCCAAGTTAACAAAGATCCTTTAGAGCCTTCAAAACCAGAAGTCTCCCAAGGGGCTCCCAAAGTGGGGCAGTCTAGCTGTCCACTTTGTAAAGCAAAACTTAATGTGGGCTCCAAAGAGCTTCCCAACTACAACACCTGCTCTGAATGCAAGACCGATGTCTGCAACAAATGCGGATTTAGCCCTATGCCACATTTAGAAAAGGTAATTCAATTTCTTCAACTTTTAGCATTTGTGGTCACTAGACGTTTCTTATGATCCATCTTTATACATTGGGAATGGTAGTAGTCACATGTTTCATTTTTGGTTTCGTCTGGAAGAAAAAAAAGTATTTTAGAAGTTTTAATTAAAAATGAACATGTTCCCATGTCCTTTAATTAATTTAATATAACATGTTCCTTGCTTCTCTCTTCCAGTGATTGAGTTTTGAGCGATTGTCAATAACAAATGCAAAAAATATTACCCATGTTCTGTGTTTGTTTTTTCAGGGGAAGGAATGGCTTTGTCTCAACTGCCAGATGCAGAGAGCACTTGGAGCTTCTGAACCTCTTGGCCTTCCCATGATAAAACCCAAATCGTCGCAAAGCAAAGAGGCTGCCGCCACACAGAAGAAAGAGACCCCAATCTCAACTTCTCAGGAAGACATCCATCAACCAGCCGCACCCAAAAGTGTGCTTGTTAAAGTGGAAACAACCAAGGATACTGAATCCCCAGTGCTTTGTCCACCACTAAAGGAAGTTGTTCCCCAAAGAAAAAGTGCAGATGTTTCATTGCCTGACAAAACTGTCCTATCCACTACCACAGAAACCAATGTATTACCAGCCTCACAAAAGCCTTCTGAAGACGCATATAAAGGACACCCTGGTACATCCCAGCAACAACCTACCCAATCTGTAACATCTACTCCTCCACCAGATAAAGAAGCAGAAAATCCATCCCTACAACAGTCTCCAAAGGCTATGACCACTATCGCTAAATCTGCTGCCCCGCTAGATCGACATTTGGAAGAGCAAACTCCAAAACAACCTTCAAAAACTGTGACTTCAATCGCTAAGTCTGGTCCTCCTCCAGATTCAGAAGTGGAAAAACGGCATCCACAACAGCCTCCAGAAACTGTGATTTCTGCTCCTACAGCCGATCAAGAGGCAGAAATGCCATCCCCAAAACAGCCTTCAAATGCCTTGACCACTATCGCTAAATCTACTGCCCCGCCAGATCAACACGTGGAAGAGCAAACTCCCAAACAGTCTTCTGCTCCTCCAGATTCAGAGATGGAAAAGCTGCATCCACAACAGCCTCTAGAAACTGTGATTTTTGATCCATCAGATCAAGAGGGAGAAAAGCCATCCCTAAAACAGCCTCCAAAAGCTATGACGACTATTACTGCTGTCCCACCAGATCAACATGCAGGAGAGCCAACGCCAAAACAGCCTTCAAAAACTGTGAGTTCAATCGCTAAGTCTGCCTCTCCTACAGATCCAGAGGCGGAAAAGCTGCAACTACGACAGCCTTCAGAAACTGTGATTTCTGCTCCTCCACCATATCAACATGCACCACAAAGAGATTCTATGCAAGATATGCAGATCCATTCAGGTACTGAACAAGGGCAAGGCCAAAGCAAGGTTGTGGCTGGCCAGCAGAAACTTGTTGAAAAATCCCCACAAGTCCCGATTTCACAAACTCTGAAGCCAGTAGTTAGGCCAGGTCTTGCAAAAGAAGTTGGAAAGACATCACAACAGCCTTCAAAATCTGCAATTGTCTCTGAAAAAACTGCACCTCCACCAGCTCATCCTGCTAAACAGGGGTCAGGAGGATTTTTTGGCTTTGGTGGTCCTAAAACCCAACCTGCTGCTGCAAAGCCTGCTGAGTCTGTGACTGGAAAGATGTTTGGCTTTGGTTCATCTTTCCTAAGCTCTGCATCTACCATGATAACGTCAGCTGTTCAGGATGAACCTAAGACTACACCACCAACTCCACGCAAGATGTCTACTACAGCCAATGAATCACCTAGAACTACACCGGTAGCCTCCCCTAAACTTTTACCTGCAAAGGACACCAAGCCTACCGCTGTCAAGAAAACTGAAGAGAAGCAACCAGAGAAACGATTGCAGGACAAAACTCCTTCAAACCTACAAGCCAAAGTTGACAAAGGTCTACCAGAGGCCTCCAAGGTACAAACAGACATCCAAGGTGCCTCAAAAGCAGTTCCAACCATCTGTCCGCTTTGTAAGGTCAACCTCAACGTGGGCTCGAAAGATCCTCCCAACTACAACAATTGCACAGCATGCAAGATGGATTTCTGCAATCAATGTGGATTTAATACAATGGCAATTGTGGCAGAGGTAAGTCAGTGCCTACAAGTCTTCGCCACTATAAAATATAATTCTTTGATATACCATGTTTTTTTATCAAACACTGTTTGCACCGTCTAGCAGGTGTATTATTTCTATCCTCGGTATCGTAAATGCCAACCAACATAACTTAGGGATCAACGGATTTCATCTGTATAATAGGCATGATTTTAGGTGATATGAATTAAAGATCTGTGAATAAACACAGAACATTAAGGGGCTTGAATACCCTATGTACTTTTTTCAGTAACGAAATTACTTAAAATGTTTCACTTGGTTAGTGAAAACCCTTGCTTGTTTTTTAAATTATGATGAATACCTTTTATGCCCTTTTTTTCAGGTGAAAGAATGGCTTTGTCTGAACTGTCAGATGCAGAGAGCCCTAGGCGCATCTGGGCCCACTGGAAGTCCTGCAGTGAAACCACAGACCTCCCCGTGCAAGGTTCCTGGTTCTGAACTGAAGGAAATGCCAACATTTGTCCAGCAGGACAAGTCTATAGGATCTACAGCAGTCACAAAAGAGGTCACTCATGCAACTACGCAGAAACAAGGAACCCCAAAAGTTGAGGCTCCAGTGCTGATTGCAGTCAAACAAGCTGAGACACCACACAGAGATTCTGTACAAGAGACGCAGATCCTTTCCAGGACTGAACTAAGACAAGGGCAAGGCGAGGTTGTGGATCACCAGCAGAAACCTATCGGAAAATCCCCACAAGTCCAGCTTTCACAAACTCCAAAGCCAGAAGTTAGGCCAGGTCTTGCAAAGGAAGAAATTGGAAAAACACCACAACAGCCTTCAAAATCTGCTACCTTTTCTGAAAAATCTGCACCTCCAGCAGTTCATCCTGCTAAACAGGAGTCAGGAGGCTTATTTAGCTTTGGTGGTCCTAAAACCCAACCTGCTGCTGCAAAGCCTGCTGAGTCCGTGACTGGGAAGATGTTTGGCTTTGGTTCATCTTTCCTAAGCTCTGCATCTACCATGATAACGTCAGCTGTTCAGGATGAACCTAAGACTACACCACCAACTCCACGCAAGATGTCTACCACAGCCAATGAATCACCTAGAACTACACCGGTAGCCTCCCCTAAACTTTTACCTGCAAAGGACACCAAGCCTACCGCTGTCAAGAAAACTGAAGAGAAGCAACCAGAGAAACGAATGCAGGACAAAACTCCTTCAAACCTACAAGCCAAAGTTGACAAAGATCTACCAGAGGCCTCCAAGGTACAAACAGACATCCAAGGTGCCTCAAAAGCAGTTCCATCCATCTGTCCGATTTGTAAGGTCAACCTCAACGTGGGCTCGAAAGATCCTCCCAACTACAACAATTGCACAGCATGCAAGACGGATTTCTGCAATCAATGTGGATTTAATACAATGGCAATTGTGGCAGAGGTAAGTCAGTGCCTACAAGTCTTTGCTACTGTAAAATATTATATTTTGATTTCCAATGTTTTTTTAACCTCATAGTTTGTACTGTCTAGCAGGTGTATTATGTATATCGTCAATATCATAGTTGCCAAACCTACATAACTTACAAATCAACATTTCATTTCATATGTAAAAAAGGCATGATTTTAGTCCCTATGAGTTAAAGATCTGTGAATAACAACATGACGTAAAAGTGCTTAAATATCCTTATTACTCTTTTATAATGAATTAACTGAAAATGTGCACCTTGGTTAGTTAAAACAAAGTCTTGTAGCTCTTTTTACAACAGTGATGAATACATTATATGCCCTTTTTTCAGGTGAAGGAATGGCTATGTCTGAACTGTCAGATGCAGAGAGCCCTAGGAGCATCTGAACCCACTGGAAGTCCTGCAGTGAAACCACAGACCTCCCCATGCAAGGTTCCTGGTTCTGAACTGAAGGAAATGCCAACATTTGTCCAGCAGGACAAGTCTATAGGATATACAGCAGTCACAAAAGAGGTCACTCATGCAACTACGCAGAAACAAGGAACCCCAAAAGTTGAGGCTCCAGTGCTGATTGCAGTCAAACAAGCTGAGACACCACACAGAGATTCTGTACAAGAGACGCAGATCCTTTCCGGGACTGAACAACGGCAAGGCAAGGTTGTGGATGACCAGCAGAAACCTGTTGGAAAAACCCCACAAGTCCAGCTTTCACAAACTCCAAAGCCAGAAGTTAGGCCAGGTCTCGCAAAAGAAGAGGTTGGAAAAACATCACAACAGCCATCAAAATCTGCAACCTTTTCTGAAAAATCTGCACCTCCACCAGTTCAACCTGCTAAACAGGAATTAGGAGGCTTATTTAGCTTTGGTGGTCCTAAAGCACAACCTGCTGCTGCAAAGCATGCTGAGTCTGTGACTGGGAAGATGTTTGGCTTTGGCTCGTCTGTTTTCAGCTCTGCATCTTCATTGATAACCACAGCTGTTCAAGTGGAATCTAAAACTACACCACCAACTCCACGTAAGATGTCCACTACATCCAGTGTCTCTCCTAAAGCTACACCACCAACTCCACGTAAGATGTCCACTACATCCAGTGTCTCTCCTAAAGCTACACCACCAACTCCACGTAAGATGTCCACTACATCCAGTGGCTCTCCTAAAGCTACAACTCCAGTTTCCAATATTTCAGCTGCGAATGACTCTGAGCCACCTAAACAGACCAAGCCTGCACCATCAGCAGAGGCCAAAGTAGAGAAAGCTCCAGCAATGCCTCAAAAATCTATCCAAGCGACCCAAGTTGCTCCTACGGCACCTCAGTCAACCTGTCCATTATGTAAGGTCGACCTCAACATTGGCGCCACAGATGCCCCCAATTACTCAACATGCACCGAATGCAAGAACACGGTCTGCAACCTTTGTGGATTCAACCCTATGCCACATACAGGGGCTGTAAGTGCAATTTATTTTATTTCCCCTTGTCATTTCTTATAATATAATGTTTTCTTTAGGTATCGTCCTTGCTGTTTAATGTTACTTATTTGTAGTCAACGACACATTAGTTTTGGCTGGGTTATCCAAGCAATTCCATGGATTATTAGTACTTTCTTTCATTTTTCTTTGTGGTATGAGTGTAAAAAGTGGACACTTGGTAGATTGTCCATCATACAGCTTAATTTACATCGAAAGTGTGGTACACAATAGGCCAACCTTTGGTCAATTGGTCAATATTTATTATTGGAATAACAAATTACTATGTCAAAGCATAAAACCTATAAGTTGACAGAGCTTGATATAATTTATTATTGCTTAAGAAGTCTGTGTTCAATTAATTCATGTAATCTATTGTAATTATGGACGAAAGAGGTGTCAAAATTAACACCATACCAAAACGCAGGCTCTGTGGCTGCTACTATCAGTTCACTAGAGTGGTCCGAGTTATTACACAACAGCTCCTGATAAGGCAACTTCACCAGACCGGCAGCACTGCAAATGTATAAAAGTGATTAAGGGTTGTGCAACAGCATTAGTGAGAAGGGATCTGCTCCCACAGCTGCGAGGGAATCTCCAGCTTCTGGAAAAGATCTGAGTTGATAAAGCCCTGTGAAATACCAATAAGTAGAGGTGAAACAGGTTAAGTTTAACACAACGCTGTGCAACACATTAGCGCTGCAGACATTTCCTTTCAGGCCATCTGCTCAGTCACAGATCTGTGGCGCCATTTGATTCTTCAGTTTGCCATTTGTTTTGCGTGGGTGGCAGTCGCCCAAGCGTGTCTGTGCTTTTTAACGTATCCACACATCCGTTTAATTGTTGAATGCAAGATTGTGTACCTGTGTACTGCAGTGCAGGGCTATGTTCCCCTTGCAAACTATGCAACTGCATTTCAATAACTGGCTATATCATGTTAGTCGTTTTACTGGAGGCTTTATGCATTTTGATGGTAACACTTTCATAATGTGAGATCCTTGTAACGTTGGTTACATTAAATCTGAGAAATATGTAGGAACTATTAATGCTTTTTAAGGGTGACTGTGGGTGAGTGGGGAGCACGGTTGTCCTCCAATCAGAGGGTTGTGGGTTCAATCCCAGTCCTGGCTAACCTGCATGTTGATGTGTCCTTGGGCAAGACACTTAACCCAACATTGCTCCTGTAGCTGCGACTACAGCGTATGAATGTTAGTTACTGATGGGCAGGTGTCACTGTGTATGGTTCTCTTGTCATTAGTGTGTGAATGGGTGTGAATGATGTCATGTAGTGTTAAAGCGCTTTGAGTGGTCGGAAGACTAGAAAAGCGCTATACAAGTACAGTCCATTTACCATTTTTGGTCTTTTATTTGATGTTGGGCAATAGGTTATTTCCACTTTCTGTGAACTGTTACAATTTGAGACTCAAATTGCGCTCTGTAAACCACAAAACTAATATTGAGGGATCTAGTGGCTGTAAGCATTTGTTTTACTTTCTCTTTATTTTCATTTTACAGTTTGTTGGGGTCAGATTACCACATGCTCAGACAAAATGTCACATTACCGTCAAGAAAACAAATACAAATAGAAACAGAGGACATGTTCTCATGTAATTTACATCTGACACGTTTATCGCTGACACTAGAGAGGGAAGAAGAGCCTATGGTAAGCTGTTAAACGGGGGTAGGGACAAGCATGGACGACTGCTAGTGTGTATACAACATCAATGAATTCCTCTTACTATAATAGCCATGGAATAAATAAATAGCTTGGCCATGAAACCACTGGACAGGATGAGCAGCAATACATTTTACTTGAAAGACAGACAAGTCACTTTTTAAAATCTAAAATGTACAGTATGTGTAAGGTTTGATAAGAAAAGGCCACTTTGGCCAAAGTGAGTGCTCGCAGCGAGTTTATCCATTTTGCCTTTTCTGCTTCAGCTGATGCCATCAAAAGCCTGCGAGTGACTGTTGGCTCATAAGTAGGACACACGTGGGTCGTGCTTTGCCAGCTAGAGCTTGGTGTATTCTAGGCAGCATGAATAATGTTTTCTCAGCAATTTTCTGAAATGTTAACATGAAGCTATATCTTTCACCTAAAATGTATTTAGATGTCCTATTACAAAACAATGTGTACCGTATAAGTTGTTTAAAGTAATCAGTCATTATTAGATCCATTTAAGAAATCAACTGACAAATGTTTTGTAAAGCTTCCATGAGAGACTGCCACAAGACTTTTGTCTCCATGGTAAAGTGAAGAGACTCCCTGCTGCGCCCAGTCATGGTTTTAAAAATATCCACTCTCTGGAGAGACCAAACATTGCCTACCTGCTGCATCCCTTGCTTTTTTCACAACCTCTTTGCAATGAGGCAAGCTAATTGACTCAAACCTGATGTTGCATTGGTGGGAACACAGGTTTTTTTTAGCTTATTGTTTTCCAGTATAAATTGTTGTGTTACTCTCTTTCATGTCTGATATTTGAATACATTTCTGTCAGAGGGAAGGAAAAAGGCCTCACCCAAGATTTTCTTAATTTACCTCCTACTGGGATTGCCTTCTATATATGCCACACCCTCTCATTCCCTCTTTTACCCAAGTCTTTACCCATTGAATCCTGTCATGAACTGGAAGGTTGCTGAAGGTTCATTTGTCATATTGGAAAAAGCTGAGCGTGCATATCCTTGTCTTCAGAATGAAGCACTCTGCTTATTACGGATTAGTAGGTCAACGTTCTCTATTATCAGGGGGTTTGATTTATGAGCTCTACTACGCAGGGGTCTTTTAAAGCCAAGTATATTAGCTAGCTACAGCTTTTGCCAATGGCATCTGCGAGAAAATCAATAAGGAACTAACAAGCTCCAGAATGAACATCAGAAAAGCACTGAAGAGAGGCTTGGAAACACTGTGCAGTCCACAGTTCATAGGACGTTCCTTCAGTCTCACCAATAAAAAACGTAAATTTCACGATAGTTGATACCAAGTATTTCCCGTTAAGAGCAGTTTGATAGTTATTTGGGTCATTTAAATTGTTGCTAATAGTAAACTAGATGCATTTCCTCTCTCAGATATCATAATGCATAGCGAAATTTGTATTTGTACTTAAATTATGTAGAAAATAATGTGCAACTTGATTGAAAGTGCAAAAGGTGAAGGTATCATACAATTTTGAGGGTAATCTGTGCCCAGAATGAATGGGCTTCTTCCCCAAGATATTGCATTGATATCTTGCTATACATTTAAGTGGGAATTTCTTTCTACTGCTGAACAGTAATCCTAATGCAGCCCGCCTTTGTGTCAAGAGCATACTTTCCCAACTAATGTCATTGTGGAGGTTTGGTAATCCAGCTCAGGCTAATCGGAGAGAGCAGCCTCTCCCACAGCTCTCTGCTTAGGGCTCCTGCTCTTTACTCATAAAACAGATTTAATTAGACAAAAGGATGATGGCGACTTCCCAAACCCTGTGGCTTTGATGCATGGCTTTGAGACTGTGTTACTGAGAGACTGTGACTGTCGCTGGAGGGGAATATGATAGGATTAGGTATTTTGTTTATGGAAATATTTTCTTATTTTTTTATTGCAGTCTGGTGTACATAATTACTGTAGTTCAAGGTTAAGGTTAAATAAGTTATCATATGCAAGGTTGGTGCAGTACTGGTGTGTAAATTCATTCATTCATTTGGCATTCATTTGGTGTATAATGCATTATTCTGTGATTGTTCTTTCTATCTGTTCTGTCCGTTACTATGCTGAGATCTACTCATGTGCAATACCATCACGCGGAGAGGCGGGAGGGGCGGAGGCACATTTAGATTGCATGAGGGGGAGAATACAGTACACCACCAGAGAGGCTAAGGAATGCACGGCAACGACCATCCGCTAACACTTCTGTTTTATTCTTTTCGATCACTGTCTCTGGGTAGCTCTTTCAAGTCACAAGGGAGCAAAAGTAGAGTGTGGAGTAGACCAACCTGTTATGCAAATATGGGTTTTGACCACCCTACTTCTTAACAAGTAAAAAGACATTTAAAGAAAAGGTTAATAATACATTTTTGAAATAAATATGATCATTTTCTCATTTTTGTATGGGTAGAGTTGCATTCATTTCCTTGGCAAATATGGCATCGGTTTACAGTATATGAGCTGCTTCTCATAAGGCCATGGTGGTGGTTCTAAGCCAGGGGTCTCAAACTCAAATCAGCTGCGGGCCAGATGCAGCCCACTTCAACCGAACGCGGGTCAGACTAGCGTCCGAACGGCATGGTCGACAATAACACAACTTAACACTCACTTTCAAAAGCAGTCATTGAACCCCACCCTGGGGGATCGGTCCGAATGAGACTACAACACTAGTCCTCCTTTAACTCAGCGGGGGAGACCTAAGGTCATGTGACCATGGAATTCCTTTATAGTCAAACGTGAAGTTACGTGAATCGAAGCTGCGTAGTAATGGACGGAGACGCTCGTCGGTGACGTCAGATGCTTCATGTGTTGGTAGTGTGAGTCGTAAAGGAAAACTTTATTAAACGAGCGATGCTAACGGTTAGTCACATGATCACCTGCGCGAAAGAGGGCAGGAAACTGAATTTCACCCTCCTGCTCTCTGCACCTCGGCCGACACACACGACCCGCCCCCCATGTCAGTCACATGCATGCCACGTTCACTGGACAAGCACACAGTAGGAAACCAGAACATCATAACATGTCCCACACAGCAGCTGACAGTGGGGTTACAGTATAAAACTTGCGGGCCGCACTAACATTACACTTTCATATTAAGGATGGGGCCACAAAATATCGTCCCGAGGGCCGCAATTGGCCCGCGGGCCGCGAGTTTGAGACCCCTGTTCTAAGCTATTTGGTTCAAAAGCTATTTAAAAATGTAGATGAACTACACAACAATCAACAATTATTGTACATTTTTGCAAATAATAATGACATTAATAACCATGTGAACCCATGTATCGATTAGGGTTAAGTTTAATAAGAAACATTAGTGATGCTGAGCTTGCGTCAGATCAGATGCAATTGAGGTTTTAATGGTTAACAATATTAGGATCTTCATGCACTATGCTGGTCTGTTTGTTACTGTTTGGCACTAATACTGAATCACAACTGTCTGGATAAAAGCATGTCAGTATCAATCAAAATGGATGCATTAGTATCAAGTTAAATAGATAAAGTCAAACCTTGACAATCATGTTTACTGTGAACATTCCTTAGTGAGTGAAGGCATCATACAGCAGCTATCGTGCCCTTCATGTTACGTTGCTGTTACCCTCTGTTCTAGGGTAGAATATTATCCTTTATATTTCCAGCCATGCTCTCTGTATTGAATTATAATATGTTATAACCTAAGTAGGACAGAAAATACAGATTACTTCAGGTGATAATATTTTTTAACATTCATGTTTAAATATTCCCTCCAACCTCGTCTTTCTATAATTATATATGTCCACACAATTGGGGAGGAGGTCTAAAACTGGGTATTATAGAGGGTGGATAATATCACTTATTCAAATGGACTACTCATTTACATCATTGCAGTCTGGACAAACCGTGTGTTTAGATAAACAGCACAATAATCCTCCTTTTTATAGATTGCATTTTCATTAGTATGCACAAATGGGAATTGTGGTTCCATTATTAAGATGGATTTAATCTTTTTGGTATGAGTTAACCTGCACCTAGGTCTACTTTAAACCGGATTTGATAAGAAGTTTGCATGCTTTTTCGCATCACCTGAATGTATAACTAAATGTGTTCTATGTTGAATGTGGTATACCAGTGGTCAACAACTAACTAATTACAAGTGTTTTATATAAATCTGGTGTGTTTCCTGATCACTTGTTGGGTTTTTGGTTACAGAAGGAATGGCTGTGCCTGAACTGCCAGACTCGGAGGGCTTTGTCTGGAGAGCTGGGAGATTCAGGAAGAATGCCCCAGGTTACACCTGTATCTGCCAAGCCAAGCGCCCTGTCCACACCTGCAACCGCAGAGGTAGAACCCAAAACTACCCCTGCAAAGGCGGAGCTGACATCTGTGGTGACAAAATCACAGCTCACCCCTGACTCAATCAAGTCGATGCCAACAGCTCCAACCCTAAAGCCAAAGATGGAACCTATGTCTGTCGAAAAGGAAACCACGGCTACAGCAGCTTCCGAACATGTGAAGATCCAGCCCACACACATAGCCATAAAGGAAACGGTTTCACCTGTTTTAGAAGAAAAACAGCCATTGGCAGCATTGACAGCAGAAGTCATGCCACCCGCTAAGGACACAGCAACACTAAAGGCTGAAGTACCAAACACAGATCATAACAGGACTGTAACAGTGGAAGACAGAGAAGAGTCAGTGAAAGTGGAATTCATAGAACCACAATATCCCAATGCTGAAGAGTCTAAAGTTGACCTTTCAAAAGACAAGTTGGAAGCAGATGTTGCTTCAGCTTCCCCCCTACCTGCAACTGAAGCTATAGCTGTACCTTTCCATTTTGCTGCAGAGGTTGTCCCAGGAAATAAAATAAAGCCAGAATTGTCTGCTCCACATAAGATTAAGGAGTTACTCACGGATGATCATATTGAACTGACAGAGCCAACAACATCTTTACCACAAGCTGAGGTGCAACCAAAGTCACAAGAACCACAGCTGGTATTGGAAAAACAAGCAGCCGGCAAGGAAATGGCTGAAGAATTAATTGAAAAGATCCACGACATCACCTTATTTCCAGAGACACAAGTATCTGCAAATAACATCATAATACAAGTAAGTTTGTGTCCTCTTTTTTAAAACTTTATTATTTTATTGACTTCAATAACAACATATCAACATACATATCAATTGTTTTTCATACAATTTTGAGTAGAAACAAGAGATTCTTTCAAGGAGGAAATTGATTTGTTGTTGTTTTCTTGTTCTTGTTCTTGTTGTTTTTTTACAGCCTCAGGGTCAAGATGAAATAAACAAAGAACCAGTGAAAGAAGTAAAGGTCACCATACCTACTGAAAACAAAGTTGTGACTGCAACAGCAACAAAGCCTGAATCCAAAACAGAGGAGCCTGATGAAGATCAACCTCAAATTTTACCCATGGCACAAGATTTTAAAGATGGGAACGTTGTTGCAAGTCAAAAGGATATTCCAGTATCTACACATACATTCATTCCAGTAAAGGAGGGAGCTGAGAGAAGACGCTTAAGTTTCCAAGCAATGGCTGAGAGCAGTGAAAGTGAGTTTACACCTTCACCTAAAGTCCAGAAGAGAAAACTGAAGGTCAGGAATGTTTCATCCAGCAGTGAAGACATTAAATCTGAAAGCGCTGACTCCTCTATGGAGGATGAAGAATTCATCCGCAAGCAGATAATGGGCATGGGTGATAAAGAAGATATTTATCCTTCAGAAGATGAGAGAGAAAAGGATTTAGTAGATGACGAAACTATCAACATTTTTGAACTTGATAAAAGTTCAGTGACGGCCAAACCACTGTCTAGAAAGAGTAGTACCGAGAATGAAGAAAGCCCAGTCAGGAGAACAACCCTTCCAAAAGCATTGGCTGAAATAACTCAAGATATTTCTGAAACCATTCCCTGCTCTACATTCAAGAAAGCTCTTACAGTCATCAGACACAGACAAAGCACTGATGAAGAGGTGGAGAGCATCACAGAATCCCTGTCAAAGGGATCGTCCAGTGTTCAGGTATCTAGTTTTACCCCAGGATCTTCACCCACTTCTGCCTCATCTCTGGAGGAGGACAGTGACAGCAGCCCCAGACACAGGAAAATCTGTGGGGAAAAGCAGCTTCGCAAAGGAAGACACAGGCAGCCAACTCAGCCTCTCCCAACCATTGAAGACTCCTCTGAGGAAGAGAAAATTAGGGGGGGTGAGAAGCCTAGAAAAGAAAAAGAAGAACTTAAATCCCATGGGACTTCCCTGTTCCCAACAAAAGATACTTCCTCAACAGAGAATCTGAAGCAGATCACAACAATGGATGAAACCAGTAGATCTGGTTCTGAGTACTCTGCTAGTATAGAATCCGAGCCAGAGGTTTGGCGATCAGTACAGAGAGGGGATAAGCCATCACCAACAGTAATTCCATACAATCTCTCTGATCCATTTAACGAGAAGCATATTGTGACATCACCACTGAAGAGTGCTGAAGAAACATATGAGGAAATCATTCAAAAGACAAAAGCTATTCCTGGGGAGAGTCCTCCTGATATTGAGCCACTTTATGGAGGGATGTCCATAGAGGACTATCTTTATGGATCCTTAGTGGAGGAGCCTGAAATGAAGATGGGGGAATCTCCAGAGGATACAAGCTCTGAGTGTCTCAAACAACTTAGGTCTCCAGAGGAGGTCTATGAGAAGATGATGCAGAAAAAGAGAGAACTGATGATGATAGAGCAAGAGTTCCAACAGGCCCAGGTTGCCATTGCATCATCCTCATCGGGGACTTCCGTCACTGGGCCTCCTTTGATTGCAGAGACCTGTGTGGTGACCATAACCACAGAAGAGACATCACCTACTGAACAATTTGATATGCTTCTTCCAGGCACTGAAACCTCTAGTGAAGTGCCAGTGAAGAGAAAGAAAAGGCCTGCTCCACCGCGACCCACTGAACCCCCTAAGCGTTCAGAAGTGAATGTTGTACTAATTACACCCGGTGGATCCATTGGTTTTGCTAGGCCTATGGTTCGTCAAGATCCTTCACTCGGAAAGGCATTGTTCCCCATACCGGACCTCAAGATTACCCGGTGCTCATCTGGGGAGGAAGAGGATGACAGTCTTGCAGACGAGTATGGTGTTGGTATTTCCTCTGACATTACCCCCAGTGATGACTCTGAGACTAAAGAGTATCCCTCCATAAGCCCACCTTTGTCTGAAACCACAGAGATGGATCCTTTCTGTGTGGTCTGTGAAATTCCAGAACCACAACCTATTCCAACTCCAATTTCAGCACTAGAACTAACTACCACACCGTCCCCCGTATCACCATTGTCACCTCCAACTTCACCAGCCTCTCCAGAGTCCAGTATGGCTTCTAATGCTACATCCTCATCCTCACTCCAGGCTCAAACACCGCTTTCATCGGATTCAACTCCGCTGTCTACACCAACACATCCAACTTTATTTGTAACCCAATCACCTCAAGATATCTCACCACCATCCCCTAGTACAATTGCAAAAGTACCGTCTACTGGGGCCTCCGTTTCTTACCCCACTCTTACCAAAGTTATAGCTACAATGCCATATGTGGTGTCTGGTCTATCCAAAGCTCAAACAGCTGCAGTAGGTCAAGGTAAGGCATCTACAGCTGAAGCTCCAACTCCAGCCCTATTGGGGATGTGTAGTCCTGTCACTGTTGTGGTTCAGAAGCCGGACCTAGTTTCATCTCCATCTCAGGTGCCTATCGTGGCTCCAGCTGTTGTACAGGTCTCAGCACAAAGACCAGCACCTGTTGTCTCAGCTCTACCCCCAGTCTTATTTACACCTGTACCTGTTACAGTCAACAATGAATCTTCAGCCCTAGTTGATATTGATTCTGTCACTCAGGCATCATGCCCTTGGACAGTCAAAGACCAGACGATGCCTGACCTAGTTTCAACTACATCTTCAATCTCTGCACAAACCCCATTACCGGTCTCAGCACTCGTAACCAGTCCAACTCAAGGCCAAACCAAAGTGGTACACCCTTTCCGGACAGCCATCTTACCAGTGAGCCCAGCTCCAGTACAACCAGCCCAGGGTCCAGTACCGTCTTCAGCATCAACTATTATAACCAAAAAAAAGGTCCCTCCTCCTCCACCACCTCGGTCTACTTCAGTGTCAATACCTGAGAGTAGTGCAGAATTTCCACTTGTAAGGACTGTTCAGTATGTCACCCCCACTATGACCACCACCATAGCTAACGGAGCCACAGTGACTGGTCAGCCAATGCAATCTGTATTTGTGGATATACAGCCAAGAATGGAGGATATACAACTAGATAGTGGGGCTGTACCTCAGGTGGTTACCCCAACCAGACAAGGCCATGTAGTCATCATAGTGCCAAGTGTGGAAAACAAATCTCTCCTTGGACAAACCCCACAAGATATGGCTGGCAAAGGATCTGTTTCTGCTACTACTACTACTACTACTACTCTACCACAACGTAGTCAAATACCTTCAGATATACCCAGCACCAATACAGATGCATTATCGACTAAGTTGTCAGCAGCTTCAGCTTCACCCCTTATGTCGAAACCTACAGCAGTCGTCGATCCAGTTGAAATTCTTGTAGCAGATACATATCCATCCTTTCCTACCAATTTAACCAAACCAAACGTGTATCCAACACCTCTGGTTCCCTCGTCAGTGACGATTGCCACAGCAGCACAAGCTTCTTATACCACAGATAGCCCTAGTCAAACTGCAAAGCCTCCTCCACCCATACCACCTAAGCCTATATCAATTCCAGCTGGACTGGTTTTCAGCCATAAGCCAGGAGAGAGTGTCAAACCACCTCCCCCTCACGTGGCTCCTAAAGCTGCTACACTACCTAGGATCAAAGAACCTCCAAATGCTCTGTCCCTCAGCCTTACTCGGCCAGTGGAATCTAAGTTCAGTGCAACATCTCCTAAGTCACCTATGTCTCCCAGACATTCTAAATGTTTGCAAACCTATGTAGTGATAACCCTTCCATCTGAGCCTGGCTCACCGACAGAGGTTATAACAGTCCAGGCACCTGTAAGACGAGGCTCCATCCCATCTACAAAAGTCTCAGGGGTAAGGACCACACCTTCAGAGCAAAAAACATCCACTGAGGCATTCTCAGCACAGGCTACAGTTAGGAGGGCCTCCGTTCCCACTGTAAGGCACCCACCTCTAATATCCATAGATCCAACTCAGGCAGTCGAACAAGTAACTTCCTATAATGTTCTGGATAATAAAGTGCCAGCCAGGGGAGACTATCTGCCTTCTGCGGTACAATCACCATTTATTGCTGATGTCGTGGTGGAGCCATTAGGTCAGAATACATCTATTCAGGAACATATTGTACCCCTTCCAATTAAGAAACCATGTGTGCAACAGCAGCAAATAATTACTCCGGAACTGCCACCACCTCAAACTATGTATGAGGTCCTCACAACGCACCCAGAGCCAAAGGTTGTTATTCAACCACAAACCGTCCAATCTGCAACACAATCCCAGTGTTTACCACTTTTTGCTCCTCATGCACCAATAACAATTGTACCTTCGCAGCGACAGGCTTTGACAGAAGCTGTTGCTTTACCACTGCAGACTGAGGTAACTTTAGTTGCACCACTCCCCCAAGATAGACCAGCTGCAGTTTCCACAACTGTTCTCAATCCACAAGTTGCAGCTCAAATAAAAATGCCAAACCAGGAACAGTATTTGCCTACTCATGGCATGGTAACTGAGACAGTTGTGGTTAAATCACAAACACCAGTAGTGAGTCAGCTAATTCCTCTTCAACAGCAATTTGCATTAGTTGAAGTGATCCACTCTACAGAGCAACAAGTACCTACAGTTTTCAGCAAGACTCCCACCATTGCAGAAATCCCATTAGCACCACCAACATTTTGTCCTTTAGAAGTTCTATCTTCCCAGCACCCACTGCTCATTGATGAAGTGTTGCCCTTTCCTACAAGCGAAGTAACTAAAGAGATCATTACATCCGAGAATGCCGTTAGAACACCTGGGTTAGCAGCAGTATGTCCAGTTCCTCAACCTCAATCTTTCATTGTTGAAATGACTCCAACATTACAGGTAGCTGAGCTAATGCCACTAACTACCGTAGCAAATGTGATAACTCCTACAAGTGTGAATTGGACACCATCACCTCTTGCAATGCACTTCCAACCAATGGACGTACAGCCAGATGTACCTATTCAACAAGTATATCGAGCAATTACATCAACGGTCATGTCACCTTCAACGCCACCACCGGAGGTTATATCGTTGGAACCTGAACATGAGACAATCACAGAGATTATACCAAAGGACAGTGATTTAAGAGCTTCAATGTCATCATCAGTGTGGCAGCCCCAGGCAGCTGCTGGGATGCCATATGGAGTCATTTCAACTGGAGAAAATACCAGGGGAAGGAGGGAATCTATGTCGGCCATAGTGCAGCCAACATACACCACAATTGAAATGTATACTCATCCATATGAAATGCCCAACCAGATGGGGACAACTGAGGCTTTTGCTGCCACCAGGAGAGAATCAATAACCATCCTGCCATCTTTACCATTGCCACATGTAGTAAACATGCCAGCTGAAAAAGATATTCCTATTGATAGTTATGCGGTTCAAAGCCCCTACAGGAGAGGATCCATTTATTCAACAGAACCAATACCACAAGTATCAACCTATTCATCAGAATATGAATATCCTCTGGAGATAATATCCACTGAAGCATATACCAGGAGAACCCCAATACCCACTGCACAGGCCATTCCACAGGCTGTATCTGTGGCTCCAGTCACAATCACTAAAATTCAGCAGGAGTCTATTGAGAGTCAAGAGATTCGAGGACTAGAAAAGGTGGTCTCAAGTATGAGTCACATGTATTCTTCTTCAATTTCTACTTCAGGCCAGCCTCCTGAAAGCCTGCCAAGTCTTGTAACTCAGGTGGTCACTACTGAAGTCCAAAGGACCACTGTATCCGTTGTTCATGAAAGACTTCCACAAATCCCTCAACACAGTGTAGCAATCGCCATCCAACCAGATGTAGCTAAAGTCCAAGCTCTGACAAAACACAATGCAAAGAGAATCTACCCGGGTGATGTTGTTGATTTACGAACCATGAAGGTTGACATAAAGATGACTGAACAAGGCATGGACCTAACGCCACCTGAGTCATGTCGACAGTCATTTTCAAGTGACTGTAGTGGTCGCCAAATCACAGCAGTGCAGCCTGAGATAGTAAATCTTAGTGCAGAGATAACCCCTGCAACCACGCTGTCTGTGGTCACAGACAGCATAACAATAGTCGCCTGCACAGCCACCATTGCCTCATATAACAGTACTCCAGCTGAGAAACCACTCGATTTGCAAGGTCATGTTTCATCATTGCCACTGCCTCTCACCACATACAAACCATTCGAACCGCTTGCTCAGATTGTCTACAGACCTGTGAATACCCAGCCTTTAGTCAGTGCTGTAGTATCCGCAGCTCAAGACCTGCCCATTAATCTTTCCTTTGGAGCCTTGGTCTCCTCAGGTGGCGAACAGCCAATGACTTCCCCACTATCTATCAGAAACCAAGGTGCTGTGCTTTCTCTGGAGGCCACTGGGGCTATGGATCTGTCAAACTACAGACCAGTGAGAGCTATGGTAGCTTTGTCTGACACAAGCCCCGGAGTGGTGACGACTGTTGTAGAAGATGATGGGACTCCAGTTGACCTTACAGCCGGTAGCAGGATTGTTTGCTGTGATGTTATTTATAAGCTACCCTTCACAGGAAGCTGCAGGACACAGCCACCTGTTACAAGTCAACCTGACAATCGTTTTGGCTATGGTGCTGACCACTATCAATATGATAATGCTGGACTGTATGGTTTCCAAGGCATGAATGGTATAAAAGCCTCAACGTCTGAGACCAACCTGACAGAGGCAGAACTGTTTTCCTATGATCCCAGGAATGACTATGACCATCTCAGTAGATCTTCAGATGGCGCTATGGACCTCACTGCTGCCAAACTTTCTTCTGGTGAGTACAGGGGTATTTCTGTATTTTTTGTATTACTTTATTTTTATTTTTATGCTCTGTGCTTGCATTTAGTTGTTTTAATAGACTGGACTTTTATTTACCATGTGCCTTTAGTCTTTAACCTATATAATTACAGTCCATTCCCTTTGATAAGGCATGTGTAGTTTTGTTCCCTTTATGTCGATTAAGTCATGCTTTCCATTACTGTTTAACTTGCTTTTTTTAAATACATATTAAAACTTGCTTTTTATTTCTTTTGTCTTCATACAGATGCATGCGTGTGCCTCCGTGTGCTCCCTCAATATTTTGGTTTTGCGTCTTGCTAGCCAAACTGACAACCGATATGCATGTGAAATGACAGTCTTTTTAAATCCAAATTGCATGAACCTTTGTTCATTCAAAAATGATATATTTGATGAAGTAAAATATATATCTTTGGACTTATTATGGCAGGTAAAGCTCTAGACTACACTAGCAAATCTACTGGATTCTACCCTGGGACGATTGCTGCTCCAGTTCCATCCACAAATACAATTACAACTCAACCGGGCTCTATCTTTAGCACCACCTTACCACCTACAACAACAGTCCAGAACCAGTCATCGCCTTATCCATATGGCTTTATTCACAGCACAGACCCTGGACAGATAATAACTTTTGACACAGAAATACCTAAGGATCTTCTACCCACAGCTTTGGCTGATATCATTACAGGCTATCCGGACATGTACTCAGACACCACCCTGGAAGCAATTGCTGCCTCTCTGGATGCCTTAGCCTCTTCCCCAATATTCCCAGGCTTAGACAACACCAAGATGGCTCAGTATCAAATGGAAAGGGAGTTTCTAGAGCTGGAGAAGCTTAAGCAGCTTTGTCTTGCTGAGGAACTGGAGTGGGAGAGGCAAGAGATCCAGCGTTACCGTGAACAGGAGCAGCTAATGGTCCAGAGGGAGCTTGAGGAGCTTCAAGCACTGAAACAGCAGCTTCTTATGCAGCAAGAAGAAGAGCACCATGCCCACATGGTAGCCCAGCAGGAGACCTATGCTCAGCAAAAAGAGCAGTTGCAGCAAATCCAACAACTCCAACTGCAACTCCAACGCCAGCTTGATGAGCACTATGGTAGCACTGGTCACACAGGAAACTTCTTAGATGCCAAATATGCAGGGGTGGGGGACAGTGGCCAGTACTGGCCTGTCAAAGATGAGTCTACTGTCGCTATTGGTACACATTTAGAAGAAAGTCAGGATCAGTTTAATATTGTAAAGGGCATTCAAGCTGAACAGGACGCAGGAAAAAAAATTATCGATAGTGGGGTGCAGACAGATGATGAAGACTCAGCAGAGAAGCAACATGTTGGAAGGAGAAAGAAAAATAAGAGAAATGTTGATTGCTCCGCTCAGACGGATGATGAGGACCAAGATGAATGGGATGCTCCCACAAAAGCTCGACGACGATCTCGAAAACATAGCGGCGATGGGAAACACGGCTCCAAGGTCTCTAGTATAGCTATCCAAACAGTGGCAGAAATATCTGTCCAGACTGACCACTCTGGAGCTATCAAACCACCTGGTGTCCACATGGACACTAAGGTGGAAATTATCAAGCATATCTCAGCTCCAGAGAACTCTCAGAGAGGTGGCAGTCTCAGCTGTCAGACAGAATCAGATAGAAGTGTCACACCTATTGAGGTGGGGTACAGCACACACCTAAGAGCAGATGTCCCACTCAAGTCAAAAGTCTTCTATACCTCAATTTCTCCCGTGTCCCCGGAAAAGTCCCTTGGAGGGCAGAGAATGTTGACTGCTGACCCAACCAGATTTTCCTCTGGTCCTCGTATGTTAAAGTCTAGTCAGAAGTCTCTGTCTGATCCCAAATCCCTTAGTCCCACCACAGATGACAGGATGGGTGGATACTACGCAGACAGCTATTCTGTGAGTCATAGCAGAATATTAATGGATACAAATATTTGTTTTGTTATTATTGATAATGAAAATGAATGTGCTTGTGATTAAAATGTTTTTTAATACAAATATAATAGAGAAATATAAAGTGAATTATATTCAATATAGTATTTTATGTATAGTGTTTTGATCATTATTTAATGATTGACAGATTTATCATTTGTTTTATTTTCCAGAGCCGAAGCTCTCCATCTGGGACAGGTAGGAAGGTCAAACGGACGCTTCCAGATCCCCCTCCTGAGGATGACTCTATGGCAGGACGTGCAGGCTACAACAGCAACTCTGCACGTCGCCGTCTTGCCCGCAGTACAACAATGGCCCGGGCAAAGATCCTGCAGGACATTGACAAGGAGCTTGATCTGGTGGAAAGAGAATCTTATAAACTCCGCAGAAAACAAGCTGAACTAGATGAAGAAGAGAAGGAGATTGACGCCAAGCTACGGTAAGATGCTGCAAAGATCAAAACAATTCAAGATTTTGGTTCTCACCTTTTTTCAGACCATGTGACATTATTTCATTAACAAATAATAGTAACCAATAAATATGTCATGAATTAATTACAACTTTTATCATTGCATTCCCCCCCTCCTGCAATTATTATTACTAATTAATTTACATGATTCCCCTTTTACCTTAATAGCTTATGGGCTAAAAGGCTGCCTTGACATCACTCAGTGAGACCTCTCAACACTCACACATGTCATACTCATACAAAGGTACTATTGTGTGAGACCCCAGATTTTTTTTGCCTCTTTAGTTGTATGCTTATGGATTTATCAGTGCATAAATAGTAAAACTATTTGTATAATCTGTTGTTATTACTGTAGCTACCTTGAGATGGGTATCAACCGGCGTAAGGAGGCCTTGCTGAAGGAGAGAGAGAAGAGAGAGAGGGCCTATCTCCAGGGGGTGGCGGAGGAAAGAGACTACATGTCAGACAGTGAGGTTAGCAACATCAGAGAGTCCAGGGGTGACGGCCTGGAGAGGCCACGGACAGCTCCCCAGTCGGAGTTTGACCAATTCATCCCCCCCCAGACTGAAGCTGATTCCCAGTACAACACACTAACTAGTCCCTACTCTCACTATGCCCAGTATGTTCCCCAGACCCAAACCACCAGCCACTACACCCAACAGAACCTATATCAGCAGCAGCAGTCCCTTTACCACCAACAGGCATCCCCTTACACAAACCTATCCCTCCCCCATTCCCAAGGTCAGTCTAGCAGCTACCAACATGCGCTGCTCTTGCAGCAGGGAAAACAACGACGATCCACCATGTCCGAATTAGAGCCTAAGATCACCACCAACTATGAAGTGATACACAACCAGCCTCTGCTCATTGTGCCAACTTCCACAGAAAGTGTTTATGGAGTTGCTCACCTTGGGGATAAGTATGGCAGCTTGGACTTGAGGCTAGGGCTAGGGGAAAGGAGCATGGCCTCTAGTCCCATGTCTAGCATTTCTGCTGATTCTTTTTATGCCGATATCGACAACCGCAATTCCAGGAACTACGTGCTGATAGAGGACATAGGGGAGCTCACCAAGGCCTCAACGGGGCAAAGCAACACAGGCATGGGTTCTGGATTCAACATTCCTGATAAAGAGTTGTCCAAGGCAGACAGACTACTCAGGGCAGCGGAAGTCAGGCGCACAGCAGAGGTAAATCCTTTATTGTGACCATACACATTTTACCTTACTTATCCACGTGCTGTGTTTTCAATAAAGTATCAATCTATCTATCTGTTTTACTTTTACAGCTGCATTGACTTCATGTAAATTATTTTGAGAATGTATTAGCATTGCTTTACTGCTTTTTTTACCTATTTTTTACAATTGAATGCAGAAACAAAGTGTTAGATTTTGGGCTGATACTAACAGATGTTGAAGTATATGAAAAGTTATGTTCTTAAAAATTCAGCTCTTTTCACAAACAAATGTAGACCCAATGGTTCAGTCTGGCCAGATATGTATACATGTAACTGATCAAGCATTCTCGAGGTATATGCAACAGACATAAAACATATTTGTAACTGTCAAATTAATTCCCATTACTCTTAAGAAAACATTCAATGTTATTATTATATTTTTGTTATGTTATTTTTCCCTTTTAGGTGGCAGATTTTTTAGGCTCATCTCGACTTCATAGTTATGGCAAAGCAGAAGATGAGACAATGGAGGAGCCTTATGAGTTGAAGCTTCTAAAGCAGCAGATTAAGCAGGAGTTCAGGCGAGGAACTGAGGGACTAGAGAACCTAACTGGGCTAGGCCTTCCCCATCATCTCCCCAGTGATAGCAGTTTTCGTCACTTCCCTAAAGGAGAGAAATATAGTATTGGCAGGTTAACCCTTGAAAAGCAGGCTGCAAAGCAACTCCCAGCAGCTGTGCTTTACCAGAAACAGATGAAGAACAAAAAGGCTACTATAGATCCGAAAGCCATCACAAAATGTTCCCCGATTCAAGAGAGTAGGGATTTGGAGCCTAACTTTAACAATTATATGGGATCTGGGGTCTCCTCTGTGACCAATCTGGCTGCTACAGCTAGGTTGCTTCAGGATGAGATTACATTTGGATTAAGAAAAAATTTATCTGAGCAGCAGAAATATTTAGGCTCTTCCCTAGGCACCAATTTAGCTGGTTCTCTTAATTTTGGGCAATCCCTCGGACTTGGACCAGCTATCAGGGCCACTGCCCAGGATGATGGCACCTACCCAAGTGGAACCCGTTCCCGACCCTCATCGCGCCCTTCTTCCCGCCCCTCTTCTGTCTATGGCTTGGATCTTTCTATCAAACGGGACCTATCCAGCTCCTCGCTTAGATTAAAAACCGAAGGAGAGGTCCTAGATGCAGCATTTGCTCCAGGGGTGGCCAGAGCGAAGCCTACTAGTCTACCTATAAGTCAAAGTAGGGGGCGCATCCCCATAGTGGCTCAGAACTCTGAGGAGGAAAGCCCCCTGAGCCCGGTGGGGCAGCCTATGGGAATGGCCAGAGCCTCGGCTGGACCTCTTCCTCCAATCTCTGCGGATTCCAGGGACCAATTTGGGTCCAGCCATTCCCTGCCAGAGGTACAGCAACACATGAGGGAGGAATCTCGGACACGAGGCTATGATCGAGACATTGCGTTCATCATGGATGACTTGCAAGGCGCCATGTCCGACAGCGAAGGTAAATGGAGCCGGAGACTGTTGCAGCAACATGACTGTGTGGACCTGCTTGTCATGCATGCAAAGTGTTCATAGTGAGTTTGTGCATTATTGGTCTTTCTTTATCATCAGTGCTCCAGATAGTTGTTGTTGTTGTCTCTATTTCCCTTACTCTTGGTATACGTCCCATTAGATATTTGCCTGCTGTTTCCTTTATGTTTTATACCTTACCCACCGATACATAATACTCTTGGCCTGAGATTATGTATGTCACGTATCAGTTCAAGCCATGTTTGTCATGAGATTTTTTAGCATGCTTTGTTTTTTATTATACAGTGGCTTTACCTCTTCATATTTCAATTATTATATTTGCTCCTAAAACTGAGTGGTAGTGTTGTTGATGCTGAATTGATGCTTTTGACATCATTCATACACAGTCTCCATTACAGCTGCCTTATTCGTAGTGAAAAACCATAATGTATGATCTTCCCTGGACCTATTCAGTTATAATGCAGTGATGCATATGTTAAGAATGGCCTGCAGTACATTATTGCAGACATGAATCGTTATTTAGAAACTTGCTGCAGGGCTAGAATATTTTTTTATCTTTAAAAGTGAGGTAACACAAAGCGCTATTAATAGAAGTTACATAAAAAAATGAAGGGAACATTTTCTGAAACATGTGAAGTGTAAGTATTTTTAAAGAACATATTACATTTAAATAATCAACTGTCTCATAGTCATATCCTCTCTACCTCATAAATATGCACTAAATTACAGTAACTTATTTATGACTTCTATGGTCGATATGTAAATATTCTTTACTGATAATACAAATAAAATATACATGTTTCAAAAATATTTAGCTAACAACATTTAGAGCATTTGATATAAAGGACTTTTACATGAAGGTATGACAAGTAGTGTCTAGTTGTCCTCTATGTCTTTTTTTAAACCCTCGCCCTACCAATCTTCAAAGCTATATATTAAGATCCCTTCAGAAAAACGTTTATTTATTTGTCCTACACATCCTTTTAGCTATTTTGGAATACAACTAGCAGCAGTAAGTTTGAATTAATACTGCCGAATCCTTGTGTCTATATGTGCTCAGGGAGCAGTTGAGGCAAATGAAATCACTTTTCTTTAACTCCTAGCAAGTCAGTAAAACAGACCTACCAATCAGAGAATAATCTAAATTCCAAGAGACAATTTCAGCCATATAACGCAATGCAATTAGGTTTTCTCAAGGACTACCGAGCAGTTATCTGTACTTTTAGAAACAACATTAACAACCATATTATTTTGTCTTATTTGTTTCCTATGTATGTGTATGTCTTTATTTTAATGTTTCTTTACACTTCTGTCTGATTTTGCATCCTTGCATGTTGTGCAATATTTATGTTTTAACATTTCCATTTCAATAAAGTTAATCTTTTGTGCTTGTTGGTTTTTGCTGTGGGTGTCTCGTTGTAATGGGAGATGTCCATGTCACAAGTGACTGTGATTGATTGATAGCAAATATTGACATGTACTATCTCCGTCTTTGTAAGAGTGGGATTGGCAGTGTTCCTTTAGGTTAGACAAATTCCTTTCTGTAGATGTTGAGGGGTTATTCTTAAAATTTATAACCTAAGATTTAATTGGATACGATCTGTTATGCATTCAACTGGAAATAGTTCTACATTGTGTTTTTTCACAATCTAATTATAAGGCCAATGACTTTTATAAAGCGGTTGCCTTGTTAGGACTAAGTTCAAAAAAGGTTTGTTGTCAATCACATTGACATTATCAATATGCATAACAACAACAAATACAAAATGTTTGGTAACTAGTTATATTTATGGACCATTTGCTGAGGATCAAGATGGTTACATTTTTGATAAAGAGGTGATATTTGTCCTGAACCCAGGTAAAAGTGTCCGTCTGCCTTGATTACAGCACTAAGTGAATCCACGCTGACTTTGAACAGAGATGATGCCAGAATCTTTCATGAAAGTATCAGACACGGTAGAGTATCTTACAGTACTAGTTAAAAAACTTGACTTAATTAGTATTGCTTAGGCTAACTCATACATTACCTGATAGGTTTACTTTTTGTTTTGTAACGCTACTGCTTAAATTACTCTCAAATTATATTTGTCAGACAATCTGAATACATTCAAGCATGCATCTAACATTGACTAGTGATTTCAGTGCATGTGCTGAAGTACAAATCACTATACAAATCTAGTGGTAGCACAGTTACTATAGTTTTTAAGATGACTGAACATGTGTTGAACGCATTTCTGAAAAAAACATATAATTTTTTACCCCAGCTGGAGGCCCAAACTGGAATATAGAAGGTGAGAGAGCATCACAATTCCATTTAGTAACCTAGACTGTATGCCTCCATGCTGCATATCATCGTTCTGAATGATTCACTTGTCTGGTTATTTTTGGAAACAAATTCAGACTTATTCTGGAATGACCCCCATCTCAGTAGCTTACAATACAATACACGGCATATAACAGATCTGTAGTAGCCAGCATGTCAGATCAAATCTAGGATGAATCCTATCTCAATGGTACTAGATTTATTTATTTTAAATCTTAAGTTATATACTAACGTGACCTCCCTTGTGAATAGTTTTGGAATGACTGCATTACAGTGCTTCCACAAGCCCATTTCCAGTATTCATGCAATTTCGCAAAGAAATCTCATGATTATGGTGTGATCATACTGTAAGTGTTACAACGAAAACATATTTAAAGTGATTTGCAGAGCATATATCTTACGACATTGTATCCAAATTGTTGATAGAATTCTGAAGTTTGATGTTGCCATATAATCAATATAATCAAATGCATTTAGCCAACAGGCACCATTTCGCTAAAGTCTTCTACCCATTTCTTTTCAGCACTATTGGTGCATCTCCTTGGTGGAATTATATCACTGACAATACAAAGAGACACCTGGCAGACCTTTGCACATTCTATCTTTAGTGACAATCTATTGCATCGAACATCAAAGTGATGACTCACGTTTCTAATATAGACATTCTCCACCAACCTGCCTTGCTACCATGGCTTTGGATGTTTTTGGAGCCTTACAATAATGATGCGAAATGTAATACAAGACGTTCATTGTCTTCTGGTATTAAGTGGAATTGCTTTGTGGTTATATGGTTGTTGATTCTGTACTATAGACAGGGAGTTTGAAGATACTGTGTAAATATTATACAATTATTATATTAAGAATAAAATACTAAATTAATCATTTATGCTACCCCACTACAACATACTGGTATACTATATCCTCATAATTTTAGTTTTTTGTATTATTATTATTATTGAAATAAAAAACACAACGGGACAACTACAATCCAGTGTTCTGTCTGAAATTATTAAGTAATACATAATTTTGAAGGGCTTCTTTCAACAAAAACGTTTCATATACACCAGCTATGAAAATCTTGCACAACTTAAAATGCTCTTGAAAATGTATTCATCCTTCATTCAGTGTTTGCAGTGGCCATCTGATCTCACAGTCAGCATTGATAGGGTGGACCAGGTTTATCCTTTTGCTTTCACCGATCCATTCAGAAAAGAGCCAGCTGGGATGTGTTTTACACTTTGTGATGGATAGTAACTGTTTCCAAAAGCTTGATTGCAAGCGGGATCTCTGTCCAAGTAGCCATTATCGTGTTTTTATCAGATATTTATCGGGGATATATAGAGCGTGTTCACTTTAAAACTCTACCTCTGCCTGTCTAGCCTACCACCTTAGAAGAGAGGACACAGATTGGTTTGATAAGCCAAGAGAAGGGGATCCGCAGAGCGGAAATACATCAGACAGGAGACAGGTGAGATCCGAGCTGGCAACGTTCATCTTCCCACATTTATTTTACTCAAACAGTGAACTTGAAATGTTTTCTGGAAGTAATCACATTTCATCATTCGGTAAATTCTTTAAAATTCCAGATGAAACTGGTGCATTATGCCTTCCCTCACACTTGCATCAAGCTAAAGAGAGACCCGAAAGACACCAGCGTGTCAGGTAGAACACAGAGACATTTCATCATATGACTGAACAGAATCAAGTTGTATCACCATTTAGCTAATTTGGATTTGCTTGTTTATTTTTCCCTCAGGAAACGGTCTTGGGATCCGTGTGGTAGGTGGGAAGGAGGTCCCGGGGAGCTGCGGTCAGATTGGATCCTACATTGCCAAAGTTATCCCTGGTGGTGTGGCGGAACAAACTGAGAAAGTTGTGGAGGGTAAGAGGAAATTGAGGAAAGGAAAAAATATAAGTTAGTGTATATCTGCCCTAACTGGCTTATTTTCCGTACTTTAAAATGTAATTATTGTCTTTTTATTGTCAAGCATTCAAAATTGAAAAAAAACTAGAATTTTAAGTTAAATTGGGAATAGTAGATGACTTGCTTTGAATTAAGGTATAGAAGGTGAGTTCCTTTGACTTTGCTACACGATAAACACAATAAATATCAGTGATGAAGCCGATGAGATTAATGGTGTAAATGTAGATCTCTAAACTGCTACAGTATTTATGTTCGGGCCGTTCTTTGCCTCAATCACTGAATTCCAGATGGAGATGTGGGAGGCTGCAGTAGCCTTCGGTTGTTGTGGTCACGTGGCCTTCAACCAACACAACACGCCTGTCGACTCACCCATAACAGCACCGGCCCCCATTAGTCTTTGGAATCATTATAGACTCACAAATACGGGGATGAAGGAATAGACAAAAACACACGTCCCTATTTATTAATTTAAAGCAGAAGTCTAATATGCAAAACCGGATTTTATCTTTTTAAGTGAAGCTTCTTAATTCTACTAATTGAGATGCAATTGTTTGTCTAGCTGTATTTTCATGTCGACGTACTGTGTTTGCAATCCTGTAATGATTCAAAACCACAACCAAGTAAAAACATAATAGATTCTCACTGGGTGTACTACAAATTAGAGCATTTCTTCTGCTGTGTGAGTGTGTAGAGGTAATCATGTTTCACATACAGAGGGGGGGGGGGGTAATTTGCCAAAAGCATATTACATACCGTGTGGGAATTGATATCGCACTATGACTCTGAAGGTTTCTGCCTGCCTTTCTCTCACCACAGGGATGCAGGTGTTGGAGTGGAACAGAATCCCTCTGACGGGAAAGACTTATGAAGAAGTGCAATGCATCATGGGCCAGCCATGTGCTGAGGCGGAGCTCTGTGTGAGACTGTGAGTTACATCTGTCATCATTTACCCCTCAATTCCACTTACAGTACAACCTGGTAACGCGGCACCCATGTACACCTTCTCTCCTCCCTCCTTTTCCTTCTTCATTCCACACCCAATCATCTGACAAATACCACTCTCTCAATTGTTACTGCTGAAATACACTGGTTGATACTCCATTATGCATTTCCTGTATGCATCCAAACAGCGACCTTAATATGCTGTCTGACCCTGAGCACCCACAAGCCCTGGAGCACCATGTCCAGCTTAAGGCTGGTATGTACACACATTTGTTGATGAGTCTGCATGCATGCACGCACGCATCAGTGTACCGATTTCACATAATTACAAGGTGAATTACGAAAAACATTTTCCTCAGCAGGTGGGCAGCGTTCCCCTGGAGTGGATCCTAAGCAGTTGGCGGCAGAACTGCAGAAGGTGTCCCAGCAGCTGGCTCCTGGAATGTGCGGAGCCGGGCTTGGGACCGGGGATTTAAGTGTCCTCTCCGCACTTGAGCGATCCGCCCTCCTGCACTCGGGTACCGGATCGGCTGCCTCCAGTGGCGTGCCAAGCCCGGGCCAGCCTGCATCTCCTGCCATCAGCAAGAAGCAACGACACAAGGTAGCAGGCGTTCTACTGCCTTAGCTCAGAACGGGTTGTGAAGCTGTAAAGAGTTCAGTACACAGTGTGATGACAAGAAGGGACAAAGAAAGGGGGAGAATTATTTCACAGTTCAAAGGTGGATACATTGTGTGCTCTAATTTGAGCACAGGACTGCGGAACCCTGCAAACACCCTATTGGTATTATAGCATGCATGCTGGCACTGGTAAAACAGTGTGGCTTTATTCATTCAAATAGGAGCAGGCGCTTTGCAGGAGCTATAATAAGCTATGGTGCAGTTCATGATCCTGGGTATGTGTGTACACACGCAATTGGATTTAAATGCAAAAGTGCCTCATTACATGCAAATATTTTTTTTTAATTCCTTATTTTTCTATGAAAGAGGATGTATTATATAATACCAAATACCATTTATTGGTACTGAAATTATAACGGAAATCAACCTGTTTTTACCTCAAATAATTGTTTAACGTTCTGGAATTTCACTGAAGGACTTTTGAATCCATTACACAGCTCCTATAGTGAAATGTCCCCTGAGATAGACATAGTGTAGATCCATTGAAAAAGCATTACTTGGCTTATTTTCACACACGGAAAACCTATTAATCTGTAAACTGACGGGAGCAAAGTCAGAGCACCATTTATAAAATCATAATCCCATAAGTCTGTTAGGAGATTTTATTTTAGAGTAAAAGGTAATGCAACGATCATTTTACATTTCATGTATCTTCCTTTTTTTCCTGAAGCCGATAGAAGCAATGAGGACAACTCATCTCATCACCGGAGAAATTCAGGTATTAAAAACTCTGATCAAAAAGTAGCAGAGAGATGTGTGGCGGCTGTAGTTTGCTCGTTCTCACGCAGCCTCGTTTTCCCTCAGCTCCAGATCAACTACGACAGGAACCTGGGAAACCTCATCGTCCACGTTCTGCAGGCTAGAAATCTGGCTCAGAGGGACAACGACGGTTACTCCGACCCTTTTGTCAAGGTCTACCTCTTACCGGGGAGAGGGTGAGCTCTGAGTGTGTTCACAAATGTCCGGTCTGTGTCTGCCTCTGTGCATCCGTGTCTGTCCTGTTTTCTCTCCCCCTATTTCTTTCTGACTTTATATTTACTGTCCCGTACGGAAACTGACTAACTACGCCAGTTTGTATGCGAGAATGAGACTGGACATGATGATATGAGGCAGTCATTTGTAGGTGAATTGATCATTTAATTGGATTCAATGTCTGTAAATGGATAGATGGGTGTTTAAAACTGTATACAAAAGCTGTTGAATTACTTGGACGGAGACAACATACGTGTGTAAATATACTATATGCTGAATTGAACAGCTTGACTGAACTGACAATCCCGCAGTATCTTGCCTGATCCACCATCTTACCAAGAGTCTGTGAACAGCAAGGGAACGGACCGATGCAGCCTCTGTCTGCTCTGCAACAGCATCTAATCGTAGATAATGACCCCATTGGACATGTTTATGAGATTACTAGCCTTCTCTGTTGTTACACCCTGTGCTGATTGGAACTAAAAGCTCTGCAGTAGAGCACTTTGGTTCATCTGGTGTTTCACTGGAAGTGTATTTAGAAATACATTTGTCCGACATTAATAGTCCACAGCCCCCAGAACAGTGAATTAGGCATTCACCCATGAACCAGTTGTAATCATTGTGAGGTTTTTTCAGTCTTGCGTCACATACATTGCTTGGGCACAAAAAGAGAGATACACCCTGCACCCAGAATGTTGATTGCCTCAGCTCTCTATCCTTTACTGGCTTTTCGTTGAGCTCTCTGAGCTTCTCTGACTGTTTTTTGTGTTTTTGCTTTTCTTGTTTGTGATATCCGCCCTCCTCTTCCTCTTCTGGACTCCCTCAGCCAAGTCATGGTTGTCCAGAATGCAAGGTAGTGTGGTGCTGATCTTTGCTTTTTGTTGGTGTTATGTTTTTACTTTCTGTAACTTATGTCTCCCCAAGTGTTTTTCCATCCTTTTGTCGTGGCCTTTTGTCGTTCGTCCAATTGTCGGCTCTATTTCATGGTGTCTAAGAACACTCCTGCCATTGCTTTTTTCTCTCCATGCCTCTCACCTTTAGCTTTTCACAGTCTCTGTTGCTGAAGTATTTTATCATTTTGTGAAAGACAATTTCAAGAAAAACTACATTTGTTTGTTTCTGATGTCTCCACACTAGGAGATTGATTATTTATTTATCTATCTATTGATCTATGGATTGAGTACATCATAGTTTGGTGAATGTCTTCCGTGGGGTCAGGCAGGAAAGATACATTTTGATTTATTTACTCACAATCAATCATTCTGAATATCATGACTTATCAGTGCTGATAACAAAAGAAGGACCAGGTACGCCCAGAAGACCATGAACCCAGAATGGAACCAGACCGTCATCTACAAGAACATTCATTTGGAGCAGGTAAAATTCAGCACGACAATAACACAACATACTGTATGTGCCAGTTTAGGTTAAGTGGATGTCTAACACACTGAAGGTTTCTGTCCTCGTGTCCCTGGGGCTGTTTGCTGTATCCTTGTTTAACCTTTTCTCAGCACTCCCAAGACTCGAGTTAACAACCATCATTTCTGCTTTCACACATTACAGGCGGCCTAATTGTGTGTCATTTTTACAAAAAGAGTGACAGAAACGTGTTGATGTTTTTCGTGGATGTCTGTGTTTGCTGATATGAGCGGTTAGTGACGGAGACACCACCCAAAGTACAATTACCACGCAGAGGGATGAGTGCAGATACACCACATTGGCTCCTCCAGCTTCTGCTAATCAGCCAGAGACTGCCGGGCCATAAAATCCTGCTGCTTTGTTTGCTTGAACACACAGAGATACATTTCCATGCCCCCCCCCCCACGTTGCTGTATCAAAGTACACATTCAAGTTTATGCACTCATGCGACATGTATTGGAACAAACACGTTCTAATGTAAATAGATGTACTTGCTTCCTTTCCTATGACATTAGATGACGCTCATATTGTGAGCTTGCATTCATGCCTGTTTTATGCTTCCTCCACTCACATGCAAATAAACAAGGGCTCATTTATCGCCATCACACATACATGCACACAAGATCCTTCATCGTAACATGTGCCCTTCTCTCTTGTTCTCCCTTTTAATATTCAGTTAAAGAAAAAGACGCTGGAGGTGACAGTGTGGGACTATGACAGATCCTCCTCAAATGACTTCCTTGGAGAAGTGAGTGCTTTTGCAGTCTTATTAAAAGTGTGTAAAAATGTCAAATGCATTTAGTGTTCTTCGGTGAGGTGAGCTCATAAAAATGGCTCCGTTCCTCTGTCTAGAGTCTGGAATATTTATTTCTCTCGTCACTGTGTGTTTGTTCATTTTGTCTTAGGTGTTGATTAACTTGTCAAACACGGCTCAGCTAGACAACACTCCTCGCTGGCTGCCTCTGAAGGAGCAGAGCGAGAGCATTGAGCATAGCAAAGCCCACCACGCTTCTCAAGGCCCTCCGGGGTCTGGGTCAGATCAGGGTTATGGTGGTCTGGGACACAGCCTGGGCCATATGTCAGTCCCCGGGATGGGGACGGGACATGCTGCTGGACAGGGTCAGGGACCAGCCGGGAGTCAGGATTTACCTAAGAACTCTGTGATCAAGAGCAGAAGCCACGGCATCTTCCCTGATCCATCCAAAGGTGAAGTAAACCTCAGTGTGAACACATTCAGGTCCTCAATTCCCATCATTTAAATGACATAAACGCTATAAACTGTATATGAAACATGGAACAGTGAGGGCGCAGTAAAGAGAAATGCCGTAAACACGGTGGATTCATCTGCATTTACTTTCTGTTTCTTTTCCCCCCCAGACATGCAGATGATGCCTTTGGAGAAGTCGCACAGCAGCCCCGGCAGCTCCAAGTCTTCCTCTGATGGTCAACTGCGCTCCCATGGCCCCTCGCGGAGCCAAAGCAAGAGCAGCGTCACTCAGGCCCACCTTGAGGACGCCGGGATAGCCATCGCTGCCGCCGAGGCCGCCGTGCAACAGTCCCGCCTGCAACCAAGTAAATCCCAACCTCACCCATAACACACATTCCCGAGTCATGCTTCCTTTTTCCCTGTGCATGCAAGCTTTGTTGAGATACCTAGTTTATTAAAAACCTGAACCTCTAAGCGCTCACCTCCTTAACATTTGAACTTTGTCTTCGGCCCACCTTATCTCTTTCTCTAAGTAATTTGATTTGATCAATAATCTTAGTTTAATATCGTCCTTTAAGTCATATCAATTTTATTAATATAATCACTAAACAACTACAAGGAAAAGGCAAAAGACCAAAAACTGTCAAAAGTTATTTAATTATGTATTTTAATCGTAAATTAAATGTTTAGAAATATGTATAAATTTCCACATGTCATATTTGGCATTTCCCATTTATTTATAATTTCTTGATGCCTATTTTTAGAATCCTAAGTAGGTCATGAAGGTGCTTTATAATTTTACATATTTACACAGTAACAAAACACAAAAGAACATGTGTACATTTGTTTAGGTCCACAATAAGAGTACTTCCAAGTGAATTGTGCATGTGCCAATCCCTCGCATATGGTTTCTATAGACCCCAAGTGTGAAGAGCTCCAACCCCAGAATAGAAACCAACTGGGATGGTAGTCCCTGACCTCTTGCACCATATTAACACAATCTAAACAATATCCACCGTTGTGTTTATGCTTAATCTTTAGTGTGATGCCCTGACAAAAAAGGGACTATATTTTCTGAGACAAGGAAGCCCAGTGTCAGAAATATTAAAGCATGCAGTTGCAGCTTCCCTGGCTACTGTTCCCTGGCCACTGAGGACTTTGTGATGCTGCAGCCTCTCTGTGTGTGCATGCATGTGCCATATGAATGAACCCTTAGATAAGTGACAAAACACACACAGACACACAGGCTCCCCTCCCCACCCGATCCTCTGCAAAACCTGCCGCCTTAAAGAAAGGGCACACAAATGTGAGACTGAAGCAGTCAAACCAGGAAACACAGGCACCCCAAGAGGTTCAAAAGTCAACAGGATGCTCACTCAGCGGCCAATGAGAGTAAAGCGGTCAGCTGACCATGAGAGGAACAGAAGTGTCGAGGGAAGGTGAGGCAACGTAGGATGTACTGCTAAATATTATTGATCCTAACGTATTAACCTTCATGCAATATTACTAAAACAAAAAAATGAATAAAAACAAAATTACTTAACCATATAACCAAATGTAATTAATTGAAGTAACAGGAAATGATAATTTTTTTGTTTTGATGTTTGTTAATCTTTGAGTGCATGTTCATGTACTGTTTTGTTTATTCTTTTGTGGATGGCATTGTGTTTTTGTAATTGCCTACACGAGTTATGCTTCGCACGTTATGGAAGTACATTGTTTCATAGCAAATGTATGACGTTGATATTGTGAAAACCTTCAGCCGAGGACAGAGACACTTCACATATTCCCTGAACTGATCACGCTCTGCGTTACGCAAGAGCATAACTCAACAGCAGCCATGAGCCGAGATTAAACAATGAAATCTCTGAAATAATATAAATAGTTGATCACTCAGAAACTCAGTTTTTCATGTGTGGATTAAAGGGAGCATTATATATGTCTTGTGAAGGGAACTGCTGTTGTGATCTTTCACGAGTTAACCGAGGTAATTTCCTCCACACTGCTAAATTCAAGGACGCGCTGTCATCTACGCTGATTCGTCCTCGCCCTGATACGCGGTTATGTGACGCTTAGTCACATTATGTGTGGCAGACAGTGTCGCTTGTCGGTGGGTGATAGCTGGGGGGTGTGAAGTGTTTCTGTTGGACATGTATGCATGTGTGGCAAAAAACTGAGTCTGTAAAGACGCTCACAGTTTGTTGCTGTGTTCAAATAATCACAAATGAATGTTCAGATAAGTAACTAGGCAGATAGAGTGAGTTATTATTTCCTCACCATCACACTCCCCCCTGCCACCCTCAGGACCAGGACACCGACTTGGTGATGTCTCAGGGTCCGTGGTGCTTTCTGCCCCAAGTCTTGTTGGAGACGCCTACGGAGGTCTGGACGGGGACGAGGGGACAGTCATTGGAGTGGACAGTGCCATTTTTCAAGTGCCACGCATGTGAGACCATTTGTAGGGTTTTCCTATTACGTCAACGTAACGGCATCGCATCAGATTGGTAATCAATAGGTCTGATGATGCTCATATCTTTTTTTTTTCTTCCCCACAGCGGAAAGACTATTCCAAACGGCACGGACAAAAACCAAATAGTGACCCCAGAAAACGAAGGCAAGCTTAAGAATTATTCTCTGTTTTTAGTTGTTACTCGATTTTATGTCTCCCCCTGCTGGGCACTTTGTATAACAACATTGTTTAATTCTTTATTTATTTACTGAGACACGCTTTTAAACCACCTTCACTGTGTTTTCGTAATGACTTATTTTAATCATGGATTAAAATCCTCAGTGAAGTGCTTAAAGTCTAGAAACAATATTTCCCTTCATGCAGGAGGAAATGTGGATGTCACAGTATCCTACCCACTGTCATAACTATGTCTACATTTCATGTAGCTCAGGTGTCATGGTGTCTGCCGTCCATCTCCAGTTACAGTTTGGAACAAAAGAGATCAAGGTCATTTTGGGGCTTGGCTGCTGTTACATAAAATGAGGGTCTTGGGGTCTTTTCCGTGGTGGCCGATAACTCATATAACACATTTAACTCAACCTGCCTTCTTAAATGTCACTGGAGACATATGACAGTAAATAAAACTTTCATCCTGCTGCGAGTCCGATTTTGTTATGTGTAATTGTTAAATACTTGACATAATCATTTCTAAGTGTGGGAATTTGCCTACAAGTTTTTAGCAGAGTTTAGCCAATCCCCAAAAAATACATATTGAAATAACCATCTTATTCTAAAAATGCATGACCAACATCTCTCTTTTATGTTTGACTTTTAGGCGGTAAAACACAAGTAATGGGGGAGATCAAGGTGGCTCTCAAGAAGGAAGTCAAAACAGAAGGGGACCAACTGGTCTTGGAGATCCTTCAATGCAGAAACATCACCTACAAGTTCAAAAGTCCCGACCACCTGCCAGGTCTGCAAGTAGTGTGTAGCCCACTCGCGCACATGCATGAGTGCAAGTATATTGATGTGTTGTTTTAGAAACAAAAAAGTAGTCCGCAGGTTCGCTAATCCATATTCGTGATTCCTCTCATACGCCTTTAGATCTGTACGTGAAGTTGTACGTGGTCAACGTAGCCACTCAGAAGAGGATCATTAAGAAGAAGACCAGAGTTTGTCGACACGACAGAGAGCCCTCTTTCAACGAGACCTTCAGATTCCCCCTGAACTCAACTGGACACTCCATACAGGTAAAGCAGGCCACCAAATGAGAAAGATGCAAAACATGGAACTAGCTCTGACCATCTATCCAACCTGAGTCACACATCAATGTGTCCTTCGATCCGTGTTTAATTTGAATCCTTTGCATATCGGTTAGACCAAATTGATACTGATTTGCAGTAATATGTGGGCTAATTAATCCTGCTTGTCCAGTTTTGTTGGCATCCCGCGTCTCATTGTAGCTGAGTGTCAAGTCTTAAACGTCATTAAGGCGAGTGAACCTCCTGAGGGGCTGTATAGGACACGAGCGTCTAATAACAGGCTAATTCAATACAGACTGTAGCATTTGACTAAATACTGGCAAATCTCATACTCAGTGACTCGGTAAAGGGAGAACTAAGTGTAATGTGCTATATATATATATATATATATATATATATATATATATATATACAAAAATATATATGGCCTTTTTTGTAATTAATGCTAATATTAATATTATTAAAAAGGCTTTGTTTGCTTTGTATTTATCTTAAATATAAATATCCATCATCAGATCAGACTTTACCGGTGCACTTTTCAAAATGAGATGGGATTTGGGAAAGCACAAACATTTAGAATAAAGTAACAACAGCGTAAACCATGTCGAATCTGCTTCCCTCTCAATTGTATCTCCAGCTTTTCTTGGTGTCCAATGGAGGAAAGTTCATGAAGAAGACCCTGATAGGGGAAGCCTACATCTGGCTGGACAAGGTGGACATGAGGAAGAGGGTGGTCAGCTGGCACAAGTTGTTTGTCAGCTCCACTCAAACCAACGCCTGAGCGGCGCCACACCAAAAAGACGGAGACTCGATGGAGGGTCGACGAAAGGTGAAGCCGGAGAGGTACTAGTTCAGAGATTCCATTTGACAAAGACATGAATATGGGAAAAAGAAAAAATGTCATGAAGGTAAAATGAAAAGATTCATTTGTTTAACTTATTTTGTCTAGAATTCATAAGAAGGACAGAATTATGTGCTAACATCATAATAACTCCATCATCAGTCCAACACTGCCAGCACACGTGTCCTCCTCTTCTGGTGTCTGCTGGCTTGTGTGATGCAAACAGGAAAATACCACAGCAGACACTGAAACACACTTTCTTACCATAGATTCATTTACATAATCCACTTAAACCTTGTTGTTTTGGTGCTGTGCAACTGAGCTAACATATCTAACTGGGGGAAAGATGTTTTTACTTTGATCATCAACTGAAATTGTCTTTTCTTCATACGACAGTAATTATTGTAATTTCAAAATGACGTTTGTAATTTGTGTGGACGGTATTCTTGTTTAATGATGAAGGAATGCACAGTGTTTGTGTACTATCGTCTTTCAGTATCATGAAAAAGAGACAAAAAATAGAGACACAAACAGGCGGACAGATTACTTTTGCTATGGGCTGAAGAAAAAAAATGTACAGCACCACAGACTGTATATAGATATCACACATGCAGATTACAGGCCTATCAGAGAACCATATTGTACAGTGTGATGTTTATACAATATACATAGATATCGGATGCACAATATATCTAAATACACTATACACTATAAGAGTTGTTCTGTTGTAACTAGATTATATATAATAACATATAGACACCTGCCCTTTAATTGAGGCTGTGGTGGCGCGCCGACAATCCAGTAGGCTACGTTAGTCTATGGTGCAGGCGGTCTTAATAGACTTGAACGTGGACGTGGACCTATGTGAGCTCAAAGATGTAGCTCCTTCCGTCCTCCGGTCACACCGATGCACCATTAGACATTCAACAGGGGTGTGATGGATAGCACATTTTAAAAGGCTGAGATGAAAATACAGTGACATATTCACATTTTACTGGTCTTCTAGAATCACAGGTATAAAACCACAATAAAATGAACAAGTTGCTGTGTTGAACGTTACTTGCCAATTACAGGGAATGATAGGATTTTACGTTCAGGCTGTTGTAGTTGCTCAGAGTGTGCTGAAATATCTCTTTCTGTGTCGCCTCTAATGTTGTTGCAGAGTTGGGATTCATACTAGTGTGTCAAAACCATACATGGGTCATTACCATCCTTGGTTTTACCAAAAAAAAATTATATTCAAATTCAAGATAAAATGTTCCAACCAGTCCAATATCAAGGGTTCTCTGTGCGTGTGGCTGTGCTGTAGAAGTCCCTATAGGCGGTTTTTATGCAGCAACACGGTGAACCAGCCTTTCTCACTGCCTGTGACCAAAATACTCCCTCAGGCTCCCTGGGGTTCAGTTATGTGGAGAAGGGAAAACGTTTTCATCTTATCACATGTTGCTGCCATATCTACAGAATGAAAAAAATACTATCAAGTGACCCTCATTTCTGTTTGGTGTATTTAGACATATCACAGGGCCTGATGCAATTTTTTTAAGAATTAATATAAAAGAGGAAAGAACAGAAACGCGTAGAACAAGACGGCACTGCATTCTTGTATAAAAGGAGAGCAAAAAAAAAGAGAAAATATTAAAGGAAGGGAGCGTGGTTGGTCATTCACACAATTATTTTGCTGTGCCAACTTAGCTTGTTTTCAAATTCCATTGGTTCTTAATTCTATGCAACTTAGATGTGTTTAAATGCATTTGCTTTTTTGGAAATAAATGTTATATCTGTAAAAAAAAATGTCTTATAGAAAATAACTTTAATTTGTACATCCCTGAAAGAAAATATTAAATGAATTGATTTTTTACTGATTTTAATATAAATTGTTAACACATGTTAGCATTTACTTGGAGCTTGTGCACTTTATTATTATATATTATTTTTTCTTCCGGTCTCATTTTAACTGTCATGACATGGAAGATTATGTGGTTGGTGTTTCTGAACTGAAATGAACTGGATCAGGGTGTATTTGGTGTCAGAAATAGTATGGTGCAATTTTGTATTTATGTGGCAAAAGAAAAAGCAGCAGACACGTTCGGGTTCCTAAACTAACCGCACAATCTGGGGGGAAAAATAACTACTGCATACTTACTTCATCCCGTTCACAGTGTACCTACCAGTCTGTGTACAAAGTACAGTTAATAAGACGTATTCCCTAAATGCTCAGTCATGACTGTTTAAGCCCTCGTGTTTCATTAGACTTCCTTCCAGCTAATTACTGTTTGTTCAGATCAGATGTTGCCTGTATTTGTGAACCCATCTATTTGTTGTTGTTGTTCTGAGGGGTGTGAATGTGACTCAAGTCCTTTGACATGTGTACATAAAGTGTTTATTTTCTACAAAGATTGAATGTTTATATTGTCCAAAGTTTGAGCATGTGAGTGTTGAAAAAAAAAATCACAGCAGACGTACAACTGTACAGCAATGAGTGTCTGTAGTTGTTTAAGGGGAGTTGACTGTGTAATCAAAAAATGTGCTGTCAACCAATGACTATATGTGCAACCATGTCCCGCTGAAACAACTCAAAGGGGGAAAAAAAATCTATTCAACTTCAATAGTTGTCTGAGACTTTGTGTTTTGGGTGTTGCATGTTTTGTTGATGGTTTGTCCAGATATTTTGCATACAGATTATGTTTAAAAAGAGACACGATATGTATAGATTTATCTGTATGCTGACTGTAAAGAAATATGCTTGTAAAATGGTCTTGTTTTTCACTCATGTGTAAAACAAAGACTCTAATGTTATGGTTTTGTGGTTGTACACAGGATGTATTGAGATAATATGCAAATTGTGCTGTAAAATCAGCTGTTTTCCCCTGAGTCTAAAGAATAAAGAAGAGCTATATTACACATGCGGGCTTGAGCTTGTTTTTCGTTTTGATTCATGAAAATGGGACTTTTTATAGTATACAAAAACAACGAAGCAGTGCGGGTTCTCATCATTGCCACTATGTGGTGCTAGAGTGATCTTTAGATGAGGCCTCATTCACAGTAAGAATGTGACCTGTCTTCAACACCTACTTTTCTTATATTTTACAGTTTGATCATAGTTTATTAATACACGCTACTGGAAGGTTTTAGTTTAAAGCGAGTGCATTTTTAACCTGAACCACACAGCATGTCTGTTCTTTATCATGTCTGTGATGCATTATTTACCTGTAATTTGAAGAGATAGATCTTACATGTTTTAGAAGGACATCTGGGTTTTGGACTCATATTGGTTGTATCACAGTCATACTTTTATATAATTTATGTATCGAGATCTGGTTTGGGACTTTCCACTGTTACACCTGTTACGTGGGACTGAGGATACAAACCTCATGTTATGACAGAAAATGTTGACAAAATATAAAACCTGATTAAAAACAACCAATCTAGGGGATAATAATTGATTCTACCTTAATGAAATGAATCCAAATCATTTTATTTATTCTAACTTTTCTGTTCATTAAAACTAAATTGGGTGTATTTAAGAATATTTATTAGGCTGGTTGATTAATCCAGCCAACAGAAACACGTTGTGTAGTCTCATCTGGGTGGAGTTTAAAAGATAATAAATAACATGTTTGTCCCCCACATGTAATTCAGACTCTGCTATGTACAATTTGGTTTTCATTGCTTGTATTACTGTTTTAAATATAGAAGCATGTCTTCAAATATATAAATGGAGATAAAACTATTGATGTACCTCGTAATGCATATATTAACTTTAAAGGATTCTTGTGATTTTAATGAATACCCTGTAGATGGCAGTATCCTCTACCAAATAACCCCTTCTTATACCAGTGGTAATTTTAACACACAATAACCTCACGATAACCAGAGATTTCCATGTCAACAAGTGGTTCCTAATATCAACCTAAAAGTCTGATATTAAAAGTGGCATTACTATATGTGCTGTATGTCATTAGTCTGTCACCTCTTTCTATTCAGGATGTAGTGTGAGAGGTTCCCAATTGATGAAGAGAAAATACATTGAATGGGGACGTCTGTGAAGAAGGCCTCCATCCTCTCCACGCCACTTTTTACTATTATTATGTTCTCCACTCAACGGCACCTTGTCAGTTCTCAACCATTCACTTACTTTTCCCCATCCCATCAGCAGGTGCATCTCTTCCACTGCAGTGAGGAAATGAGTGTGAGGTAAGTAAAGTGGGGGACGTGTCAGGGAGTCAAGGGGTTGAGAATAGTGGAGAAACTGAGGGGGGAAAAGCAACGGCGCAGTACAGTGCGCCAGGGGAGAGGAGAGACAAAGAGAGAAAATGGGGGAAGGGAGGAGGGGTAGGTGAGAGGACACGAGAGATGGTGGGCGGTTGCCAAGCAACGATTGATAACCAAATCCCCAAGCATCTTGGTGGTGCTGCCCTTCCCTCCCTCCAGGCTGCACACACACACACACACACACACACACACACACACAGTAGGTTTACGTATCTGATTTAATATTCAATTATTCGTATTATTAAGTGTTGATGCTTTGAATTTCGAATGATACAAACTGTGATTTTATCGGTGTCCCACAGTGGTAGGCGCTTGTATATATTAAATATACACACACACACACACACACACATGTTAGGAGACCGAGCACATGATTGCTGGTACTGAGATTTATAGGCCTCTGACTGTACTTTGCCCATTTGATTCTGCGTGTGAAATCAATAGATCTGTCACACTAGCACTGATTCCCAGGCGGGATGGTCTCTTGGCTTTCTGCACTTATGTTATTAGGGATGACGGGATAGCCGAGTGCCAAAAAGAGTGTGCTTTCAACGCCCAGGTAATTCTCCCCCCTCTTCCAGGGTGAGAGGGGATATGAAAGGTTGTAGGGCGCTTAAGAGAGTCAAGCCCACTTCTGTATTCCAGCGTCGCCCCCGGTGGGGGGGTGTGTGTGTGTATGTGGTGTGTGTGTGTGGTCCCTGTGCAAAACTTCCTCATGGCGGGGTGTTTCTTTGCGGGGAGGCAAAATTCAATTCAAGGGGGGAAGGTCTCCCCTTTGAGAAAGGGAAAACAAAAATACTGTAAAATTCTTTTTTTTTGAAATTTCCCGCTACCCCTTTTATAGATATTGGGCCACACACAAAGGAAAAAAGTTTTTAGTTGCCTTTGGGTAAAGTCTTTTTGGAAGAAAAAAAAACCCCCGGTTTTTGTGACCCCCCCCCCCCCCCCCCCCCCCCCCCCCCCTATGGTTAAAGAGAAGGAGGGTGGAGTGTTAGAGGTGCGAGTGAGTGAGAGGGAGAGAGAGAGAGAAAGGGAGAGAGAGACAGACTGAGGGAGAGGAAGAGAAAGAAATCCCGCCGCTTCGGTACCTGTTAGAGCGCCGGGTGGCCGGCCGGGCAGATTACAGGCGCCAGGGTTCGTTAACCTCAGAGGGGAAGCGACGGACTGCCCGCCGCTCGCGCTGCCGCCGCACACCGCTCCCCCCTCACCGGCGGCTCAGCGGGAGCGCAGCGGAGCGCATTCGGTGTTGACGCGCGTCGGAGAATTCCCGTCGCCCCCCTCCTATCTCCCTCCCACCCCCCCATCCCCGGCCCACCCCCCTCCTTTTTCCACTTCTTCTCTTTTTTTTTTTTGGTTACAATGGATACCTACAGGGTTGGAGCCTGGGTGTTTCTGGTGCTGTTGTGGCAGGACGGCTATTTGGCATCGGAGTTCCCGACAGAGCTCATGTAAGTACCCCCCCCTCCCCCCGAACCTCCCCCTTCTGTAATCCCGTGCAGAGCAGCTGCTGTTGCGGTCTGCAGAGTTCCTTCCAAGAGCTCGTTGTTAGGAGACAAGTGGCCTAGGGGTTAATGAGCCCCTCGCAGTGTGCTGGCGTTTCCAGTGGGAGTGGGATGGGCAGGTCGGTTCATTCGTGCACCAGTGGGCATGTTGAAGCTTCACTCTGGATGAACCGTTACAGCAGATCGGGGCAGTCTGGCCGCGGAGCTTTGGGAAGTTGTCGAGGAGTCCCTGGTCCCGTTCCTTCTTGTAAAATGACAAATGTTGCCTCTAGTCTGTGACACCGAATCATTTGGAAGAATCCAGTCTAGCCTTGTGATATTCATCCCCCAGTAATGATACATGTTCTTCTCCAGGGTGGCAAAGCAATTCTATGATTCATTCTTAAAACAATGTGTTAACTGCCATGATGAGTGATCCCATACAAAGCTTGAAAGCCAGTTCACGTTTAGGATTGTTCACATGAACGTTCATGTGACCATATTAGGAGCCACTAAACATGATTTTGTGACCAAATAAGTGTATTCACCATATAACTCATCAATCTGAGTGGTACATAGATATAAATATGCATGTTTTTAAACATGAACCACATTTTAGATCTGCATGGGTAAAAAGTTTTAATTGCAGCACTAATGCAACCCCCCACATTTGTTTAATGGGACCTAGAATACTTTATCCGAGTGTCAATGAAGAGTTAAAATCCAATATGTTGGTACATTTGTACAGTTACCTGTATCTAATTTATAATATTTGTACTTGAATCCAAAATTTGAAACGTGAAAACAAATGTAACCCTATTAATCGCATGATTTTTGGTGATTAACAGCGATTAATCGCTTGTTGCGCAAAATAATACGCTAAAAGTTATTGTTTTGCACGCTTTTATTTGGAATGTTATCGGAACAACAGGCACTCTCGGAGGAACAGCAAGTTAACATAGAGTATATAAATTGTTTTTCTTTTTTGTTCTGAACAGAAGAAACATTTGTGTTTTTATCAGGGAACAGCATAATGCACAGTACTAAGGGCCCCTGTTAGAGGGAGGTAAAGTGGTCTAGCACAAAAAAAGACTTTCCAGTCTGTAAAGATTGTGGATTCCCTTTGAATCTCAGTCAAAGAAAAAAAACACTTCCAGTGATGCAGGTTGAGCAGTTACACAATGACAAAATTAACTTTTAACTACGGTTGGGTACCGAGAACCGGTGCCATATTGGTACGACCGGTATCTTCCGTACCGAAACACAACGCAGATTTCCGATGGACACAGGCAGACACTAGCGCGCGCATATCAGACATGTGAGCGCATACAGGTGAGCACGCGGCCAACGGCGGACACAGCGTGAGTCCGCAACGGCCACTCCCCATTCCCATCCCCTCCTCTCCCGTACCAGACGGGGTCTGAGGGCGTAGCGGCGTTTTTCCATGTTGTTTGTCATTATCCGCATTGAGTTGCAGACACGTGACTTCATTTCCTCACGCGAATGACAGGAGATTGTTTGATTCTTGTCGTCTTTATTTTACTCAGCAAAGCTTTAACTACACGGTAGAAAACGATACGCTCTCATGGCCCAAAGCCGCTCTTCTGAGTGGCACCTGGTGCAATCATGACGTAAATAAATTAAGACAAAAAAGAATGAAAAATCAATGTGACATAAATGCTTTTCATTATATGTTACATATCTGTAGTTCCTGCACAATGAGCATACATCTAAAATGAAATGATTAATATACCCCAAATTCTAATGAACCAATATATACACTATCTGGCTCTTACAGAGGGTTAATAGTGTAATTACACCGTAAACTATAAACCTTTAATATATTGTTCATAGTTTGAAGTTAAAAAGTTTGAAGATGTTGTTTGAAGCCATGTATTTTTATGTTATTTATATTTACAGTGTTGTTCAAACGGTTAAGATATGGTTCAATATGAAGAAAAGGATTTGCCTTGGCAATAAAAAAAACCTTTAATTTCATCCATTGTTCTTGACTTTTTGCACCGGTATCGGAAAAAACCTAAACGACACTCATCCCTGACTTTTAACGTCCACTTTTTTCTGACTCCGCTTCACCGAGCCAGTTGCTAAGATGATGATGCCAGATGCTAATTAACCTTAACCATCTTCTGAACAATATGACCTGCAAGTGGAAACCACCTTTCACACGGTGCAGATGTTGTACTTCAGACTGCTGTCTAAACGCCGTTTCATACAACTCATGTATTCTCCTCTCGCCGGTGCGCATTGGGGGAGGCTCGTTGCGACTCTAAGGACGCTTCAGTCTTAATGTGGTCCCGGTGTGGGTTTATATGTTTTATTTTGTAGTTTCCTGCCTCACGTGCGCCTGGGTTAACTGAACTTCCGGCCCTTGTGGTTTCTCCTGTAGGTGATTGTCTCCCGTGTCCCTAATTGTTTCCTTCCGCGTCCAATCACCTTCCCAGTCTATCTAAACCGCGTGTGTCCCTCGTCTCTTGTCGGTTCATTGAGTTTCCTACGTCCCTGATTGTCCTGTCTATGTCGGTGAGACAGTTTGTTTGCTCGTGTTCCTGGTCCGTGTTTTTCCCCAAGGCCTTTTTGATTTTCATTTAATAAAGTGGTTTTGCTTTTACAATCTGCGTTTGAATCCTTGTGTCTGAGGTCCTGGACTTTCCTCGTGACAGAATAAACCAACCAGAGACAAGGGACACTCATGGTTTTAATACACTGGGAAGGGGCAGGTGATTGGACACAGGAGGAAACAATCAAGGGCATGGCAGACAATCACCCACAGGAGAAGGATGAAGTTAACTCTGGGACATAAGAGGCGGGAAACTACTAAATAAAACAGGGAACGAACCCACGGCGTGACACTTGCGTTGGTTCGTGCAACGTAGTCTTCAGAAGTCTCTCGCCACTGGTTGTTTGGGCAGCTAGTGGGCTGACATCAACGCTGCGTAACGCTTTAAGTAGTACTTTACGCTCTTAGTACTATTTACTGTCTGGTAAATGAAATGCCGTTAACGTATGATAAAATCATTGCCGACCTTAATGGATTGCTACGTTAACGCGTTATAAATGAGAAGAATCTACCGCTTGGATCATCTAATCACCCCCAAATTCATCTTCTCTAATTTTGTGACACTGTATCTCTGCATGGTTAGATACCACAAATGGGATTTGAGTGTAATATACCTCAATAATGCTGCAATATTCCTGTCAAATAAGATGTTTTTCGTTGGAGTGTGACTGATTGTGAGACGTAAAAGAAATTAAAATGAATTGACTACATTTGGATGCATCCGCTTACGATCCGGAATAGCTCTGTTGTTCGAGTGGTGGTTCATTGCTTTTGGTGTTTCCATGCCTTATTCTGCTTCGCTGAATGGACTTCTGTCTTCCCTCAGTAATGATGGATAATTAGACTGTAGTTTAACCCAGCCGGCCACCGAGATACACACTACGGGCCAGCTCATTAATCTCGTGCCAAAGTTATGACTTCACCACATCTGTCTCTCTCCTGCATTGTCTCTCAGTTTCTCTGTCTGTTTTGCTCTCCTTTGCTCTTCCTGTGGCTGAAAAACAATCTAGGCCGGTGTCTGACCCAGTTGCCATTTGTATGTGCATTTTTATATGTGTTTAATTATCTAGCACGATACCAGAGGCTGTAGTAATCAAAGCAAGCAACCAGAGCAGAAAAAAGCAGTAGCTCAGCTTTACAGTATTACTCTTTAGGCATCTCTTGAACCCCAATGGTATTTTAGCCATTAAAAAGAGCATACCTCTAAAAGTGTGGTGGTAATAACATATTGATAACTATAAATCACCTTTATTAGTTTATTAGTGCTGGGCAAAGATTACAATTTTGAATCGTGATTAGTAATTAATTCAAAAGTGGTGTATTGTTGAATATGGCACTTTTATTTGTGCAGAAACTTTAAACAAATAAGAGGATTTAATGTGCAGGTGCTTTTCAGTCTGTAAAGTCTGTCTGTACAGATTTAAAATGAAAATGTCCATGTAAAATCGTTCTACCTTGCAAAAACAAATAATACAAAGAAAAAAAAAAAAAAAAAGATATATATCTTTTTTTAATTCCCCACTTTTTCAAGGGGTGGGGGTGATTTCAGGGTGGGCGGGGACGCCCCCGTGTTATAATCATAGGGTAAACATTGATATTTACGTATGGGAAGAGCTGAACTTAGATACATTACATTCAAGTGTTGATCTGACTTCACGTAGATCCACCATGACGGGATGAAAGGCATCACCTTATGGTGTTTATCGCCAATAAACCAGGCTGGGAGCTCAAAGGATGCTTAGAAATGTTAGATCTAAGGACCGGGAGTTAATGTGTTAATGTTAATGATCTCCCATGTCTCTGCACAATATGTTTGACCGTTTAAGGCCAATTAAATGAGATTGGGAGTTGACCCCAAATGTCACAAGTGCTGAATGATGGCATGTAAACAGGTAGTTTCTACAAATTGGATAGATATGTGAGACATGGCAACTTTACTCCTGTTCCCAGCAAAAACAACATGGCAACATGTCGTAAATCATCTTCTTATACATTATTACATTTTATTTATCTTAGGTCTTTAAGTGGATTCTCCTGTCGTAGAGCCCGCCCCCGGGGCAAAGTAAAGTGGCAGGTGAACACTGTTGGCTACAGGTGTATACAACAGAATGCATATTATATACAGTGCTGTCACTCATCAACATATTCATACAATTCTCAACTCTGCACCATGTAAAAACATGCTTGCTGTACATGAAATGCATTAACACACATTGGTGGGCGTCACACAATCGTTCACAAAAAAGGTATTTTTTACTTTTAATTGTCTCTCACTGCATGCTAACAAGCTAAATGAGCGCAAATATTATAAATAGAAGTGGATCTCACCCATATTGGACGTGCAGAAGAAATCACTCATACATACTGAACCTCGGACCGGGTTCTCATCTCATGCATCTGTTAACACCTGAGGGGTTTTTGATATAGAGATTTGCGCCGTTATCACTGGAATTCACAGAAGCTAAAATCTGGATGGATGGCCCTGTGCTTCTCTGAATGTCAAGTCCCTGGAAACACACACGCACAATCACATGAACTCAAACTCACAACTGACTTGTCAATACTGCAGGCATTGCAAACTCAGTCGTCAAAGGTTCACTAAAATACCTTTAAATTGAGGGTAAGAAATCAAAAACAGATGTGAACAGAGAATGGAAGGGAACTGGCAGTTTCTCAATATCTTATGAAATACATTTAGCTAATTCAACTACTATCTAGCAAGAGTCAAAAATTGTTTGATTAAACCTATAAAATAACAGATAACTGTATACATGAGGAATATTTTCTGGGTGTCAGTATGATATTTTTCTTTGCCATTGGGGAGGATTTCAACTGAGTCTGCAATAGTGTTCATGCATGTAAATGACAGCATCTGTAAGCCATGGCAACCTGTTATCATTGCCATACAATATTAATGGCTTTTCTTAGTGTGCCTGTGTGTATGTTCATGCTAACAGTGTATATGGAGAATTAATGCATCCACATGCACACAAGTATTTTGATCGCGCTAGCCTCTCAAACCAGATGCACCTTTAGATGTAATGGTCACCGTGTCACTTAATGCATAATGTCTTTGGTCTTTGACATTCTTCCCTCGTCTATCTGCATCCACAGCCGCTGTAGAGGGAGGATACACAGCGCAAATTAGTACTTCAGTACATTATAACACCGGCTGTGAGCTCATACTGGTTGGACAATATGATTGGAGATGGATGAAAGGACAGTATAATCCAGTGTGACACTAGAAAGCTGGAGCTGATTTCCCCCGAGCTCGTCAGTCCCGGCAACCTCAGTGTCACCAGTCACAACGTTGGCTGACACTTATCGAATTTGGTTGACATCCTTTTGAATACTCAGAAAGTAATTGTATTGATTGATGGGACATTGTTTTTGCTCGATCTCCCACAGTGATACTATTTAGCCGCCTTTTATTTTATACATCTAGGTGGTCTTCTTAGATGATACTCGTATTCCAAACTGTTTATACCTGAGATACGTTTAAGGTTAATTGTGTGCTCCTGCCTTGTTCTCTAGGATTAAAGTGTGGGTTGAACAGATGCAGAAAGAGCTTGTGACCCTGGCAGACTCGGCGACAGCTGGACAAAGCCTCACTCAGGTAATACACAACAAATGTGTTAATTGTAAAAGAAACTTTTTTGAACCTTTAAAACCGCTATGAAACTACAATAAATACACCAATGAAGATGCAACATTCTTTTTACATGTTATATTCACGTTTTTGTTTAATAAAATACATTTTTAAAACATGAATAATGTTAAATCATCAATTATGTTTGGTTGTACATGTTTCTATTCTCTCTTTGTGTCTAGATTTTTCTAAAAAACCAACACCTGTACACTGTGGAGCAAAATGACGCAAAGGAGCTCGTGGCAAGAGCCGCCCGGAAAATTGAACAGCTGCTGCGGAAGAGGTCTGCTGCCTTGGAGGTACAATTCACTCCACTTAGAGGAACCAACTGTCACTTTGTAATTTTACTTTGGGTTTTATAGCTGAACAGAATGATGGCTCCATTAACAAGGGCTTCAGAAATATTTGTTCTGGCTGCGTCTTGTCACAACATTGTAGACTTGATTTAGTACAGTGAAAGTGAAAGTGTATGGAGTGAATCACATGTTCAGTCCTCTGCCAAATGTACTGAAAAGCAGCCAAAAAAAAAACTTAACTTGGGTACTACACATTTTTTGGAAATGGTACAACTTGTGACATAACATCAAATCAAATTGAATAATTAAAGGCATTATGTGGACCTAAGCAGGGCGGCACGGTGGCGTGGTGGTTTGCACTGTCGCCTCACAGCAAGAAGGTCCTGGGTTCGATTCCGCCCAGTGGCCTTTCTGTGTGGAGTCTGCATGTTCTCCCCGTGTCTGCGTGGGTTGTCTCCGGCTTCCTCCCACAGTCCAAAGACATGCTCTGGGGATCAGGTTAATTGGGGACTTTAAATTGCCCGTAGATGTGTGAATGTGAGTGTGAATGGTTGTGTGTCTCTGTGTAGCCCTGCGATTGGCTGGCGACCAATCCAGGGTGAACCCTGTCTATCGCCCGAAGTTGGCTGGGATGGACTCCAGCCCCCCCGCGACCCTGTGTGCAGGATAAGCGGTTTGACAATGGATGGATGGATGGATGTGGACCTAAGCTAAACCTACCAAGCACCTGGACAGATATATATATATATATATATATATATATATATATAACTTAGAAACGGTATTCTATATGTTCAAACCCAGCAGACGTAGCGCATCTGGTGTGCAGATTGTTATACATATAATATATTTTAATTTAAGATAACCTGATTATAGATTTTTGCCTTTTTCTATTGAGAAATGGGTCAAAGATTCCCATCTATATCCAGAGTTTGAGCTGTTTTTATCTACTCAGTGCCTAATGTACGTACATTTGCAAACCTAGCGTTATCAGCGCCACGGCCGACCCGCGGATAGCGCGCGATGTTCACTTCACGTCGTCTTCACAAAACCTGCAGTTCATCAGCGTCTTTCTCCGCCCACTGTACCGCACATGGGCCCCCTTCTCTCCTTCATCCTGGATCAGCCAAAGTAAAAACAATAAATAAATAAAAAAATTCAGCGACAACAACGTTGGGCATTAGTGGTAGCAAAGTGTGAAGTACTTGTGCTGTGCAGACTGCGGTTATCCGACTGCTGGTGCTGTGACTGTTTGAAATGATCTTGATGCCAATCATTGTAATGTAGCAAACAGCTCAACAACTTCTGCAATGGAATGTGAACGCTGAGTGGGAGATGCAATGTCATCTTTTGAGTATCTTCCAGTACCTGTAATATTGCTGCTTCATCTGTAAGGGGAAACAAATACGCCCAAAGTTGGACGCAAAAGTGTGAGTACACGAGGCCCTCAGAGTACCCCATATTCTACCTTTTTAAGGCAACACCCTCGATGTCTTATTAGTAATGGAGAGAGAGGGAGAGAGTATTATGATTGGAAATAAATACAACGCCTGCCAAATTGCCTGTCTTGTGTATATTAAATAAACACACCTGTGTTCTTATCATTTTTTCTAGTACTGGTGCCATGAAATGTGTACACAGCAGGGAGGAAAATGGCTTCAGTAAGTCGTAGAAGAAAGATGCTTGTGAGGGTTGTGTGAGCGTTTATTGGTGGCCGTGGAGTCAACTGGCACGATGCCGACAGGCCGTCCAACCAGCCGCACATTGCATTCTCACCTGTGTGTAACCTCAAAGATATCGGATGTGAGCTGTGTGGATGGGTAGAATTGAAGAAGGGGTAATGTTAAAATTGTGCAAATTCATTGAATTTAATGGATACAAGTAGTTAGGACTTTAGGGGTCATCTAGTGTACACAGGGGGCAGTCACTAAACACCTGCAAACTCACACCAGCTTGTTAATCTGACAGAATACAGGCAGATAATCTTCATTCCATTTGCAAGATCAGGACACTTGAACCACTTCCCCTCTGTTGTCAACTACCTTCAAACTTTCATCCTCCCTTTGCTTAGGCAATTTATCTGCATCTCTCTCCGACCCTCAGACCTTTGATAACTCTGCATGCTGGATGTCCTACCAAGGACCCCAGTTTACCGAGCTACAGGTGTGAAACAGGTGTGAAACAGGTGTGCGCGTGCGTCTATGGGTGTCTAATCCTACTACCATAAGTAGGTGTATGACAGAGTGTAACATGCATTATTAATGAGAACTTGGCTGCACACTGTTAGGAAAGATATATTTATATTTATCTCAATTATCTTTATCTCAATTTGGCGGAGGTCGCACATGGTACTATTTAAATGCCCAGCTACTTTACCTTCCTGTATGGAAGTTAATTAAGTCACTATATATGTCGACTCAGAGCACTTACTTGCCAATACATACATACATAATCAACCATTCCTAAAATGTTAATTCAAGGGGTCTGAGAGAGGAAACTAGACATCTGCATCTTGCCTCTCTTTTTAAGGCTTTAGAAAATCTGGGTTGTGAATGGAGACTCACAGGTCATTTCAGCAAAAGCATGTTCCTGTTAGCTGTTGTACAAATCCATTTCCATGTCCCTTCAGAGTCTGATTCAACAGCAAAAAATATCAGGAATTTCAGGGAAAGTTACTATTCCAGCATTGGCAGTACGTTTGTGGACTACACTGCAAAAGAAAACCTTAGCTATTAAAAAAAGAGCTTCGTAATATTTGCAAAAGGTATTTACCGGCGTAAATACAAACGCTTTCTTCCCCTTTTCTGATGCAATTTGACAATATTGTAACTAGCTAAGCTAAACAGATTCTTGATTCAGTCATTTCAAAGGGATTAGAGGCCAGAGAGTGAGAGAGAGAGAGAGATGACCCTGAAAAGGTTTTTCGAAAGTTGACCACATAGTGAAAGGCTGCGATGTGCTGGAGGCTAGATCCAATTACTTCAACACATCTCTCCCTCCCCCATCCACAGCCTGCTCTGTGCTTCTTTCTGTCCATGTTCACTGTAATTAAACCCTTAATTATTGATCCTTCAGAGCTGCTTCGCCAATGGCAAACTGATAAAACACTGAAGACATATTCACAGTCCACCTCTCTCTGTCGCTGCTAACAACCAGCAGCCATGTCTGGTATGCCGTTTACTTTTTTAATCTGCAAGAAGTGAGTGTGTCTGTGTGTGTGTGTGTCACTGTAATTCCCTTTCCTCTCCTGGGCTGAAGGGCTCTGTCCAGTGACTAATGAGACAGTCTACAACATTACTTAGTGTAATAACTCAACCTGCACGGCTAAAACTCTGCAGGACACAGGTGGCCCAGTAATGTGAATGTGTGTGTCTGTGTTTGTGTGCGTGCCGTTACTGGAATGTAATCAATAAAAACCAGTGGAATGTAGGGCTTCTGTAAAGCGGTCATTAATTAATTATGGGAACATTTGACTTATCTGCATATTAAACATCAATATCGATCAATTACTAGTATTTATCTCTGGATAATGCTTCGTTTTAAAAAAAAATGTTACACATAGAGGAATTTGACTTGATTTATATTTTTCTCATCTTCAAAAATCTTTATGTAAAATAGTTATCCTGTTTTATTTGTGCATGTGTTAAATAGTATTCACGCCACAGGTGTTGCACCATATTTGTATTAATCTGTAGCCTTCTGTCACAATGTTATAATAATGAGCACAAGATGAGACATTAATATGTTTTCATATGTCTGTGTTTGTGTTTGTGTGTGCATGTGTGTGTGTGGCGACATAACAAAGTAATGAACGCAGGTTATGACTCGATCAGAGATATTCCAGCCTCCAGAGCAGATTTTATCCGACCTCCCATCTCCGCATAGCGCTGGTCATATTAAATAGTAAAGAGGTGTCTGCACGTGTTTGCATTCATTGTTTATGTGTGCGTGTTTGTGTGTGTGCGTGTTTGTGTGTAATAGGCAGAGAAACAGAGCCGTGCCGATATAGAGTCTTATACATACATTGAGGAGAAATCCAAGCTGCTTCGCTGGATCACAACAGCGCAGCATGTGTGTGTGTGCGTGAGTTTGTGTGAGATTGTCAGTTTTGTGGTTCTTCCTCTTACGTTCCCGGACACTGTTAAAAATGTCAAGCACCGACACCTTCCTGTTCTCACAATCTCCTACGTTTTATCCTCTGTCCTGCGGGAATGAATCTTCATTTGCTTACACTCTATCCCAGCTGCAAATTAGGAGACACAATAAATATAGCCTTATCACAACTGATCAAAGATTCTCTGCTCAGAGGGCCTTGAAATTGGTTTTAGAAGAGAGTAACCCATTTGATGATGATATAAGAGGTTTCAGAATGTGAGGATCACATTTCAGAAAATTCAGTCTGACAGTGACTTTGAGGAAGAGGATGAGATTGAGCTTCCGCTAGTTCCAGAATGAAGACGAGCTCCAGAACAGACCGTCAGCAGCCAGCTCCATTTAGTCATCCGCTAGATACGTGTAGAAATATGGATCTCATAAAATGGTGAAAAGTAATGTAATGGTCTTCTTGCCCCCAAAAATGAACGACAGCGCATCGCTGCCACTGAGATGAGGATCCAACCAGGGCCAATATGTATGGCAGTTACTTATGTGCAGGACATCAAGTCTTCTATAGAGTTTTTAAATTCCAGATTGTATTAAAGAATTATTAATTAATAATAATCAGAAGGAAGGCGTGTTTTTGGAGTTAGAAAGAAATTTACCAAACCCATTACACGCCCTCTTTTTATCCTTGCTGGAGTTTTTCCGTTCCAAAGAACACAGAATCCCTGTGGGATGCAGAAAACGGCAAAAAACTCAGCCGTCACGTCCCCGGTATCCTATGTGCCACTCTTGGCTTGATTATAATTGATTTCCTGTATCAATGAATAGTGCTTTAATTCATAAATGTGAACTAACAAACGTAGAGCTCTAATATTAACCATATTAGTTGTTTATATTCCTTG